TCAGATTGAGAATTCAATTTTTTTTTTGGTGTACTTTTGATTTTGAGTTTTGCGAATCTGTTAAGCGGAGACAGTGGTGCTGTGTGTATGTGTGTGAAAGAGAAGAGGGACAGAGAGAGAGAGATTGAACCATCTTTTTATTTTAATTTCTGAAGTTTTTTTTTTAAAAAGATTATTAAATAATGTGTGTAATTATGTTAGGACGGTGACAAGAATAGTTTCGTTTCGTCAAAAGATGATCTAGAGAGAGATTTAACGCGTTTTATCAACTATTATTCACACACAAACAAGTCCAACTTGCTTTTTCTCTTGAGCAGTACTAATTAGTGATAATCAAATCTCTTTTTGTAAATCTCTATCTAATTATGTCACTTTTGTTTTATTTTTAGGTTAGATATGCAATAAATATCGTAACACATGAGTCTGCTCTTAAGCATCTTTACCAAGTTTTAAGAACTAACACGAGTCGTATGTTTGTTGTGACTTGTGTGTACCGTATCAGAATTCTACTTTTACTCGTTAGAAAAAAATTATCAGTATCTAAATGAAAAATGTTTATATCTTATAATTTCTCGTTTTTTCACAACACTATACGCTCTTATGGCTTTTAATCTCCCTTCTGCCATATGATATTGTATTAAACTACGTGAATCATTGAATCTTCTAACGTGTCCGTTGATCACAAAACAATCAAAAATTAAATGAAACAAAAAAAATATATAGTAAACTAATACTACGTATTACTACTTATCAGATGCTTAAGAAATGAGCAATCAGCTAAGAAGATTATAGCTTTATAAATTTATAAAACCGACGCAAATAAAAGCACTCTGCATCCTGCAAGTGAATTAAATGTCATCTGGACTGCTTTAAAAAAAAAATAAAAAAAATGGACTTTTATAATTGAATGCATGCATATATAAATGGTTACATCCAACTTTCTTCAAACTTAGAATGTAAAGAAGAAACAATTCCATAATCAAAACGATAATAATATACGTGCGTTTTTAAGAAGAAGCCTAAAATTAAAGATGTGTAGATAAAAGTTGAAGCTGCCAATGTCTTTTTCATGGAAAGAATGAATGGAGCCATGGAGGTTGTGCGACAAGACATCCTAATCCAGAGCTTTCGTTTTCCATAATAGTTACTGTACCTTTGTCTATCGTTTCTGTGTGAGGGTCCATAATTATTAAGTTTCTTATATAAAAATCACATGATTTTGTACTACTTTTCTTTTACTTTTGTTAGATACTGTATTATCTAATCTTCTCATCCGTGCAATTATTTTGAGATATGCCAATACTTTTCAGTTTTCACGTTTACATGTGTGTATTCACATACAATCTACGTCCAACATGTTATTCGCGATCGAGTGGTCGTATTATGTATCATTTGGATAGAGTAATTTTTGTTACTTGCAAGTTGCAAGGTGGGTGGGGTTTGTAGTGTCCATTTGTACCGTTAAGATTATACATTATATATTGATCATTATTATCTTATTTGTGTCTTGTTTCGAATTCACAACCTCCAATATCGCCAATACATATTACAGATTTTTCCTGAAATTTCATAGATTTAGAACATCTGGTTTTAAAACCAAACTTTCATTCAAGTGTTAGTAGTCAATTTGTCATGAATGTTTATATTTTAAGCTTAAAATTTCATCCAAGTGTTGGATAATCAATTTGTTAAAAATCGACAAGTGGTAAATTTTATATTTTAAGCTTAAAATTTCATTCAAGTGTTGGATAATCAATATGTTAAAAACCGACAAGTCTTAGAATTACTGTTAGTTCTTCTACCTTTGGTAAACGAGATAATCTAAAAAACCGTTTTAATTTTTAAAGAAAAAAAAAAGTCAAGTCCCACTATTTAAAATATTTTAGTATTTGAACTTATGTGACATATTACTTGATATATTCAATTAAAAAAAACTGCGTTGTTTAAAATTTTGAGAGAATAATTACAAAATAAAAATCAGAGCATACTAGGTTACAAATAAATAAACAGATCCACCGCAATAATAACTAGTGTCGGATTTAACAATAATCCCAAAAAAAACGCAAGTACGAAACTGTAAATACTAAATAGTAAAAAGCACATACCCGAATAAGCGCATGCTCATTGGTCATTTCCCACCACTAGGTTAGTACAAAACTGAACCAACTGTCCCAATGTGAGTCAGATTTTTTGTATTCAAGTTGATCAATGAGAAAGCGACACCTGACAGATTACGTTTGTCTGTCCAACTTAACACCCAAACAAAGAACATCTATACAAAAAAAAAAAAATGTCTTATCTTTTTATTCACAAGATTCTCTTCTTCTCCCACCTCTCCAACCTCAACTCTCGGAGCTTTAGCTCCCTCCGTCCATGGCAGCAAACTTACCTCTATCTCCGATTACCCATCATTTCTGCCTGAGGTCTGGCTTCGGGTCCAGGGCTTTGACGACGCACCGGTTCTGTTCGCCGAGCTTTTTGATTTCTTCTCCTTGTTTCATCGGCTTGACCGGGTTGGGCTCGGCTAGTCAGTTACGTGCTCGTCGTTCTCTGATCTCTTCTGCTGTTGCGACGAATTCGATGTTGCATGATGTCGGAGCCACCGTGGCAGTTCTCGGTGGAGCATACGCGCTCGTCGTAAGCTTCGAGAGTCTCACCAAGCGAAACGTCATTCAACAGGTAAGTCACTTAATCCATCTTAATTAGTTATCCAGAAATTTTCTCCGATTATAATGGTTCGAATCCACCACTATATGTTACTGCTGGCTATATATTTTGCTTGTTGAGTGAAGTTTTCTCAAGTTGTGTTTGGAGTAGTACTACTAATTAGGAACAAGGATGAGCCTAGTAAAATAATTTGGCTGTAATAAGTCTTTTAGTTTTGAATATGAGGTAGCTAAAGCAGTCAAGAGCTGTATAAAGTTCGTACCAATGAGAAGAAACCATAACTTTGTTTCTCTCTATTCACTTTTGTCATAAATTTCTGTTGGTGGAACAGAGTTTGAGCAGGAAGCTTGTGCATATACTCTCAGGTCTGCTTTTCGTACTGGCGTGGCCAATCTTCAGGTATTGCTTTGATTTCTCTCTCTATGTCACTAAATCTCTATAACCTTTACAACTAGCAGCATTTTGATTTCCTTTTCGTCATCTTTAAGTTTAGCGGATCGAGCGAGGCTCGATACTTCGCTGCTTTTGTTCCGTTAGTGAATGGCTTAAGGCTTGTTATTAACGGACTGTCCCTTTCCCCAAATTCTACGCTAATCAAATCCGTCACAAGAGAAGGGAGACCAGAGTAAGCTTTTCTTATATATATTGTGTGTTCACCAACTCTTCATAATTATTACAGCAATCTGATGACTCACCATTGCTATATTGTTTTCAAAACCAACACAGAGAGTTGCTTAAAGGTCCGTTGTTCTACGTTCTAGCTCTTCTTATCTCTGTAGTATTCTTCTGGAGAGATTCTCCTATTGGTATGATGTCATTAGCGATGATGTGTGGTGGCGATGGTAAATGTTCTTACCTATTCATTCTCCTTACATGTATGGGTTGATCGAAAGAAAGAGTCTAAGTGCAAACATGATCAAAACGTCTTTGTAGGAATAGCTGATATCATGGGACGTAAGTATGGGTCAGTGAAGATACCTTACAACCCAAGAAAAAGCTGGGCAGGAAGCATCTCCATGTTCATATTCGGCTTCTCCATCTCCATCGGGTAACCAAAACCCCACAAATTAATCATCAACGAACAAACTCTTAAGTAAGAACTGAGATTATATTTTACAACTGCTTTTGTCATATATGCAGATTACTTTACTATTACTCGAGCCTTGGGTACCTTGACATGAACTGGGGAACGACCTTCCAGAGAGTCGCAATTGTCTCAATGGTGGCCACGGTGGTCGAGTCTCTACCCATCACCGATCAATTAGACGACAACGTTTCGGTTCCTCTGGCTACTATTTTAGCTGCTTATTTAAGTTTCGGAAATTAGGTTAATTAGTCCCTCAGAAATATATAAATGGATCCACAATGCTAAAAGCCCACAAGTTGTATATATGCATGTTACCTCAGCCATTTACAACACGATTCAAAGATTCATCATAACTAATCTGGTTTTGGGTTAGGAGTGTTAGATGCATACATACGCCCAATTGAAGTAGAAGAACATTCAGTATGATGATGTTTTGAAAACATGATTTTAGAAACTTGCAGGATTGATGTGAAACATAGGGGTCTATACATATATCAATGTAATAATATATCCCAAGAAAAAGATCATACACCTAACAACAACTATTACGACTTTGTGAGTCATGAGAGCTAAGCATTGATATTGCATGGTTGACGATTTCCGAGATGTTTTTTCGGATGTTTTCAGTAAAAATGAAAATCAAAAATAAATACTAGAATACAAATACAGTATTAAGAAACTTCTCTACTGAAACCCAAAATGCACAACTGAGAAAAAACCTGCGTTTGAATGATTTTGTTGTTACCTAATAATTGAGTAATTATGTAATTCGTGATAATTGATATGATGGAATGATCCATGATTCAAGTTTCTTCTGAAAATAGACCAATATATCGGGTAGATCTGAATCAAATTCAAAATTTTATGTTTCCATGTTGGAACATAATATACCATAAAGGGAAAATTATTCACCTTAATAGAAGAAACTCAGTCATTGACAGATACGTAAAAATTCTGACATAAAGAATTAAATGCATATCTCTCACATAGTATCCAATGTAATATTTTACTGGGAGAATAATTAACTTCGGTAAAAGACATAAAGAATTAAACCGGACACATTCTGACGTAACCCGAAGCGGCCGGTTCTGGTTTTCACGCGTGTAGCGGCAGGTTTACACGTGTCACTCAGGAAAGCAAATCAAAGGGGGTGTTTTGGTAAATTCGGCAGACATGCCAAGTAACGTTTTCGCTTCTTCTGCATCAACACAAACACACACACACACTCACTCGCCACCTTTATAATTCCCCTCTGCGACGCTGCGAAAGAGAAGAGAGATCTCTCTTTTCTATATCCTTAAATGGGAGGATTAAAAAATCAAAAGAAAAAATCGATACAAATTAAGTAGAAAATATATTCGTGTAATTAAGGGATTTCAATTAGTAAATTTTGAATTCGTAATTAACAAAAATCTAAAAACAGAGAGAAAAAAAAGAATAAAAATCTCTACGGCGATATTTACACGGTTTCGCCGCCGAGGAGGAGGAAGAGAATAATCGTTTTCCGATGATGGAAGAGACGACGGATAACGCCGGGAAAAGCAGCTCTCTGAAGAACGTCGCTGCTTCTTCTGCTCACAACAACCACCGTTACAGATATCGAAGCTCCGGGAAGCGTTTTATATTCTTCGCTTCCTGTTTTGGGTTTTACGCTTTGGTGGCTTTGACGTACGCGTGGCTCGCATTTCCGCCGCATATCGGCCGTACGGATCATGTATCGTGGTCTTCGTTGGGTTGCAGAGAGGATAATGAAGGTTCATGGTCCATTGGTGTTTTCTATGGAGATTCTCCCTTCTCCCTCAAACCAATCGAATCCGTGAGTTTTTTTTTTTTCTTCTCTCGGAAATTTTTTTTTTTTTTTTCTTAGGTCACAGGTAATTGTTTCCATCTAGGGTTCATGAATTATATTCAATCATAATTCGGGGACATACGACATTGTTTCTGATGAGTTTTGGGTGATTCAAAACAGATGAAAGTATGGAGGAACGAGAGTGGAGCATGGCCTGTGTCTAATCCAGTTTTAACATGTGCCTCCTTGACCAATTCTGGTCTTCCTAGCAACTTTGTAGCTGATCCTTTTCTTTATGTACAGGTTATATATTTTTCTCTTTGATCCCTTCCATCCAAACCCTTTGTTTTTTTTTTCAATTTTGATGTGTTCTGTGGTTTCATGAATCATAAAGCAGAAGAACCACACAATTTGTTTTTGAGTCTGATTTTTGGGTGATTGTGGTCAAACAGGGTGATACTCTTTACCTCTTCTTCGAAACTAAAAACCCCATTACAATGCAAGGGGATATAGGAGTCGCAAAAAGTATTGACAAAGGAGCTACTTGGATACCTCTTGGTATAGCTTTGGATGAGGCTTGGCACTTGTCTTTTCCATTCGTCTTCAACTACAACGGAGAAGTAAGATATCAATTGCTTGCACAACAGAATTCATGATACATGTAAATTACATATATAGTTCAAGATCATTTGGGTCTCTAACATGTAAGTTTACTTTTTGTTTTCTTCAAAAGATATACATGATGCCGGAGAGTAACGAGTTAGGACAGCTTAATCTATACCGTGCTCTTAACTTCCCCTTAAGTTGGAAGCTGGAGAAAGTTATCATGAAAAAGCGCCTTGTTGATTCTACCATAATCCATCACGAAGGAATCTATTGGCTGTTTGGATCAGATCACAGTAGCTTTGGGGCTAAGAAGAATGGACAGTTGGAAATTTGGTACAGCAACTCTCCTCTTGGCCCATGGAAACCACACAAGAAGAATCCTATCTACAATGGTAAAAGAAGTGTTGGGGCCAGAAATGGAGGCAGAGCGTTTTTACATGACGGGCATCTTTATCGTGTTGGTCAAGACTGTGGTGAAAACTACGGGAAAAGGATACGCGTTTTTAAGGTAGAGGTTATTTCCAAGGATGACTACAGAGAAGTTGAAGTCCCTTTCTCTTTGGAAGATTCACATAAAGGTAAAAACTCTTGGAACGGACTTCGCCAGCATCATTTCGATGTGAAACAGCTAAGTTCCGGTGAATTCATTGGTCTTGTTGATGGTGATCGTGTAACTTCAGGCGATCTGTTTCATCGGGTTGCTCTCGGTTATGCCTCTCTTGCAGCTGCTATTTCCGTGGTTGTATTGCTTGGGTTTTTGATTGGGGTTGTGAACTGCATTGTTCCATCAACCTGGTGCATGAACTACTATGCGGGAAAAAGAACTGATGCATTCCTGAATCTGGAAACTGCGGGTTTTTTCTCGGAAAAGTTAAGGCGGATTTGTTCTCGCTTGAACCGAGTACCACCTTTTCTCAGAGGATTAGTGAAGCCCAATTCCTCCATGGGAAAATTTACGCTCGGTGTTATAGTCCTTGTAGGACTTTTGCTCACATGTGTAGGCATCAGATACATATATGGCGGAAGCGGAGCCGTTGAGCCTTACCCATTCAAAGGTCACTTGTCTCAGTTCACGTTAGCAACTATGACTTACGATGCTCGTCTCTGGAATCTGAAAATGTACGTTAAGCGATACTCTCGCTGTCCTTCCGTCAAAGAGATAGTTGTCATATGGAACAAAGGACCACCTCCTGAACTGACCGAGCTAGACTCTGCCGTGCCAGTGAGAATCCGAGTCCAGAAGCAGAATTCTCTGAACAACAGGTTCGAGATCGATCCGCTAATAAAAACCCGAGCTGTTCTTGAGCTTGATGACGATATAATGATGCCTTGCGATGACATCGAGAAAGGGTTTAGAGTTTGGCGGGAGCATCCTGAGAGACTGGTGGGATTCTACCCACGTTTTGTTGATCATACCATGACTTATAGCGCAGAGAAGTTTGCGAGAAGTCATAAAGGATACAATATGATTCTCACAGGAGCAGCGTTTATGGACGTTCGCTTTGCCTTTGATATGTATCAGTCGGATAAAGCCAAACTAGGTCGGGAATTTGTGGACGAGCAGTTTAATTGTGAAGACATCTTGCTGAATTTCTTGTACGCGAATGCTAGCGGATCAGGAAAAGCTGTAGAGTATGTGAGGCCGTCTTTGACAACAATTGACACTTCGAAATTTTCAGGTGTAGCTATTAGTGGGAACACGAACCAACATTACAAGAAGAGGAGTAAGTGCCTCCGGCGATTCTCTGATTTGTATGGAAGTTTGGCTGATCGAAGATGGGAATTTGGTGGGAGAAAAGACGGGTGGGATTTGTAGAACAGTAGTGTTACTTGTAGGGCAAGTAAGTAGTTCTTCAATTAAAAGTGAGCTTCAAACATATAAAGCCATAGCCCTTTCTTAATATCTATTATTACTTTGGTTGTTGTGTTGATTGTAGCCTGTAGGTTCAAAATGTAATTTTAGCCTATTTTCCCTTTTTCTTTCATATTTTGTTAGAAACCGGTGTGGTGGGATCAACAAGGATTATATGATTGATTTGTTTATTATTGAATAAGCTTCACAGAATACAATTAGGAAATTTATATCCAAAAAAATTAGGGGATTTATACCTTAAAAAAGGAAAATTTAAAGCCGACTAAAAAAAAGGAAAATCAAAAGCCGACTAGAAAAAGGAATCCCTCGCTGTCTCTATGACTCTATATATAACAAGGCACACTTGAGCAACAAATCAACACAGAACACACATAACTCATAACTTAGCAACAAATCTCTCATCCTTTCCTAACTTAATGTCTACGACAAAGGCATTATCGCTTCTCGTGCTTCTTCTCTTCGTGTCCCTTGTCCACGCCACAGATCAATGTCCGATCACTTCCATCTACCAATTCGGTGACTCCATCTCCGACACGGGAAATCTAATTCGCAACGGTCCTGTCGGAGCCAGGTCTCACGCCGCTAATTACCCATACGGTCAAACATACTTCCACCGAGCCACCGGTCGTCTCTCCAACGGTCAGCTAATGATCGATTACTTGGCACGCAGGCTTGGTCTCCCACTCCTAAACCCTTACCTCAACGGAACTACAGTCACAAAGCCTTCTTCTTACAAGAACGGTGTTAACTTCGCCGTCTCCGGAAGCACAGCACTCAACAGCTCATTCTTCGCCGCGAGAAACCTCCACGTTCCGGCAACAAACATTCCTCTCTCCACACAGCTCGCTTGGTTCAAGTCTCATCTACTTTCCACGTGTCAAGGTGCCCCTTCTTCGGACTGCTTGAAGCAGTCGCTTTTCATGATGGGCGAGATCGGAGGCAACGACTACAACTACGGTTTCTTCCAAGGCAAACCCATGGAAGAGATTAGAAGCTACATACCTCATGTGGTTGGAGCCATCACAGCCGCAGCTAGGGAGGTGATCCGAACCGGTGCAGTTAACGTGGTCGTCCCAGGGAACTTTCCGGTCGGATGTTTTCCGATATACTTGACATCTTTCCCCGTGAAGGATCCAAAAGCTTACGACGACCAAGGATGCTTGAAGCATCTCAACGAATTCGCCATGGATCACAATAACCAACTCCAAGAAGCTATAGCTTCTTTGAGAAAAGAGTTTCCCCATGTGGCTATAGTCTATGGCGATTACTACAACGCGTTTCAGAACGTTCTACGCAGTGAAGGCCGATTCGACAAGAGCGTGGCTTTAAAGTCGTGTTGCGGGATCGGTGGAGCTTACAACTACGACGGAAAGAGGCCTTGCGGAGCAGCGGGAGTGCCGGTGTGTCAGAACCCAAACAAGTTCATAAGTTGGGATGGAGTGCACTTGACTCAGAAGGCTTATAGGTTCATGTCTAAGTTCTTGAACAATCAGATTCTTTCATAGATCAAGTGTACTAGCTTAGACCACCTCCATTTGTGAACCTCTAAAATAATGCTTAACAACATTTCATTAATAAAAATTGATTAAATAAAAATGTTAGAAGGAGAAAAAATTATAGAAAGAGAAAGAGATGAATATATTTTTTACCAATGAGTAATTGCCATGTGTCTTTAAGTACCCCTAAACACAACTTCTAAAACCATTTATTTAATTGTTCAATTTTGATTTGTTTTTTGTCCACAATAAACTTATGAAACTCACTAAGCACCTCCCTTTGGAGGTGCCCTTAGGCCCTAGTAATTAGGAGCGTGTGTTTTTTTCAACCGTCTCCCTAGTTTTGTTATTTTTTACTTTTGTGTAAATCTTTTTATACCCTCAAATAATATTTTTATTTGCTTTAATGTGTAACTTTTTTTACAATTAATTAAACGTACCCAGTAATCTCAAACAAAACCATATTCCAAATTCAGATGCAAACACAGCATAGCTGATTGCATTCTTCTTGATGAGGTAATAGAAAGTCTAGGGCATACACTTCTTGAATTTGGGTTTTAACTTTGGGAGAGGACGACTTGTATTGGGCTGAATTGGTTTAGGGCCCTTTTTTGTTTGTGTAATACAACACATTCTACTTTGAAACAAGCAAAGATAATAAAAACATTAACAAAATAAATTATGAAAATTAATGGATGATGTAACACAAAAGTTGAGATTAAAAAACTATCACAAAGCCTAGTAAATGAGTGAGAGCATTAGTTATTGAATCGAACGAATCATTATTGCAAAGATCCAAAATTGGCAACAAAAGAAAAATAAAAAAAAACTACCAAGTGATCAAATCCTATCTTTTAAAAATCATTTTCAAAATAATAATTTTAGTTAAAGTATTGAAAAAACTGAAAAAAGAAAAAGATGAAGAAGTGAAGCAGAAGAAGAAGAAGAAGGGGAAGAAGAAGAAGAAGTGAAGAAGAAAGAGAAGTGTCACATCTCTCTCTCTCTCTCTATATATGAGCTCCATGAAATTCCCCACATTTCTCTTCTGCTCTCTGTTCCCAATATTCTTCCCTTTCTCTTTAATCGAGATATAATAATATTCGAGAATTTTCGAAATCGGAACCCACCACCACCCCTCCCTCACATAAAGAAAGCTCCCCTTCTTCAAAACCTCCATCGTCAGCTTTCTCTACAGATCCAACGGTTCTCTTCATTTTTTTTTTTGGGTTCGAATTCGGGTTCTCTCTGCAATCGATTCTTCTCGCTACGTTGGGTTTGATTTGTGGGAGGATTGATTAATCTAATCTAATCTAAGCTTATGGGTCGTATCGAGATGTATAAGAAGAATTAAAAAAGGAATATGTCGTTGGCAATGGAGAAAGAATTTGATTCAAAGCTTGTTCTTCAAGGGACCTCCTCCTCATCTTCCAACGGTGCCAATGTCTCCAGAAGCAAGAGCTTCTCCTTTAAAGCCCCTCAAGAAAATTTCTCCAGCAACGATTTCCAATTTGGCAAGATCTATGGCGTTGGTTCTTACTCTAAGGTTTCTATCTTTTCAACCTATTAGCCAATGTGGCTTTGATTTTGTATCAACCCAGCTCCGTTCCTTCTCTTGATTTGTTTTTTTGTTGCAATGTGGTGTGAATTTGGAAAGGATTGTTTTTGACACCTGTGTGGATGGATGCTTCAAATCAGGTTGTTAGGGCAAAGAAGAAGGAATCTGGAACTGTGTATGCCTTAAAGATTATGGACAAAAAGTTCATCACCAAGGAGAATAAAACAGCTTATGTGAAGCTGGAAAGGATTGTTCTTGATCAACTTGAACATCCTGGGATTATTAAGCTTTTCTTCACTTTTCAAGACACATCCTCACTATGTAGGTATTCTAGTTCAGATGTTACATTCCTGTTCTTTTCTGTAATTGATTGATGTTTATTTTTTTTTGTGTCTTCTCTATATGGTTTTGGTAGATATGGCACTTGAATCTTGTGAAGGTGGTGAGCTTTTTGACCAAATAACCAGAGTAAGATGGACTCAGAATCTTGGAAGATTAATTCTTGGTATTCAGTGTTGTGGGATTTTGACATACCATCATGGTTCCTTCTGTGTTTTTTTGTGTGTGTGTAGAAAGGCAGGCTATCAGAAGACGAAGCTCGATTCTACACTGCAGAAGTTGTGGATGCTCTCGAGTATATACATAGTATGGGACTGATACATCGAGATATTAAGGTAGCTTCTCTTTCATATCTTCTCTTTTATGGTCTTAACAGATGGCAGTGCTTAGTGTTTTCCTTGAATTGGTAGCCGGAGAATCTGTTGCTGACTTCAGATGGGCACATTAAGATTGCGGATTTTGGTAGTGTGAAGCCGATGCAAGATAGCCGGATCACAGTACTTCCTAATGCAGCTTCTGGTAATATGATCGTCCACAATCCTTTCTCACATTTCTGAGCTTAAGGGCTTATCGATAATTATTGTCAGATTCTGGTTTAAGCCTCTCTCTGTAAAACTGGTGACGTATACAGACGATAAAGCATGCACTTTTGTCGGGACTGCTGCATATGTTCCTCCAGAAGTTCTCAACTCTTCCCCCGCAACTTTCGGGTAAGAGTTTTTGGTTTCTTAATTAACCTATTTGGTTTTGTGGATTACAATGCCTCTTACTTTGAACAATTTTTTGGTGCTCTATGGAATACCAGAAATGATCTCTGGGCTCTCGGCTGCACTCTCTACCAGATGCTTTCAGGGACTTCTCCATTCAAAGATGCAAGTGAATGGCTGATTTTCCAAAGAATTATAGCCAGAGATATAAAGTTCCCAAATCATTTTTCAGAAGCAGCAAGAGACCTCATCGACCGGTTGCTGGTAAGATACATCAAAAGCCATAGTCACCAATCAGATGATATGGCTATAACTCTTTTACTGTCACCAGTCAGATGATATGGCTGTAACTCTTTTACGGTGAGATTTTCTCAGGATCCTGATCCAAGCAGAAGACCAGGTGCTAGTTCAGAAGGTTATACTGCTCTTAAGAAACATCCTTTCTTTACTGGAGTTGACTGGAAGAATCTTCGGTCTCAGACTCCTCCGAAACTAGCCCCAGATCCTGCGGTATGCCTCCTCCTAATTGTAATGCCTTTTTTATTATCTTCGTGTTAGTTTATCTATTCAGTTTTGTTATATCTGTTGCAGTCTCAAACAGCATCTCCCGAGAGGGATGATGCACATGGTTCTCCGTGGAACCTGACACATATTGGAGATTCTTCAGCCACACAGAACGATGGACACGGTGCACCTTCTACAGCTTCTGAATCATCGGGTTCCATAACACGGCTTGCTTCCATAGACTCTTTTGATTCGAGATGGTGGGGGCAATCAGGATTCCTTTTTCCTCTGTTTTCTGGGCAACATCCCCTGTTCCTGAAACTAATCCAGTTAGAGACGATCTGCTAACTTTTTATTTTTGGGTGACCATTTGGTTAACAGGCAACAGTTTCTGGAGCCGGGAGAATCCGTTCTGATGATATCAGCTGTGAAGAAGCTTCAGAAAATAACGAGCAAGAAGGTGCAGCTAATACTCACCAATAAACCCAAGCTGATCTATGTCGACCCGTCAAAGCTAGTAGTAAAAGGGAACATCATCTGGTCTGATAACTCAAATGACCTCAACGTTCAAGTGACTAGCCCTTCCCATTTCAAGATTTGCACGGTACTCATCACTTCCCTAATTTTCTTACCACCAAAGATATGAATCTTAAATTGTGACACTTTTTGAGTTCTGCAGCCAAAGAAGGTTTTATCATTTGAAGACGCAAAACAGAGAGCTCTGGTGTGGAAAAAGGCAATTGAGACTCTTCAGAACCGCTGAGACAAACTCCCCTGAAGAATGTTTCTGTTAATTCTCTGTTTGTGTTTTGTCTTCGTTCTTTAAACTGACCAAACTCCATACTTCAGATGTTTTTCTATCATACCCACCATTGAAAAGGACCACTTCCACAACAAAATACACAAAAGAGAGTTTTAAATTGAAAAACTGTTTTTTTTTTTAATTCTTATAAAGATCAAACGAATGTATTTAAAGATAAAGTTAGATGTGATGTTGATTTCAAGAAAGGGTACTCTTTTGTCAAAACTCAAAACAATGGTTACAGTGTTGGAAACTTACATATTACAAACAAACCAAGTATGGAAGAAAAAAGTGAAGAAAAGTTGTGGGATAATGCTAGGCATTGCTCACTTTGACAGCCAGAGGTTCATACCATTGAGGACCAAAGCCAGCAGCTTTTCTTGCTTCAGCATTAAAAGGCGGTTTCAACGGCCCTCTGAAATGCTCCCTTACTACCGAATGAAATTTTTTGATTATCTCTTCATTGCTTTCATCTGAGTCTTTGCTGGTGATGGTGAATTCCGGATGATTTGACCGTTCACATAGATACTTAAACCATTTGACCCCAGCTGCACAGTGAGTGATTTCTTCAGGGTACACAACTTTCTCTAGTAAATCTGCAGTCTCGTAATCGCCTCCGTTCCTGAACCGGGATATCGTAGTAGGCAGTACATCAAGCCCTCTAGCCTGCAAATATAGTAATATCAGTGACTAGGAGAATCAAAAGAGACTAAGTTACAAAGAAGTTGAAATGGGTTTCTCACCTCGTGAACGCAATGCTCTATAGCCAAACGAGCCAAAAGGTCCTGAGAAGTGGCAGTAGCAGAGTCCCAAAGACCATCATGAGCAGGCAATGCACCGTAAGTAGAACCAATTTCTTCAAGCCGAGCTGCAAGCAAAGTGAAGTGACGGCCTTCGTCCTGAGCAACAAGAACAAAATCCGTGAAGAAGTCTCTAGGCATCTTCTCTTGCTTACCAAAACGAGCAATTATATCCTGCACATTAACATTCCCCACCGGAATCATCAGTAAATGCAAAACCTTTAAGATAGATTAGATAAATCAATCACAGTTCAAATCGAAATCCTATACCCAAGATAAGTCAATCGCCCAGCTTTCAGTATGAACAAGACTATGAACAATGGCTTGCCTGCTCTGTAAACTACCAGCTCTTCCCAGCTTCGGCATCAAACTCGGAGAGACCAATTTCACCGGAAGTCGAGCCGGCCTGTCCGGCACGGAGAGATCGACGGTGGGATCGTAGGTTTCGGCTATATCACCTTGGAGCCATTTGACGGCAATTGAATCTCCAAGCCTGGCTTTTTCGAACGGGTCCGATGTGTTCAGAACCCTAATCGCCGATTCAACAAGGGTTTCGCACTCCATCTCTCGCTCCTCCTACTTTTCCCGGCGGCGAGATGTGTAGAAGAAAATTAAAAAAAAAAAAAAAAAAAACATTTCAATTCAACGACCCAGAGCGGTAGATAGCACGCGCGACACAGAGCGCGTTGATAAGTCCCGTCATAAACTACGATTAGGAGCAAATTAGTGAATGCATTAGTCATTTTAGTGAATGTAATTTTCTATGCTTTATACACACACAATAACACAAAACTGTGCTCTAATTCTTTCCCATTCATCATGTAGTAGGCTCGTAAAGGACCTTTTTTAGTTTAACTTAGTGAAAGATGATTGAGAGCAAACACAAAACTGTTCTCTAATTCTTTTCCCCCTTAATCTTGTAGTAGACTCGTATAGGACCTATTTTTTTTAGTTCAACTCAATAAAAGATGATTAAGAGCAAACGTAACACAAATGAAAATGTGCTCTAATTTTTCTTCCTTAATCTTGTAGTGATAGACTCGTAAGACCTATTTTAGTGTAATTTAGTAAAAGATCATTAAGAGCAAAGACAAAACTGTGCTCTAAGTGTTTTCCACTTAATCTTTGTAGTAGACTCGTTGGACCACAGTGTGTTCTATTCTTGTGAAAGGCTCCAAAATCAAACAATAAAACTGATTGCATTCAAAGGTAATGTCAGAGAGTTTTGACACATCAATAATATATATACACACAATATGTGGTCTAGTGTAAAATGTAAAATACTTATATAGAGAAGACATGTATATCAATTACAATCTGTGAACACACATGAGATTTATTGCTGTCTTGCTCGTAAATGGGTAAGCCACAATAATGTAAATCTGACAAAATCAATGCTGCAACTTGAAGACACAATCTCTTTGTTACTGTTCGAAGTATTGACTTCTATACCAATTGGTCGTTACTAGTCAATTCTACAATCAATTTGCCCACACAATTAAAAATAAAAGAAAAAGAAAATGTTTATAAAGTACCGTCAATTAAAACATGCTTATATTTATTGCAAATTTAAATCGAAAAACAAAATGTATTAATCGTCGACTATAGCAACTTGTTTGGTCTAACATTCCCAAATAATCCAAAGTTCGAAATAATAACGCCTAATAAAGAAACATTTTCTTATAACCAATTGATGTTATTCGATCTGCTTACTTGTGATCAATCAACACGAACAAAACTCATGGTATCGTCGTTGATCCAATCATATTTCTCGACGAAAGGATTAGGGATTCTCGACAGCTCCGGATATCGATCGATGGAATCTTCCCAAACATTCTTGTCACCAAGATCCTTAAGAACCTCCCAAACACAATTATTAGACTCGAATCCAGCTCCCATACTCATCATTAGTATCTTCTCACCTTTCTTCAATCTATTCTTAGCTTCCATGTAACCAAGAACGTACCATAAACCACCTGAAGACGTGTTCCCGAACCTATGAAGCGCCATTCTCGCTGGCTCGATGTCGGATTCCGTGAGCCCTAAGCTTTTCCCTACTCCTTCGATAATAGCTCTTCCTCCGGGATGAATGCAGAAATGTTGCAACCCTGTTTTTAGGTCTAGACCTATCCCCGAGCTCCCTGGCTCTCTTTTCGCGGCGGTTCTTCTTTTAAGTGCACGGCCTATCGCATAGCGTATCAGTTCCTTGACAGGCAAGACTCTAGGGAGGAGAACTTGGAGGTTCTTAGTTAGGGCTCGACCGGCAGCTTTTTTTAGGTGTTTGGTTAGGAGAAAGCCTGGATGACCATCTCCGTCTTCCATTTGTATGCAGCAAGAGTACGCCTCGTCGTCTGCGCCCACATGTGCCCGGACCACTGTCACAAGCTTCATCAAAGCCCGGTTCTTGAACCTAGCTGCGTTGGTTAACAGAACAGAGCTTCCTCCGGCACGGAAGAGACAGTTTGAGAGCATCATTGACCTATCTCTACCGCAGTACCAGTGAGGACCCATTGTCTCGGTGCTGACCACGAGTGCGATAGCGTTTTCGCGAGTTTCGAAGATCCTTTGCACGATATCTATCGAGATAACGCTCGCGCTACAGCCTAGACCCGAGAGGTTGAAGGATTTGATGTCTTCCCTCATCTTGTACCTGTTGATGACTCGTGAGGTTAGAGAAGGAGATGGAGCGAAGAGTGAGACGTTGACGACGAGGATGTCGATGTCGGAAGGAGAGATTAAGCCTTTGGTCTTTTGAAAAAGCTTGTCGAGAGTGCCGAACATGATCTCGTCCATTTCGGAGTGAGCGTCAAGGAGAGAAGGAGAGTCTTCCCTGCCTTCAAGCACGTTTCTTGGGCCGTACGTTTCCTCTCCAATCCCGGAACTAGCCATTGTACGAAGGAGAAACCTGTACTCTTCAAGACCCAAGTTCTTGTTTCGTTGAACGACCTTAGCACAAGTCTCGGTGTCGAGTTTTCTCTCCTCCATGCCCTTGTAACACTCGTAGTGAAGCATGAAGCAGTTCCTCTGGTTTCTTCTTTTGAGAACAAAGTGGACGACGTAGAAAACGAAGAGAGTGGAGAGTAGGAGAAGAGAAGGGAGTGATAAGAGCTCCATGGAAGAAAGAAACAAAGAAACTGAGACGGCAAGTGAGAGAGAAAGAGAGTGTGTAATGTGTGTTTCAAATTGTGTCAAAGTTGCAGGAAACGTACGGATTTTATAGAGTTAGTGATATGTTCAGATTTTGTCTTCAAATTACTCTCTTTTTACACCCGTTTTTTTTTTGTCATAGACCTATTAACTCCTCTACCAACTACTTTTTTTTTTTTTTTTTTGAAAACTAGATTTTAGTTTGGGTAAAAGAAAAAATCAAAGATATCTTTGCGACTTACGTACGTGTGTTTGTATGATAATTTCTGTAAAATATTGACTACACATGCTTTTAAACGAATTCTCAAGTATTAAAATTGTAGGATGATCATTCCTACTTTATATATAGAAACACTTTCCAAACGAGTTCGGTGTTGGCTATACTGCAAAGATCAACTCCTTAAAATGGGTGCGGTATGGTCAGGACTCAAGACTCAGCAGCGGATGAGACTCTTTAATTTTTGTTCTTTCTTTAGGTGTGTTTAGTGCGAGAGAACTAACACATTGGATCCACCACGTTTTTATGGTAATATTGCCAAATGCGTTTGGAAAAATTAAATAGTAAACACATTAAAAGATCCACAATGAAAGAAAAAAGAGAAAAAATCATATCATAGTTAATAGTTCCACCAACCAAAATCCCAATAATTAATAAGTTGATACCTCTCTCATGACAACGTTGGTGGTTTTTGAGTTTTTAAAATCCGATACAGACTTGATGATAGTAATAACAGAGAGACTGAAATTAATTAAAACTCCACGTACATTGCTTAAACGTCTCTTTTAGTGTATGAAAACAAGTTGGGGTGGTAGGAGTGGAGCTATCCATTTGTCAGCTAGTCCCATACGACATGTATGTTCATCTCATTTACATATCATCCGATGCTTTGATTGTTATCTAACCTTATCTTATTTTTTTGGGTCGATTACTATATATTTCGAACTTTACGTACGTATAGGTATAGTTGTTTTCAACTTCAATACTGTAAATATATACAAAATAGACCCTACTCCATATCCAATCCACATTTAAAAAAAAAAAATTAGGTATATCTACCAATTTATTTCGATTGGTTGTGATGATATATAAAAATATAGTAACAAATGAGTAATGCCTCATGACCCTTTTCTAGTTTTTTTTTTTTTTCTTTCTTTTTTTCTTCATTGAATTCCAGCTAGCCTGTGACGAATTTACTACGGTGTTTCTCGTCCTTATATCATAAGTAACATTACATGGTGATGTAAAATTTTGTTGACAACAAAATAATTGCGAAAACATGGTAAGTTTGACGTGCTAATCATTATGCTTTGTTTAGTACTGGTTCAAAAAAACATATGTATTATGGGATCGATCGGGAGATTAGCTTAGGGTTCGTTTTCTTCTTCTATTATATATATATATGGTCATATGGACAATGACAACAGTAACTAGTCTTCTCTTCTTTCAAAGATTTAGTCTAGACAATATATAATGGTATCTACTTATATATATATATATATATATATATTGGTGTATTTTTAACTTTTTCTAACAGAATGACACAATTTGCAATAAAATTTAAATTTAGTAATAAAAGCAGTGGTCAGTACTTGCAACTGCAACGGATAATAGTCTTCATTGGTTGCGACTTGCGAGTTGTGATGATATGGTTCAGAGTTTTTTTTTTGTTTTTTATTTTATTTTGTTTCATCACCTTAATTTTCTCTTCAAATTCTCTATTATTACAGATTTAATTCATCAGTTCCATTACGAAGTTGTGACAAAACATTAAAATCGGGGGGGCGGGGTCGGGGTGGTGACTCATGCAAATTTGTTTGATTTCACAGTGCATATCTCATTCTTTTAAATAGTAAATGCAATTATGGTTTCTGTTGCGGTTCTTCTTGGAATCCCAAATTGACAAAAGAAAACTTCAATCAAATGATTTTTAAGGAAATAAGGAAAGCAAGTCAAAACACTCGACTTGGTTTCCTTTAATAATGAGAACCGAGCGAAACCAAAACATAAACCAGATTTGTACTGATTTGATTTTTAAAACCAGCCGCAAATCCAATTAGACCGTTGTACCACTCAGAACCAGTCCCGGTTTTGAAACCTGACTCGTTTATCGTGTGATTATAGAGAGACTCGGTAAAATCGATCACCCATGGCGGTTAAAAGCGACGCAACAATAGTAATAATGTTTTGTGTATTAAAGTAAATTTGACATATTGATAGAGAAATGTTACGATTTGACTTTTCGACACGATTAAACACGAAGGACACTGACTAGAGTCAACAAACAGTAACCGTACAGAAATATAAGATCAACGGCTCAAATTGATAGTAAAGGAATTAAATAGGGCTCCAAGCCCACATTATAAATTAAAGAAAAGAGTGTACAACGTATTGGAACAACACACCACTCTTGGCATCTTTTATGTGATGGTCATCTTCTACGCTCTTCATTAATGCAAATATTATACTACTACTGTCTATCTTGTTTTTTCTTTCTTTTTCTAGTTTTACTACAGTCTTGGGTTATATATATAATGATGACTATTGCTTGTCTCAGTAATCCTATTTATCAGTTTTAGTTACAACAACTTCGTTGAGAAATTGTACATAACGTTCAGTCTTTTTATCAACGGGACCAACAAAAACAAAATCACAATAATATCTAACGTTCTCAATGATGCCTGAGGTCGATAACACCAACCTGCTGCAACATGATCGCATTGCTATACAAGAAGAAGTTAGTTCCCGACGCCCACCCACATTCTCTTGGTTTGGCAGGTTTTCTAACCCGCCTTTCTTTTTAGGCGGGTTTTATTGATGTTTCTGTTCCTCATTGCTGTTGCTATGCCTTTACTCTGTCAAAAAACACACACACACACACATTTACGGTGAAGCTGGTGTAACTTGGGACTCTCATTCAGCTGCAAAATAGCCTTCGCGGATGGAGAGATTTTCAAACGCTTCAAAGTTTGTTTTTAAACCAAGAAATTGGCTCCCTATCTGAGCACAACCCGCATCAGGCCTTCGACACGTTCCTTCTCTTGTACGCAACGGACACAATGCTTCACAAACATTTTGTTCAGTCACCGATGAGATAGATTCTGAGACATCTGTGGTGTCTGATGGATTTTGGAGAATTGAGTGAGAACACTTCTGCGGCCCGTCTTCTACTTCAACTGTGCAATCTCCGTTCTTTGTGAATTTCACTTTACAGCCAAGTGACTGCACAGCTCGTGATATGACGGCACACTCTTTTGTAGCTCTCTTTGCTGATTCTCTAGCTGCATGGCTTATGTCTCTCTCGGTCAGTAACTCTTCTCTCAGTGACTCCACTGCAGAAGATAACTCATCTACCTTCCTTTCAGCTTCTTCTTTCTCCTGTTTCAATTTTTTCGACCCGACAAAAGAAACAATCGAGACGAAACAAGTTAATTGACAATAATAGAATGTACAATCAAATATAAACTATTAGGAAAGGATTCTTTAGTAGTCTAGAGTTGTTATGAAGGATGGGTCACCTTTTTCATTTCTGAATACATAGCAGTCATGGCTCTAAATTGGTCCTCGATTTCTGCAGCGTTCGGTTCCACAGGGCAGGCCCACCGGAGATGGAACTGGGGCCAGAGAGTCGGGGCTAGAGCTGCTGCAGCAGGTAGTAATAGGGCATCATGTATTGAAGGATCATAAAATGGGTTACAATGGACATGAAAAGTTCCACTGGAGGAACGCAAATCAGCCAAGTAGGCCCAAAGACATCCACAGGTCTCAGAAATCCCACATTGTTGCCTCTCTTTTTCACTGAAATTTATCAAAAACGGGTCAATATATATACTAGAATGGCCGCGCAGTCACTTCCTGCTCGACTATGGAACTAACTAAAGTACAGCAAAGAAGTTTTAAATGAGAGGTTACCTATTGCAAAAAAAGTTCCCAAAACGACATGAAAGCAAGCAGTCCATGAAATCTACCAAGAAAGTCTGAAACAAAATAGTGAAGGGAAGAGAGTACTTTTAAAACAAAATTTTCAATATGACACTGTCAAACATCTGTTAAAGGTCTATACATACCGGAGAAAACTCGAAAGCCGAAGGATACATCCGCATTAGCTGTGAAACGCAATCAAGCCACTGCAAACGTCGTAAACGTGAATATGATATAATCTAAGGCTTCATTCAGCTATCGTAAGTAGTTTTTTCACATCAAAAAGAATATCATAATTGTAGGCAATAGCTGCTAACCTGCAAAAATATAGGAGAATAGTTGTTCAGCCCATATGAAGAGCTAGAAGATTGAGCAATTGCTGATCCTGAAAGTTGCTGTACTGGAGATGAAGGGAAACTTCGAGCAGAAGAAGACTGAATTGGTACTTCAAAATTACAAGATTCAGACACGTTAGGCATTCCCACCCGATCAGAAAATTGGTGACCAAATGCTAACCAATCCTTTTCGACAAGAGCCTGATGTGAAGCCAGAACAGTAGAAAAGACTACATAAGACAATGGTAGATCAAACAAAATCTTAAAAAGGCTGCTTATGCTGTTAAAACAGCTGGCAAGAACATCTAAAATGGTAGCATTCGCTACAAAGTATTCTATGAGAGCCACCCACAATATCAGTTCGCAAGTTACAAACCTAAACTTGAAGTTGATAAGGAATTAAATAGATTCGGTCACAACATGAGCAAAAAGCCCAGAAAACCCAAACTATAAGACAAGGTATACCTGGAACCCAGAAAATGTTCTGTAGTATGGATCAAGTAATAAGCATGCAAGAGAAATCAGCTGCGTTGTTCTGTCCCATCCATCACTGCACAGTGACATCGCAATTCAGGATTGAACAAAAAAAAAATCATCTGAGAATAATTACCACCTGATTTAACGGATGATAAATACAAGTGTCTGCTTGAGACAAATCCATCTTTTTTTTATTACATGTATATAAATGGGTATCCAAGTAAAACAGTTCAGTGACGAAGTGGCCTCAAGATAGCTAACCTGCAGTGCACTAGAACGGATGCTGACTCCATAGCAACACGTGCAGCAATACATGCTACACCAGCTAAGATGCTCTGGATGTGACTCAACCAACCACTATCTCCAAGCAAAGATACTGAAGCAGACATACTACTGAGATTACCTCCACCCCACGTCCAGCCACCATGCCTCTACAGATTTCACATAAATAAAATTATCCACTATTAGCTACAGAAGAAAACAGAAATATGGGTAAATCATGATCATGATGTATCAATAAAAAGATATCTGTGGAAAACTTCACACTTTCTCCATGAACTTGAGAAGGAAACTAAGGTTACAAACATTAATTTGATAGCTTAGCTAATGTAAAATCATGTCCACATGCTTTAGCTTATCTCAACGAAGTATAACTGATTTAGTTGCTGAAACCACCTAGATATCGTTTGCTAGACAACTTGGAGAGTGTCAGTTGATTTGTTAAGAAGCTTTAATTGCTTTTGAACTTCTCTGCCAACTACAAATACTAAATTCCCTGGAATTCAGTACTTACCAAGAATGATGACGTCCCATCGGACGATGTTGTACCATGCATATCTAAATAATCCCTAAGGCGGGAAAAGCTATCTCTCATTGCATGTATGTTGTCTATCCCCAAAAAAATAATCTGAAGAGAAACATTGTCAGTAAAAACAAGCAGTTCCAGAAGACAAAATATTGAGCTGCAAACCAGTTTAGGCCATGTACAGACGTCAGATTGCAAATAATTTGAAGACGATTCTGAGCCTCCTCCCTTTGCTCCATTTGCTAATGCATTTTTCTTAGATCTTGCATCTACTATATAAAGCTTCCTATGACATAAAAAAAAATGATAGTACGTGCAATTTTTTAATAACTAAGTATCAACATTCAACCACTTTTCAGATATGACACAACAGAGTATTTTTCTATTTCATCCAAACAGACCTTTTTTAATATTCCAGAATATAATTCCACGTCCAATGGGGCCAACAAGAGTAGTTATTTCCAACTTATACGATATGTGATTTATGATTTTTAACCAAATGACAGAAAAAATCGGAAGCTCACCTTCGTTCTTCCTTATGGCCAGCTAACTGAGTGCAAAATGAAGCGACTAGTTTCTCATCAAAGTTACTGTAGAAATGAGTGAAATATATCAAAACATCAGTATACACCACTTCAAGCACTTTAAAATTCCAAATAAACTAAATTATCATGCAAAGTCTGGTCATAAAACTGAAAATTCTATATACCTCCTCATGTTCATCATCAAACCAACTAAAGGTTGTGATGAGCGAGCAATCACAGCTCCACTTCCTGCAATTGAGGAAAAAAAAGAAGAAGCAACATGTAAATGTGGAACCTATACCAACAAAGTTCAAATAAAAGTACCAACACCACTGCATTTCTACCCGGATGACACCACGAGATCACAGGTAAGCGACATCTTGCTCGGAAAGTAGAAGCCTGGATCAGATCTTCATCACTGACAACAAACATGAGGTAATTTTTATTATGTCAATACTTCCCAAGAAGATAGTTAAAACCAAAAAAGAAACAGTTGTATACCAAGTTACTAAAGAGAATCTTTCTCTGCAGTTTTCAAATACGAGCACAGAATTTCTCAATTCCAAACTAAACTTTTTTTCATTCCTAAACAAGGAATCAATGTCCTACCTAATGGATTTTGGAACCATCAAAGCAAACGGATAACTCTGACAAATTTCATAATTCGAGTTCAAGTTAGTTATCCGCCAAAGGTCATTGGACAGAGTGAATGAACCGTCTTCAATCATATTCATTGATGCTCGTTGTGAACTTTTTCCAAGAAGCCGAAAGTATTCATTAAGCAATCTTTCCTTTGGGTTTGTGTTACTGAATTTGGAAGGCCCACATGTAAAAGCATAAAGATCCCATACTCTCTCTGGTTTATTAGACCTTAATAGTGCATCAACTACAGCGCGTCTCTGCAAAATTATGCCAGTGGAATCATATAGGTTTCAAGGAGAATTGCATAAGGTAGCGTAAGTTGGGAATTCTTCAAAAGTTTCACCTGTTTGGTTCCAGGTCGAAAACCATAGACCACTATCCTCATGTCTTTTCCTACAAAATGCACAATTCATATGGAATAGATTCAAACTAAGATACAGAAGGTATTAGATTAAGCAGTAAATTAAATCCATTCAATCAACACTATTGCAGGGGTGATGTCTGCTGCCAAGGTAATAGCTTTCAGAAAAAAAACAAAGTTAATAAAAGAAAAGGAGCTAAACGTCAAGCTGAATTTTGTTCTATGGCGAACGAACCTGAAAACAGGAATTACTCAAAATAAATTTTAGCAAATGTTAACACAGAAGCATACCAGTGACCTGTAAAAGTCGATTTGGTGCATTCTCGTTGTTGTGATATTTATTTGATTGAACTTTCAGCGCCTACATATAATACCCATGACATAAATTACATACACATAACATCAAACCCCAGAGCCTACATATAATACCCATGACATAAATTACATACACATAACATCAAACCCCAGAGCCTAACTTCAACAAAATTAATCACATAGAGTAGATGTAATAACTGACCAGTTTGTTAAACTTCTCGATAGCTGTAAAAGGGATTGTACCAAGCGGAACAAGCTTTCTGGTTCCTTCACTCTTCACAAAGAGAAACAAGGAATAGTCCCTCAATTTTATAGCATCTTCCAGAAAAAAATGATAGGAATGCAGAAAATCAACAGCAATATTTACGTGTGATGCACACGTAAAGATTACAATGAGTTGACAAAAAGAAGAAACATAGGAAAGACAAGTCATACCAAAAACAGAATACGGAAATTTGACAACAAGAGGGTCCCTGCCTCATTGGTGTTAATGAGAATAACTCCACAAGCCTGAAATCAAAGGCAACTTCAATTAAAGACCAAAACACAAGCTTCTCCACAATACAGTTATGATGGAACAGATTCGAACAAGCAGAAACTGGTTTCTTGCTAATTTTCAAGAAACCTGAGTGAAGCATCCCTTTAAATTTTGAAATCCAGAGCATAAAGCTTAGAAAAAAGTGAGGGTACAAAGAGAATTTTCAATTCGAGCCAATTTTGACCAAATCTAATGACATACCTCGAAGAGAATCTTCTCAGCTTCCAGCAAGCAATCCAAGTTCGAATACGAGCTTGACCACGAAGCTGACTGAACCAACCCAATCAAAATAGAACATAAAAAAAAAAACACATCAGGCATCAATCGATTTTTCCCCAAATTATGAGCTTTTCAATAAAGAGATGGACGACAACAACAACAGAGAACATCGATGTTCTCGTGTTGCTTGCTTAATTAGGTTAAGTAAAACGCGAGAGAGAAGCAAAAATTGAATTGAGGAGTTAGAGCAATACATCGAGTTTAGTCCATTCAAGCACGTCCCAGCTTCCGGTACCTTCCATCTTCTCCGACGAATATCGCAGCGATCGTGATCGCCCGGGGAGAGGTCTCAGCGCCGTCATCTGAAAGGAGAGAGAAAAAGACGGTGACTCTGTTTTGGGCTTCAGCTGCCGCTCGACGGTGGCAAACGACGGATTTAGCACGCTGCCTTTTCGCCACAAAGACAATGAGACATCCAAATACGACGCAGTTTCCGTACGGCCAAAGTTTACGTTTCAGAACCCCCCCTTTCTTTTTTGGCTTTAATAATATTTTTTCTTACCTATTCAAGATTTTGTTATTTTTCTATATTTATAATTCAAAATATAATAATGAGAATGTTGATAATAGTCCATTTAATGAAAGACTTGAATGTAGCTAAATAAAAATTTCTTATAGACCTCAATTAATTATTAACAACATTTAGAAATTTTTAATCTTGAAATGTAATAATATCTAATTAAATAAAACTTATGATTAGAATATCCCAAAACTAGTGCGTTGTAAATAGTAATCAACTTAGGCTTCTACTGGTAACCATTAGAGGAACAAAAGGAAAAAGAACAAAAAGAACAATACGGAACGGAATAAACAACTTTTGAGGAATGAAAGGAAAACATGCAGAGAAAAACAAAATAATAAATGGTAACCAAACAATAACACTATCTTTTATAATATATTTGATTAAATAAATCAACTTTTAATAATAATACTAGATATAATTTATATATAATGAATTTGACACTAATTTTAAAATATATTTTTGAATGAATTTAAATATTTAATGTTAAAAATTAATAATTTATATTAACCTATTATAGATTATAGTAATTTTTTATTTGTTATTTATGATATAAACATCTCTTAAATATGTTTTACTATCCATACAAATTTTAAATAATGTATAGTAAGATTTTTTAACATGAAATTCATATCAAAAATATTTTTTAATGTCAATATATGATAAAAATATGAAAAATATTATATTATGAGATTAAAATATTATTAATAAAATTTTTTTTTTTTATTTTAAAATAAAAAACGAATTTTAATATTTGTTTTTTTTTTGTTCCATTTATTCCTCATCAATTTTGGGGAGGAACATTTTTGTTCTATTGTTCCTCATTTTGTGAGGAATGTAGAGGAATGATGTGGAAAAATGATTCCTTGTAAATGGTAAAAAAATTGAGGAATGAAGAGAAATGTCACATTCCTTCTCATTTTTTTCCTAAATAATGGTTACCAATCGAGGCCTTAGTAAGTATATTCTATATAATATGAAGTAGTTGTATACTAGTAGTATTATCATACCAACATTTGTTTCTTAATGCTAGATCTTTCTTTAGAAAAAAAAAGAACATTATTATCATACTAAATATAATAAGTGTTTTTTTAATGCTAGATATTTATCTAAAAAATACTATTAAGTTCATTAATGCTATAAACGTATCAGCATGTGTTCCCAAAGGAAAACAACGATTAAGCTAGCATGGAAAATTTTGAGAATTGGAGTTCGGACCAAGAATTAAAATACTTTTGTTGGCCAGCTAGATCAAATGCGGTTTCATAAAAAAAAACATTAAAGTAATTTTTTTTTTTTTTGCAAAAAACCATTAAAATACTTATGGATTCATTAAACTTAAACATGTACACTAGCTTGAAAAAGAAAAAAACTAATAAATCTATTGCACTTTTTAATTCCAAACTTTGACAAACCCACATACATACGAATACACTTGACTTGACCAAAAGAGAGGAGGAGATACAGACAAAACTTGGACAAATTGGAACTTAATGGTCCGGAAACAAGGAATCTTCTGTATCACCAACAGCTATTACAGAATCAAAAAAAACCTTGGCACATACGTATATATGCAGTATGCAACTCACCACAATAAAATCATAGAACAATATACACAACGCATCATCATCCTACTACAAGTCAGAATTTGCAATCCACGAAGCAGAATAGAAACGAGGGGGAAAGATAAAGACGAGCTCTGATCATAATACCTCTCATGGTCATCTAGCAACGTAACAGCATTTCGCCCTCGGGTTTCGTCCAAGCTGCAGAGGATACTGGGTGTGCCCACGGTTAGGTTAACCGGTGGGTTAGATCCAGTGTCTGTTGAGGTCAAAGAGGTAGTAAAATTGCAGACTTGTCTGTCGTCTTAAAGATCTTGACTAGTTATCTGTGTCCATGCATTTCTCAAGGGTTTTACTACTGGTACACTCCTGAAGAGCCTTGGCGTTCAGTTCTCTGCCAAATCTCCAGACATAGTTAAGGCCAACAAGTAGCTCAGTAATGATGGCTTCCGTCTTCTGCTGGTTTGCAAAGAAAAGCGTTTGTGCAAGAACTATGTGCGTCCTTGAAACCAAACTTTGGTGCTCATAACTCCGCTCAGATTGCCATTTTATCATGTTGTGAGCTAATGGACCAAGCCATTCTAAGATACCTGCCATTGCGTCAGTCCATTCTTTTGCTAGTCCTGGATCATAAACCGTGGAAGAACTCAAGTTTTTCGAGTAGGGCTTTAGCCTTTCTCTCAGTGATGTTCTCACGCTTGCCGGTAACATGTTGTAAAGGTCGTCTCTTGCATCATCACCTATTAAGTGGGGAGATGCAACAAATCTCTCTATCACGATGATAACATTAGCATAGTGTAACGCTAAGCAAGCGGCACCAAGGGTATTAGGAGCAGCATCTGACAACTTCGGTCGGGAAGGAAGTGTCAAGTTTTCAACGTGGACAGAGTTAGAATTTCCTTCAAGATTGTGATGCTCAGCACTACTATTCCTAGCTCCATTCTTGGTCCTAGTGCTAAGAGGAGTAATCCCATCGTGAGATACCATGCATCCTTTAAATGGGCCAACCTGAGTTAACCGGTTAGGTTTCGACTGCTTTTTCACTGAGGAAATTGAAGGCCTTTCTGGGGTCTGCCCCATCTTTTTGTTATTTTTCCCCATTCCGATTAGTGGTCCTGATTTGGAGGTGATCTTACCGAGCGGACCTGAGTAAAACTTGAAACGTTTGTGTTTTTCTGCAACAAGAGGACCTGACTTAGGGGATTCGCCGCTGAGAGAACCCGAAAGAAAGTCACTCATCTTCGTGGACCTTGTAGCAGCTGAACCTGATGCTGGACCCGTAAATCTTCCAAGGGGGCCAGAAGCAAATCTAGGAAGGCCGCTAGTCTCAGATTTATGAGAAATAGGAGTTAAAATTGTAGAAACCGATTGAGTACGACCAATGAAATCAGAATCTGCAGAGCTAACATCACTTGCCTCCATTCTGTAACTAATGCCAAAAACATGTTTAATCCTGCTAAGGATTGTGAAAACTGATCTAACCAAGAGAAGGACGGTATAGTCAAAAGTACGGTTCCAAAGAGACACATCCCGCAGATTCTTTACTTCATGTTTTTTCCATGTAACTTTCTTTTGATACTCCACAAGACTGTCAGTTGCAGATTCATTGCTTCTCATTCTCTTGAAAGTCTGTTCAAGGTCCGCCAGAATCTCGGTTTCCTGGTAGAGACTTGCATTTGATGCGATGAAACGTTCCATTTTCTTTGCTTTTTTATCCATTTTCTTCCACCCAAACTGCCACCCATAAGGGTCAGCTCCAGTCTTCATCATCTCACTAAAACAATTCTCAAAGATCTTCAACTTGGGATCATTGCATTTCCTAGCAAGCCTAGCAACAGCTTTCGCTACATTCTCGATGTTTTCGATCATTTCATCGCGTATTAACCTGACGATGAAATCATCGTCTTCTGAAACCAACTTTTTGATACCAGTGGAATGAGTAATCTCGTCCCTAAGCCTTGCAACATTCTTATCACTTAGTGACTGCCACAAATGAACAAGTTTGGACAGCAAACTCGCAACCTCAAACGCTAATACCTCGAGCACCGCCTTATCTTTATGACCATCATGTTTCTTAGGGAACCTCCACAGATTACGAAACCAAGTCTCTGAAACCATCTTCTCTCAACCTGCTTTCCAACAAAGAAACCAGCACAATCAACAGCGTCTCCTACACTAACTAAATTAACATCTGGAAACAAAACACTGAGAAAGTACGCAAATCAATCAAAATTTCACATTAATATTATCGAAATTTCGAACTGAAATCAAATTAGAAGCAAACCTAAGTTAACAATGGATGAAAAATAAAAAGAGAAAATCAAGAAAACAGCAAGAAGTAAGTCTTACACAAACAAGAAGAAATTGGGTATGGTTGAAATTGGGGGAAATCTAGCTACAGAACTCAAGTTGCAGAGAACAGAATCGCCCAATATCTACCAACCCCCAAATCGGGTTATAACAAGTATACATCATACAACACGCCAAAACGGTCTCGCAGCTTAAAAGCTTTCAAACATCGAATTCACTAAAGACCCATGATTTGGAAATTAGGAGTTGTCGGCAAATCGAGAAGAATAAACCGACACACGAACAGTAAAAAAAACCCAAAAGCAAGGAAGCGCGTAAGAATGATACAGTGGAGGGAGGGGGAGGGGGAGATAGAAGAGAATCTTACCGATCATTCGAAGAAAAGATGTGAATCAGGGAAAAATCTGGAAAAAAAGAAAAAAAAAAATTAAGGGAGGAGGGAAGTACAGGAAGAGAGAGAAGAAAGTGGGGAGGAAGATGCAGTGAAGACTGCTATAGCCACATCCCACATGGTGTGAGAGAGAGAGAGAGAGAGAGAGAGAGAGATGTTAAAGCAGCTAATTGTGGAGAGAGAGAGACTGAGCGAGTCAAGTTCGTCGTGTTAAAAGAATCCTATATTTGCCTTTTTTTATATATTTTTTTTTTGGTTCACTACTTTATATTCAGACTATTTACTTATTCTGTCTCAATCTTTTTGATTGTCACTTTTGGAGCCTCAAAAATGTTTGACAATTTACTTGCCTTTTTTTTCGCCAAAGAAAAGAAAAACAGATCAGATTATTTGTTCTTTTTCTAATTAATACTGTGAAATTTCCATGTAATTAAAATTAAGTGGATACTGGATATATACAAATAAAATCGTATTTAAGAAAATAATAATATTTAAGTGATACGTGTTGAATACCCTATGTGTATATTATAAAGAAACTTTAATCATAAAAACGCCTAGTAATGCCATAAATACAATTAAGGAAATAACCCAACTAAAATAAAATTCAAGGAAATTTTTAATTTAATTACGATCACGAAATAGAAAGCGAATGTTTAAAGAAAATTTCATACAACCTTTTTTTTTTGTTGAATTCGAAATAAAAAATTAAAGGTATTTATAAGAATGTATATACATGTTATTTTCTCGATAATTATAATCAATTATTTAGTTACAATATATTTTATCAAAAACTATATAGTAAATTTTAAAGTAACTTTAAAATATGATGTCCATTTCTTTTGTTTCCTCTTCATGTGTTATTTTTATTACAAAATTATATATATATTAATACATGAAGAACTAATCATACACGATGACAAACTTATATGAGATAAACTGACTAACAACACATGTGATTACAATCAATGACAGTTTTGATCTAAAAATAGAAATGCTTGAGCAAACCTCAAATATATGTGTATATGCAACAAAATATTTCCTTAGCTGAATATTACAGCAGGTAGATCGATTTCTCTGCCTTGTAGAGACTTACAGTATTTGTTTTTTTGGTTTATCGAAAAATCTTTTTTGGTCAAAAAGTCAAGAATTAAAGTGGGCATAACAATTGGTTTTAATTAAGTCCATAGATTTCTAGGACCAGCTCTAATCACGACAACTATCTTAAATTGTAAGTTGTTCATGATACGCATTTATAACTTCCAGAAAGTTTTGCATTCATAATCTGTATATTAAACAAAATTATACATGAGAATTATTATAGAAAACAATAAGTGAGATTGGTCAACAAATTGAACCAAGGAAGCTTCCATAATATAGTGCACTTCAATTAACAATTTTCATATTTTTAACTAGGAATTTTCAGAAACTTATAAATTTGGATAAAAGTATAGTCAAATAAGTTTTAACTTAAGAAAAACGCTAGGGAGAAATTGACCTAACTAGTTTGATTGACGTCGAACTTGTCAAATATGAAAGCGATATATATATATATATATATATATATATATATATATATATGTATATGCAAGATTTTCTTATAGAAAAAGGTGTTGAGTGGATTGTTACTTGTTGGAGCATACCCTTTTTTTTTTTTTCTTCTTTCATCTGACAATAATAAAAACTTTCTGACTTTTGCCATAATGTTTACTAGAATGAAATTAGCCATTTTTCTTCCGAATGCTAATTATACCACACTACAAAATCGCATCACAATAGTATTAAAATATTTACATAATATATATATATATATATATATTTGATACTATTTGAACCGCACTACATTTCTCCCATAATAAAAAACACAGTTACTATTCAAAACCTAATTAAATATGTAACTAGTAAAATATATAAAGCGCGTTACTACAAAAACCTATACTATTACACCAAATATGCCACTAGAAATAGAAATGTTGACCAATTGTGTATCCATCTATTACTAATGATGGTACTGTACAAAAAAGTTATAAATAGATTCTTAAGATGATCTCTTTGTTTTGGTATATGACCCATTTTTATCAAATGTCAATCAACGCATAACAATCTCAAAAGATATGCAACTGTTTTCCAAAAGAAGCTGATTTGCATAATCACTAAGAAAATTAATTTTGCGTGAATGTATTTCCACATGAGAGTATATACATTTTTAGACTCGAGTTATAGCTATATACCATATCTTAGATATATTATTGTTTAAAATAAAACGTTAAAATTGTTATTTGATGATGAAATCATTTGCTATTTTTATTGTCACATAAAATATATATATCACCTTAATTACTACTAACAAAAAGGAATCGTATGTCCCATTACTACGATGGTTGACTAAGAAGAAAGGACCAAATCACATTTATATAGTCAACAGAAATTTCTTACCACGGACAGAGCAAGAAGAAGGAATCTCATGATAATGTTTCGTGACGACGACACAAAACAATGAGATCACACGTAACTTTGTGACTTGGGTTGAACGCGAACATAATTTAATATATGGGAGTCAAGTCTAAAATACAAAATAATAAAAGGAGCAACAGAAAAATAAACTATGGGATCAAATAACCTTTCCTTGGTTTAAAATAGGATTATCCCAAAAGATGAGGGACTCAAGTGAAAGTATTTGTGGGTAGGAAGAGACCCGTCACAATCATTTTAATGGCCACCACGCGGCAACTTTGTCGTGTTGTACCAAATTCCTCAGCTTAACTTAATATATAGGGTCGAGTTTTTGGATCCGAATTGGGTCAAATAATATTATTGTGTAATTCACTAATCAAAAGTAATTTGTTGACTAAACAACTCTTTCACAGCATGGTGTTATATTGGAGGTAAAAATACGAAATTTCATATTAAATTACATTTGTAAATGATGGTTATGAACGTTTTACAAAGTAAAAAGAAAAAGATTTTGAATTAAATTTGCTTTATGCAAATCGGATGTTGGCATGCAGCAAGTTTGTAACAAACATTAAATGCCACTTTAAAAAAATTGTGTTGACAAGATGCTTATAAACAATACACTTACAAGTTTGGAAGAAGAACAAACAATTAATAAATTTATATAGGATTAATGACAAATTAATTAACAAAATACAGAAACTTGAAAAGAAAAAAAACAACAGATCCTTGTGAATATTAGTTTGGGCTTGAGGCCCATTAATATATAATTGCTAATATCTTCTCACACTTGGTTTCTTCTACATGTCACCACTCTCTCTCTCTCTCTTTCATCAATATCTCTAACGGCAGAGCTGACTCAGTATCTCCGGCATTGACTCGCCTGAGGATCAGAAGCTCAGACCCGGTTAGCTTCTAGCTCCATTTATTGTTTATTTAATATTTTTTTCCTTTTTCTAATGTGTATATTTACTCTTTCATTAATCTGGAATTTGTTTTGCTTATTATTCAGCTGTTACATCTCCCGATCACGAGAAGATTCACCTGGGTATTTCTTTTAATCAGTTCTTATTTCTGTTTTTTTTATCTTCTGATCATAATCTCAGCCATTAACACCTGAAATTTTTGATTAATGCGTCATAAAAACCCAGATTTGCTTTATCTTCCTTTCCCATAAACATTGTCTACTTTATTTTGCGTTTCTTCTTATTATTATTTTTTTTCTTCTGGATTCCAGCTAGCAATATCATCCTAATTCAATGTGTTTCTCGTTTTGTTGATGAGAAAAAATATCTGAAAAAAATCATTTACTGCATTTTTTTGGTGCAGATTCTTAGTTGATCGCCTTAAAATGAGTGTTCGTCCTTCTAACCTGGTTTTGGTGTTGGGAGTGAGTTAGGTGATTTAGGTAGAAACAATCTGTGAAGAATTTGGCGGGTTGAAGGGGGAGTGGTTTTATAGGCTTATCAGTGTGGTATGAATTCGAGGGCTGATGATCCTGGGGATGGGTATTTTCGAGTTCCTTTTGAGAATCAAACTCAAAAAGAGTTCCAAGTCAGGGGTTCTTGGATTCCATTTACACCCAACAAACCTCCGCAAGGTAGATCAAGTCTGATCCTAGATGAGAGAGTGATACACCAAGATCTAAATGGGGTCCCAAGTTGTGAATTTGAAGATATGGGATTCTGCAGCAGTGGTGCTGTACATGATCTTAATCATGCACTTCAGGGAATGGATCAAAATGGGGTTTATGACCATGGTGCTCATCAGGGCATTAATAACTTACAAGGATCATATGCTCAAGCCAGGTGTAATACTGAGAGAGATCTTTTGGGCAGGAGTGATGCAACTTCTCCTTTGCCACCTGTTATCAGAAACATCACCGGTAACGTAGAGCTGGTTAATGGAAAATTTACTTCAGATGTGGGTATGGTAAACGGTTCTTTCACCCAAAGTGGCACTTCTCAAGCTGGCTATACTGAGTTTGAATTGGACGACTTGTTGGATCCCGGTCAGATGCCCTTCTCCTTCACAAGCCTGCTGAGTGGTGGGGATAGCTTATTCCAGGTTCGTCAATGTGAGTGATCAAATCTATTTTCAGTTTCCTTTTGTTTCTTTTTTTTCCGTTCTTCCTGTGTTTAGTGTTACACATTACTTAGATATTAAGGTATTCTATTGGTATGTGCATTAATTAGAGAACCTTTTAAGTATGAGCCAGACTGGCATCGCATATCATCATTGGATTTCATAGACCATACCATTTCTGAAGAAGTCTTGGTTTTGAACAGATGGAACTCCAGCGTGTAGCAAGCCTCTTTACAATCTGAATTCACCAATTAGAAGAGAAGTAGTTGGGTCCGTCTTTGAAAATTCGTTTCAGTCTGTACCATCAACGCCAAGTCTATGCAGAACAGGTGAAAACAATGGATTTCTTGAAAAGATAGTTACTACCACTGGACATGAAATCACAGAGCCGAAATCTGACAAAAGTTTGAAGAGTATTGTGGACTCTTCTGTTGTTAATTCAACGGAGGTTGCTAAACAAAATGATGGCAGCAGACAAGATGTTCTGGAGTTTGATCTTAACAAGACACCTCAGCAGAAACCCTCCAAAAGGAAAAAGAAGTTCATGCCCAAGGTGGTCGTGGAAGGCAAACCTAAGAGGAAGCCACGCAAACCTGCAACTCAGGAAAATGTGAAATCTAAAGAACCCGGGAGTAGCAAAAGGAAGAAAGCTCAAACGAAAAACTTGAAAGAATCAACCACTAAAAAGACAGCCAGAGATATGAGCAAAGGAAGCCCTGAAGTCACACTCAAAAGTTGCAGAAAAGCTTTGAATTTTGACTTGGAGAATTCTGGGGATGCGAGGCAAGGTGACTCTGAGTCTGAATTTATCCAGAAAAATAGTGGCTCAAACTCATTTTCTGAGATCAGAGATGCCATTGGTGGAACTAGTGCTAGTTTCCTGGATTCAATAACACAAATAGACCAGAGCAATGGGTTGGTGGCTACGAACCAGCCACTTGAAGCGTCAATGGGAAACCAGCCAGATGAACTACCCAGAATGTTACAAGAAAATCATACTCAGATATTGTCCAGAGATCAACAACCTGATTTATTGATCGGAAACCAGCGATGCCAGTTCCCAGTGGCAACCCATAACACCCAGTTCCCAGTGGGAAACCAACAAGCTTGGCTTCAGATGAAAAACCAACTCATTGGCTTTCCGTTCGGTAACCAGCAACCTCCCATGACCATAAGAAACCAGCAGCCTTGTTTGGCTATGGGTAATCAACAACCCATGTATCTGACAGGAACTCCACAGCCTGCGTTGGTGAGTCGAAACCAGCAACTAGGAAATCTTCAAGGGAACAAGCTGCCTATATTTTTGAATCAGCAGACCTGTTTACCTGCTGGAAATCGACAATATGGATCACCAGCAGACATGAATCAGCTTGTTATGTCAACCGGAGGGCAGCAACATGGACTACTGATGAAAGACCAGCATCCTGGATTTTTATTGAGAAACCAGCAACCTGGATCAACAGTGAGAGGCCAGCAGCGTTGCGTACCTTTGATGAACCAGCAACCTGGAACTCCAAAAGGTTTTACTCACTTGAATCAGATGGTAGCTGCTTGCATGTCATCGCCTGAGCTTCAACGTCATTCTCAATTGCAAATTCCTGCAACAAATCTTCATTCCAAGAGTTTAAATAGGAATGCGGGTACATGTCAGAGAAGTGGCAATACTGAATACGGTACTTTACAGCAAACCCATCAAGGAAATGAGTACATCCCTTCTCATGAGAGATCCAATGGTGAATTCTTTGACGTATGCAAGAAAAATTTATCTCAAAACTCTTATTTATCAACTCCAGTTATGGCTAAATTTGAGGAAGCCAGAGGCTCGAAGAGACAATATCATCATGCAATGGGACAGATGCATAACCATGATCTAAACTTAGCAGGTCCGTGGCCATTGCTCCAACAGATTGCTCAATCACAAGATGTGGAAAGACAGAACAGCACAACATCTGCCGAATATTTTGATGCTGCAAAGAAAAATAAAATCCAGAAAGTAGTCCTAGAAAATTTGCATGGCATGCCACCTGAGGTAATAGCAATAGAGGATAATCCAACTGATGGGGCAAGACAAGACAAGAATACTGCCAGCATCATTAAAACCCCATCTAAACCAATTTCATGTCGAGTTCAAAAGTCAGGAGCTGATGAGAAATTTATCGTCCCAAAAAAGACTGCAAGAAAGGGTCGTGGAAGGAGAAAACAATCAGTAGATTCGCCTCCTCATGCCTCAGCGATCCAGATTTGGCAACCAACTCCCCCAAAGGCACCTTCATCAAGAAGTAAGGCTAAAGAGAAAGGGAGGAAGTCCATACCAGATACAGGAAAAGCACCTTCATCAAGAAGTAAGGCTAAAGAGAAAGGGAGGAAGTCCATACCAGATACAGGTAACTAATGTAGTCTACAATCTCTGTGATACAATTTTGAGATTTTAATAACTGAATTGTCCAAACCAGCTCTCTAACCACTGTTGGTGTGTTGCATTGGTCCATCAGGAGAACTTCTATGTGAGGATTCTATTACAGAAATAATATACAGAATGCAGAATCTCACTCTAGGAGAGAATAGCAGAGCAAAAGAGCAAAATGCACTTGTCTTATACAGAGGAGATGGTGCAGTTGTTCCATATGAGAGCAAGAAGAGAAAACCAAGGCCTAAAGTTGACCTTGACGATGAAACAACTCGAATATGGAATCTATTAATGGGGAATGGAGAAAAAGAGGGGGATGAAGAGATGGATAAGAAAAAAGAGAAATGGTGGGAAGAAGAGAGGAGAGTTTTCCGAGGAAGGGCGGATTCATTCATAGCCCGAATGCATCTTGTACAAGGTGAAGATCCTAACACTCTCAACTCTGTTTTTATTCACATTGCATGTCTGGATTGGAATCTCAGGCATCAACTAAAACTTAATCTTGAAATCATAGTAGCAAAGTTACTAGGGAACAAGATCAAACTAGCTTACAGTAAAACAGAATACCGCCAACGTTTTGGTCAACAAATTTATTACAATACCCGAAAATGATGTTTTGTGTGCAAAATTATTATAACAACTCATTAGCAAACCATGGCAAAGATTATTCATAATGCATCTTGTGAAACAAGTGTGCATTTATGGTGACAGCTAAATGGTTTCTGTGCCTATTTTTTTTGTTCTGCTATAGATGACCAGTTGAACTTAAATGTTTACAGGAGATAGACGTTTTTCACCATGGAAGGGATCGGTGGTTGATTCAGTCATTGGAGTTTTCCTTACCCAGAATGTCACTGATCACCTTTCAAGGTATATATATGAGTTTCCTTAATAAAATGAGCATTTCAAAGTGAGTTGAAAAACATAGAAAATAACCATGGTGTTTTTACAATGCAGCTCTGCTTTTATGTCTCTAGCCGCTCGTTTTCCTCCAAAATTAAGCAGTAGCCGAAAAGATGAAAAGAGTATTAGAAGCGTAGTTGTTGAAGATCCAGAAGGATGCATTCTGAACTTAAATGACATTCCTTCGTTGCAGGAAAGTATTCAAAATCGATCTGAGACGCAAGTTTCTGAGGTTGATAGTGGATCAAAAGAGCAACAAATAGACTGTTCAAACTCTGGAATCGAAAGATTTAATTTCCTAAACAGTAGTCAGAATTTAGAAGAGGAAGTATTATCATCACAAGATTCTTTTGATCCTGCGATATTTCAGTTGTGTGGGAGGGTTAGGTCCAGTTCATGTTCCAAATCAGACGCCAATTTTTCTACAACCAGGTGTGAAACAAAATCTGCCAGTGGATCATCACAAGCAGTTCAAACTGAGAGTCCGAATTTGTCTGTTGAAATTTGTCTTCAAGAGAACGAGAGACTGCTTCCATATGAAAGATCTGGTGATATTCAGATACAAGAAACTACAAATGTCGCTCAGAAGAAACCAGATCTTGACAAACCAATGAACTGGAAGGACTATCTCCCTTTTGATCAGCCAAGCAATGATGTTAACTGGCAAAAAGGAGGACCGACCAATCCTTCCAGTAGCTATGAGCAGAGTATGATTCAGCAGCCGCATGTGCTAGACATAGAGGATTTTGGAATGCAAGGTGAAGGCCTTGGTTATTCTTGGCTGTCCATTTCACCAAGAGTTGACAGAGGAAAGAACAGAAATGTACCTCGCAGATTTTTCAGACAAGGTGGAAGTGTTCCTAGAGAATTCACAGATCAGGTCATACCATCGACGCCTCATGTAATACCAGGAATGGGATTTTCTGTTTCCGCAAGCACCCACCAAGTGCACCAGGGCGATGCCCAACAACAACATGAGATGAATAAAGCATCCCACTTACAAAAAACATTTATGGATCTGCTCAATTCTTCTGAGGAATGTCTTACAAGACAGTCCAGTACCACACAGAACATCACAGATGGCTGTCTACCAAGAGTTAGAACTGCTAAAGACGTAGCTGAATCAAATTCCAGAAATAAAGAGCAGACTACAGTTGAATACAAGGAGACGAATGCCACTATTGTACGAGAGATGAAAGGGACGCTTGCTGATGGGAAAAAGCCTACAAGCCAGTGGGATAATCTCAGAAAAGACGTGGGTGGGAATGAAGGGAGAAAGGAACGAAACAAAGAGAGTATGGATTCCATCGACTATGAAGCAATAAGACGTGCTAGTATCAGTGAAATTTCCGAGGCTATCAAGGAAAGAGGAATGAATAACATGTTGGCGGTACGAATTAAGGTAAATCTACTCATTTCAGTTAAGACCTCTTAGTTTCTGTCAGAAGGATTGAACATCAGTTAATTATGTAGCCATATCTATAAAATTGCAGGATTTCCTTGAACGGATAGTTAAAGATCACGGTGGTATCGACCTTGAATGGTTGAGAGATGTTCCTCCTGATAAAGCCAAGTGGGTAAACCATATTTTTAATGAATGTGAAACACTACCATGATCGATTTAATCAACAATTGAGTAATAAAACAAGTTGCTCATGATTATTTCACAGGGACTATCTCTTGAGCATAAGAGGACTAGGCTTGAAAAGTGTCGAATGCGTGCGACTCTTAACACTCCACAATCTTGCTTTTCCTGTGAGTCATACACATACTATTCCAGTATCGACTAATAACTTAGAATAACTCCAGCTAACTAAGCTGGAAATTGTATAAATGGTATTAAGGTTGACACCAATGTTGGAAGGATAGCCGTTAGGCTGGGATGGGTGCCTTTACAACCTCTACCTGAATCACTTCAGTTACACCTTCTAGAGCTGTAAGTTTCTTTTTTTTGGTCATTAACACAGTTTTTTTTTTAATTTCTTTTTTCCAAATCATAACCGTTCAGTCTTTTTACAGATACCCAGTGCTCGAGTCCATCCAAAAATTTCTTTGGCCAAGACTCTGCAAACTCGATCAACCAACACTGTATGCTCATAAATTCTACCAAGTCATCTATTGGAATCAGTGTTTCTCATTAGAATTTTTATTGTCATGAGTGACTAAAAGCCAAAGTCAATTAATGTTCTTTTCCTTATTCAGGTATGAATTACACTATCAGCTGATTACGTTTGGAAAGGTATTTTTTAATCTATTATATGGTAATTTTAAGCATCGTGGGCATCTCATCAAGTATGTGTCTAAACTATGTGAACGCATATCAGGTTTTCTGCACTAAGAGTAAGCCAAATTGTAATGCGTGTCCAATGAGAGGAGAATGCAGACATTTTGCCAGTGCTTATGCTAGGTAAGCAAGCTTTCATGCACTTCTACGCGTTAATTCTGCTACCAAAAAGATAAAATTTACGATTTTTGGTAAGTAACTAAAAATAGGCTCAGTTTCATGTTAGCAATCTGAAAATAGTATTACGAGAACAAGAAAAATATCAAAGTCAAAATCATGGTTCCTACGCACTATCACTTTACCATAAGCTCTAGTAATCCAAACATGATCACTTAATAGCCTTTGCCAAAGTAGAATTTCAAATATGAGATTTGATAACTGATGCCATTGTAACAGTGCAAGACTTGCTTTGCCGGCACCAGACGAGAGGAGCTTAACCAGTTCAACTTTTTCAGTCCCTCCCGAGTCCTTTACTCCTACAGCCATCCCGATGATGGAACTACCTTCTCCGCTGGAGAAAGTCCTAACGAGGGGAGCACCATCGAATAGAGGAAACTGTGAACCAATAATAGAAGAGCCGTCCTCGCCTGAGCAAGAATGCACTGAGATAACAGAGAGTGACATTGAAGATGGTTACTACAATGAGGATCCTGACGAGATCCCAACAATAAAACTCAACATTGAACAGTTTGGCATGACTCTACGGGAACACATGGAAAGAAACATGGAGCTCCAGGACGGTGACATGTCCAAGGCTTTGGTTGCTTTAAATCCGACCAATACTTATATTCCAACTCCCAAACTAAAGAACATTAGCCGTCTCAGGACAGAGCACCAAGTGTAAGCTGATATCTCCTCCTATATTTGATCTTCATATAAATTTTGGGTCAGCCAGAATTGTGGCATTATATATTTTTCACCGACCGGCCCGAGCTGGCTTTGGTTGACTTGTATGCCACCCTGCATTCAACACACTAATAAGAGACAACCACGCAAATAGATAATGTCTATGATAAAATGACTTCAACTGTAAAGCTGTAAGCCTGGTGTAGTATGTATAGACAAGGTAACTGATAAATGTGTGGTCTGTTTGCAGGTACGAGCTCCCGGATTCACATCCTCTCCTCAGTGGTGTAAGTTAATTTTTTATTCTCTCTATCTGTTTCACTCAAACAAGACTGTATAAGAGTTCTCATTTGATTAAAACAGATGGATAAAAGAGAACCAGATGACCCAAGTCCTTATCTTTTAGCTATTTGGACACCAGGTGAGGATAAAACTGCAATGTTTCTTTCCTGTGTTATCAGTATTCGAAGAATGGAAAGCTAGAACTAAAAAGCATTTGAAATAGAGTTAGTTAAAGATGAAATTTCGAGTCTGTAAAATGAAAGCTAAAACATAGACGTTTTGGTTTTTATATGTATATTAGTTTTTGAGATTAGGTTAACTAATGTAGTTGTTCGGTTGCCAGGTGAAATGGCGAATTCGGCTCAACCACCTGAACAGAAGTGTAAAGGGAAAGCTTCTGACAAAATGTGCTTTGACGAGACTTGTCTAGAGTGTAACAGTGTGAGGGAAGCGAACTCACAGACAGTTAGAGGAACTCTTCTGGTGAGATTGTCTAGATCTTTTGTATTGTTTATGAGAAAGGACCCATGAGATACAAGCTACTAATATCGGTTTTTTTGTTATTGACAGATTCCTTGTCGAACTGCTATGAGAGGAAGTTTTCCGCTCAACGGGACATATTTTCAAGTAAACGAGGTTAGATGTAATAAAACTGAAACAGACAGGTGAAACATTTTTCGATTTTGCGTTGGTTCTTTATCCTCCTTTGCCATTTTTTTGTCTTGCAGTTATTTGCAGACCATGATTCGAGTCTCCAACCCATTGATGTTCCTAGAGATTGGATATGGAATCTCCCTAGAAGGACTGTTTACTTCGGAACGTCAGTAACATCAATATTCAGAGGTAAAAAAATTCTTAACGAAACCCAATATTTTGGAAAGTTTCACCTTCTTCTTGTCCAAAGGATCTTAGAATGGTTTGCGGAATTTATGCAGGTCTTTCAACGGAGCAGATACAATACTGCTTTTGGAAAGGTACACATTGAATTCTTTACTCAGAGAAATCCAGAAATACTTAGGACCCAATGCAGTTCTGTTATGTGACTGAGACTGATAAACATCTAACATTTCTGGATGCAGGATTTGTATGTGTACGTGGATTCGAACAGAAGACAAGAGCACCGCGTCCGTTGATGGCAAGGTTGCATTTTCCAGCGAGTAAATTGAAGAACAACAAGACCTAGAGATCAATGGAATAAGGAATACGCATTGCTTCTCTGCTCCCCCTCTAAGTAAAAAGGCAAGCAAAAGGCCTATTTAGACATTAAAAAAGAAAACACAGGAAGCAATTTTTTCCTTCTTTCTTTTTCTAATTTCATTCATAGAGCAGAAGAGAAACAAAAGAAAATAACAAGCAGAGGAGTTTCAGTTAGGTTCATCATTCTCAAATAAAAATTTCCGGGCACAAGAGTTTTTAGCGTCTTCCAAACCAGCTGTTAATTGCGGCCGTGAGTAATTTTAATTATTATTTTTTGGATCATCATTATCATTCATATAAAAAAGATTAATGAACTGAGCCATAACAATTTTGAATAATGCAATCTGACATTCATATAGAGCTAATGACAAATGATCCAAAGATCCGCAATCGATCTAATTAGACAAGGGAGTGAGATGGAAAACTACAAACTAAACAGTATTTCCTCTTCATACTGATTGTTCTTCTACTTTTTTTTTTTTGTTTATTCAGACAAGAAGGAGAAACAAATACCACAAACATTGGAACAGAGAGCTTCATGAAACCTTTAGTATGATTCTAGTTAATTAAGAAACAAAAATATTCTAAACACGAGAGAACATCGAAAGGGTAATGAATTTATTAGTCAATTCGAAATAAATTCACGGCCCAATCGTTTGTTTTGAAAAATATACATATATACGAAATGATAGATCCAATAGAAGAAAAGCAAAGTCATCAAATGTATTGTTATTACTCATCCTTGACAAGTCTTATAATTTTATTCCTATCGTAACGTAGGCGTATCGTAAAAGCTCCTATTAAAAGAACATAAAGATAATAATAGGAGGAGGAGCAAAGTTGTTAGCACCAAGCTAGTAAAACTCACTTACTCTCTCTCTCATGTTTAGCATGTGTGCCCAACACAAACACTTGTACCTTTTGAGCCTCACCAACGGCCAAGTAGGTGAGTGTGTGAGAGAGACTCATTGTTTATTCTCTCGTCCTTCATATCTGAACCAACGGTTGTCCGCCACGTAGATACTCTCTGGTGCACCTTAGTCGTAGAGTAGCAGCAACCCGAACAATTTCAACTTTGAATATATCCAAGATGCCATCCCGGTTCAATCAATTATCAGAGTAAAAGTTCGATTTTCATTTCGCATAACGAGATTCTTATCCACGCGCCTCTTATCTTCTACATAAACACCACGTGCCATTCATCAACCGTTAGATCCTCCATCGACGGCGGATTTAATTAGCTGAAAAGTATAGCGGTGCGTTTCACGCGCTTCTCCTGGCTAGCCGCCGCACGTGTAGTGCACGTGAGAGCGCACGTTAGCTTTGACCACTGTCTCTGTTCTCTCTCTCTATAGTTTTTAACACACGCCCTTATTCGATTTTTCTCACCCACCCAAAGCCACTCACTCTCTTTCTCCCTCTCTCTCTCTCTCTCTGAAGCGAGCGAGATGTCATCGTCGACGTTTCGAGCTCCGGCGGGAGCTGCCACTGTTTTTTCGGCGGATCAGAAGATCAGAATCGGGAGGCTCGACGCTCTGAGATCCTCGCATTCCGTTTTCTTAGGAAGATATGGACGCCGCGGCGTTTCTGTTCCTCCATCCGCTTCTTCGTCGAGTTCTTCTTCTATCCAAGCCGTCTCTACGGTGAGATTCGATATCTGCTCTTGGTTTCTAATTATCATAAGGAATTTTCTGCTTATGGTTGTGAAAAAAAAAATCACGAGGTGCTTTTTGAATCGCCTTTGGCGAATGTTTTTTATATTCTTCTGTTCTGTTAGATTCTGATTACAATCTTTAGTGTCAATGATTTGTCGAGTATGAGATTTTTATGCAGCTGTATTTGTGAAAATCATTGCTTCTTTAGTAATACAAGGAAATGTTTTTAATTCGAAAGCTTCTAAGAAATATTCATTGGTGATTAATAATCGTATAACTGAGAAAGATTCTGCGTTTCTCATGTTTGATTTGTGTTTTATTCAGCCTGCGAAGCCTGAGACTGCGACCAAGCGGAGCAAAGTCGAAATTATCAAGGAGAAGAGTAATTTCATAAGGTATCCTCTTAACGAGGAGCTTTTAACAGAGGCTCCAAACGTCAACGAGTCTGCCGTGCAGCTCATCAAATTCCACGGTAGCTACCAACAGTACAACAGAGAAGAACGTGGTGGAAGATCTTACTCCTTCATGCTTCGTACCAAGAATCCATCTGGCAAGGTCCCTAACCAGCTCTACTTGACTATGGATGACTTAGCCGATGAGTTTGGCATTGGTACTCTTCGATTGACCACCAGGCAGACGTTTCAGCTCCATGGTGTTCTCAAGCAGAATCTTAAGACCGTGATGAGCTCGATCATTAAAAACATGGGTAGCACTCTTGGTGCCTGTGGTGATCTGAACAGAAATGTTCTTGCTCCGGCGGCCCCTTACGTGAAGAAAGACTATCTCTTTGCACAGGAAACAGCTGACAACATTGCTGCTCTTCTTTCTCCTCAATCAGGGTTCTATTATGATATGTGGGTTGATGGAGAGCAGTTCATGACTGCTGAGCCTCCTGAGGTAGTGAAGGCTCGTAATGATAACTCCCATGGAACTAACTTTGTCGACTCTCCTGAGCCCATCTATGGCACCCAGTTCTTGCCTAGGAAGTTTAAGGTCGCTGTAACCGTGCCTACAGATAATTCTGTCGACCTCCTTACCAATGACATCGGTGTTGTTGTCGTTTCAGATGAAAATGGGGAACCACAGGGTTTCAATATTTATGTAAGTTGTCATTCTTTTAGACTACATATGCTATTATTTATATCTAGTGTAATACTTGTTTTCTCATCTTTCCTGTCGGTGTTCCTCTTTCTGGATTATTTCGTTGGTTTTAAACTGTTGTTGATAAAAATCTCATCTTTTAGGTTGGTGGAGGTATGGGAAGAACACACAGAATGGAGTCTACTTTTGCCCGCTTGGCAGAACCAATAGGTTATGTTCCAAAGGAGGATATCTTGTATGCTGTGAAAGCTATTGTAGTCACACAGCGAGAACACGGGAGAAGAGATGATCGTAAATACAGCAGAATGAAGTATTTGCTCAGCTCCTGGGGAATTGAGAAGTTCAGAGATGTTGTTGAGCAATATTATGGTAAAAAGTTTGAGCCTTCCCGAGATCTTCCAGAGTGGGAATTCAAGAGTTACTTAGGATGGCATGAACAGGTTTTTGTTACTAAAAACTTTGTAGAAATTGTGTCACTCTCTAATGGCTTAAACAGTATTGTCTTATTATCATCATGAACTTTGCAGGGAGATGGTGCGTGGTTTTGTGGGCTTCACGTAGACAGTGGTCGTGTTGGAGGTATTATGAAGAAGACACTGAGAGAAGTGATAGAAAAATACAAAATTGATGTCCGCATCACACCAAACCAAAATATTGTATTGTGTGATATAAAGACCGAATGGAAGCGTCCCATCACCACAGTGCTTGCTCAAGCTGGATTGCTGGTAAGCAGCATTTATATGACCATAATTTATGATAATCTAATAGCTACCGTGACATGAGGTGAGTAAATTACCGCTTATTTGTGCAGCAACCTGAGTTTGTCGACCCATTAAACCAAACCGCGATGGCTTGTCCAGCTTTTCCTTTGTGTCCTCTTGCAATCACCGAGGCAGAGCGCGGGATCCCCAGCATTCTAAAGCGAGTGAGGGCTATGTTTGAGAAGGTAAGATCGCACTGTGCAGATAACCTACACTTATCTAATCTTATTTCATTAACAGGCATTTGATCTTGATTTGTAAAACTCCTTCTTTGGATCAGGTTGGTCTGGAGTACGATGAGTCTGTTGTGATTAGAGTAACCGGTTGTCCTAACGGCTGTGCAAGACCGTACATGGCTGAACTCGGTCTAGTTGGGGATGGTCCCAACAGCTATCAGGTATGGTTTGAGCACTAGTGAGACAGTGCAGTAATCTAGCAGGGTCATATTCTGAGTTGTTGTGGGTTACTGCAGGTCTGGCTAGGAGGAACACCAAACCAGATGGCGATAGCGAGAAGTTTCATGGATAAGGTAAAGGTTCACGACTTGGAGAAAGTCTTCGAGCCATTGTTTTATCACTGGAAACACGAGAGGCAAACCAAAGAATCATTCGGAGAATTCACAACCCGCATGGTTAGGATCACAAAAAACTACTTATTATTCTTGATACTTAAAAAGTTCATACTGAATACGAAGATTAAACAAATGGCTATTGTCTTTCATGGTAAAATTGCAGGGATTCGAGAAATTGAAGGAGCTAATAGATACATATAAAGGAGTTTCTCAATAAGCACAGAGATCATCCTGGGTTTTCTAAATTTATGTGATGTCTCTGTCTGAACTGTTACTCTTCGGTAACTCTGATGGAGAGAACTTGTTTTTGTTTTTAGTTTGATCTTGTACCTTTGCTTCTCTGGATTTGCTTGGTCTCTGATTGGGATAATAAGAGTATTACCTGTATTATTAAATAAGCCTTCTTTTGGCTCTGGATATCATTTGGTTTCTCCAACTCTCTATCTTTTGCTGTTTCACTGTTTGAATTTGTATATATAATTATTCTGAAACACCACTATTATTATTCATATCAAAGCTAAAAACAAAAATATGTCCAAAACTATTAGATCAGTATTTACAGAAAAAATGTCCAGAACAATCAGAAAAACATAGAAGTGTTCTATGAGAGAAAATAAGGGAAAAAGTATATATAATTTTGATAGAAAAAGAGGAAATTCTAGTTAAGAAAAAAAAAAACTTTATGTAACTTTCAAAACTTATTAGAACCGAAGTAACAAAATAAACATGTGAATATGTGATCGTTTAAGTAAATGCATAGATGTTTTTGTGCTTTATTGCAAATTTTTTCCTTTCGGTAATTAATAATAGGTGACATGAAATTTTTTTAAAAAAAACATTAAAAAAAATAATAATAGGTGACATGTAGACATAAAGAGTGGAGTCGAGGGATATAACTGGAAAACATTTTTCACACCGATTTTAAAAATTGGTTCAAAACCTAAGCGGCTTTAAACCCTAATCGTATCACCACCCTCTTCGTCCCTCTCTCTCTCTCTGTCTCTCTCGACGCCGACGAAAGCAACCATGGGTGCCAAGGCGAAGAAAGCTCTGAAGAAGAACATGAAGAAGATATCTGCGTCGGCTGCTTCTTCTCAGCTACCTCTTCCCCAGAACCCGAAACCGTCGGCTGATTTTTTGGTATTTTGCTTTATCTTACTACCACCACCGTTTCGATTTGGCTTCAGAATGTTTTGTCTTTTTTAGGTTTTACTTGAATTGAATCGCTCCGTTCATGTTTTTGTTAATAGCCACTAGAAGGAGGTCCAGCTCGAAAAGCTCCAGTAACTACCCCTATTGAGTCTAAAGCCACTGTGCTATATATCGGCCGAATCCCTCATGGCTTCTATGAGACTGAGATTGAAGGTTAGTTTCACACCCTTTATTAGTTTGTTTGATCAAATTGTTATTACCCTTTTGTGTCACAGACTTTGTTATTATCTATGGTTCATGTGTTTGATTATCTGATTTCCTCTCCGGGTTATAGCTTTCTTCTCGCAGTTTGGAACAGTAAAGAGAGTTAGAGTCGCCAGAAACAAAAAGGTTATACATTGATTCATGCTTTGATTTGTTTGCTCTAGTTTGAGACTACGTGTTGTTTCAATGCTCATTAGTTTTGTTGTTTTAACAGACTGGGAAGTCGAAGCATTTTGGGTTTATACAGTTTGAGGACCCTGAGGTATAATACTCCGTTAAATCTGTAGAAAATTTGACAAAATTCTTATCTGCTATCGATGTTCATGATTCAATTCATTAACTTTGTGTCTCGATTCTCTGCAGGTGGCGGAAATCGCAGCTGGTGCAATGAATGATTATTTGTTGATGGAGCACATGCTTAAAGTCCATGTTATTGCACCAGAAGATGTTAAACCCAATCTGTGAGTGACTTAATCGAATTTGTTCTGTCATTTTCTTTGCAAATAGCTTGTTGGCATATCCAGTTGTGTCTGTTAGCTATTTAACTTGGCTACTTATGGGCTGTGTTGACTGAAATAAGGACAATCTATATGGTTTCCATTCAAAGTGCGATTTTATGACATTTGGGTGTTAGAAAAGAGAGTACACCAAAGGAGTCTTTTTGGATTAGATGGTTTATTCATGAGTCATGAAATTAGGGTAAAGAAGAATTTATTCTTGTGCAGTAGCTGGGTTCAAATGACTCAATAGTCTTGCTTCTTCACATTGTTAAAATCCATGCTGAAAGAGTAGGGTTTGCGAGGAGAGAACATTTAAGAACTGTCTGGAGAATTGTTTCTTTTCAAGTAGTTGTGGATCTTAATGTATATTATCTTGAATGTTGTAGGTGGAAAGGGTTTAAGTGTAACTACAAACCAGTGGATTGGGTTCAGATTGAGCGTAAACAACACAACAAGGTAAAATCTCTTTTCACTTTTCTTGTGATCATTTTGCCATTTCATCTAGCAAGTGACCTTAACTTTGATTCTTGTCCTTTTTGTATACAGGAAAGGACATTGGAAGAGCATAGGAAAATGTTGCAGAAGGTAGTGAAAAGGGATCAGAAAAGGAGAAAGAGAATCGAAGCTGCTGGAATACAATATGAATGCCCTGAGCTTGTAAGTTTTCGATTACACAATTCTACTTTCCCTACAGTTACATATCAAACACCGAACTAATAATTGCATTTTTTGTCACTGCTTCAGGTTGGAAACACCCAGCCAGTACCAAAGAGGATCAAGTTTAGTGAAGACTAGAGAAGCCGAAGCTGAACAACACTTCTTTGATACGCTTTTTTGGATAGGATTCAGTTCTGTTGTACTTTTGTCATTGGATCAAAAAACTAAACTTTAAAGTTTGCAATGAAACTTCCTGTTTGAATGGATCTCAAATTCTGTGTATAGCATCAAGAAACTTTTTCGAGACAGCAGGTGTAAGATTCTCTCTGGGAAAACCACTCTTGAGATCTCTAGGTGCAACAGTTGCAATGAGAACAAAGTTCTCACCATTTCCTACATCAATCTCATACAACTCAGAGAAGACGTGTCTAAATTTGCCTTGAAGTTCTTGGTAGAATGCCTTGTTCGGAGGAATGACATTGATGACGAAAACCCCAGAAGGAACAAGAAGGGTTCTTGCAGCTAGCAAAACATCATTGGCCACAAACTCAACCGGAGGAGCAGTCATGCCGTGAATTGGATCAGTTGAGTCCAGATCAACCATCAAGACATCAAATCTAGCATCATCATCATCACAGGTAGAAGAACATCTCTTCAAGAACTCAATACCATCTTCAACGTGAACACGAGCAGAACTTTCCTCTAAACCGAAGTATTGCCTCGCAATCCTCAAAACTTCAGGATCTATCTCTACACCTGTAACCTCAAAACCTAATTGTAGCCTTAAGAAACTAAGCAATCCACCACCTCCAACTCCAATGCACAATGCCTTTGGTCTACATTTGAACTTATCACTGTGATAATCAATCAAGGAAAGGCTTGCCACCATTGGTACCAAGTAAGGATGCACAAGTTCCGTGAGATCAAGCTTGAACTCTGTTCCCGTTAATGATGGAGAAAAAATCGAACGTGAAGAGGAGACTCTTGGGATAATTTTGATGTCAGATTGAACTAAGTTAGGCATTCTCTTAAACCTCAATCTCCTCCTGAATTCTCTTACTCCGTGATCGATCTCAATCTCTACATCTTCAATTAGCATTTCGCCAACGAAAGGCCCGACGGATTTCTCTAGCTCTATACTAGAGACAACATTATCATCGTAAATCAGAAAAGGAACATCATCAAATTCATCTCGTATTAAGGTTTTAGGTGATAGAGCTACCACAAGAGGTTTCAATCTCATCTCGAGTCTCTCAAATTCGTCTTCATCACCAGTCGGTCTGTGGAAAACCGCGGGAAATCCAGAGCCACCGTCGGGATCATCGCCGATCAAGATCAACCGAGAGATGTCTGGGAGATTAAGGAGGAGCTGTAGATGGCCGGACTCAGTGGAGAAGATCCAATCGGACTCTCGGTACTTGGGGACGAGAATGGCGGCTACTCGGGGAGAAGAAGACTCGGTTGACTGAACAGGCGAGTCTAGGACGGCGACTCGGAGGAGGTGTGACGAAGAATTAGGGTTAGGGATTGTGAAAGAGATGAAACGAGAAGGAGAAATGTTCTCGAAGATTCTCACATCCAGCGCCATTTCTGATTTTGATTTTCAGTTTTTCACCATCTCCGTCTTTTTTATTGGATTTTGCTTCTTGCATAATAAACCGGACTAAACCAAACCAGAACAAACCGATCAGGTGACTTGCACGTGACTAACTCTGATTTTCAATATTAACATTTTTGCTCATCTTCTTATTTTGGGGTTCTGGGCTTCATCTCCCAGGCCTCTCAGATTCTCTCATTTCCTTCTTTGTGGGATTCTTCAAACATGTAGATGCAGGTGCGTGTGTTATTGACGTCATTGGAGTAGCATAAGAGAGGAGAAGAGAGGCTTTAATGTCCTCTTCTTTCACCGGTCATCGAACCCAAAAGCACAATTTTCCTAACACTGAAAATTATAGTATAATGGCGGATAATTCGTGGGATATATGTGTGGAAGAAGCAGTGAATGTGCTTGAATCCAGGCAAATCCTTCGATCTTTGAGACCCATTTGTATGTCTAAGCAAAATGAAGAAAATTTTGTGAAAAGCAGAGGCAATGAAGGAGATGAGTACGAAGTGTTCGACGGTTTGTGTCAATGGGATCGAACTTCAGTCGAGGTCTCTGTGTCAATACCCACATTTCAGAAATGGCTTCACGATGAACCCAGCAACGGTACGTTTCCTTTCCTTCCCGACATTTCTCTTGCCAAGAGTTTCGGAGTTTCCAAAGCTACAGTTTTTTTTTGCGATTTATTTTTGTTTTATGCAATACATTGAGTATAATTGATGGGTATAACGTAGTTGATTAGGCTTTGCCCAAAGGTATGGTTTTATTTATTTTGGTTCACTGTTTCACTTTGACAGGAGAAGAGATTTTTAGTGGAGATGCATTAACTGAGAATAGAAAAGAAAGATTCAAGAAGCTACTTTTGTTCTCTGGAAATGATTATTTGGGTTTGAGCTCACATCCTACAATATCAAACGCGGCTGCAAACGTATGCTTCCAAAACTTTTCATGTCAACAAACTAATGTATAAATTTTTTCTAGTGCCTTATGTTCGTTTTTCAATGCAGGCAGTCCGAGAATATGGTATGGGACCTAAAGGTTCTGCATTGATATGTGGTTATACTACTTATCATCGTTTGCTTGAGTCTAGTTTGGCAGAACTGAAAAGGAAGGAGGTAAACAAATCTTCCTTGAATGATTGAAATGGAGTCCCCATGATATTGATATATGTCAAGCTGGAAGCAACTGATGCGTCTTTTATCCTTTTAGGATTGTCTTGTTTGTCCTACTGGTTTTGCTGCCAATATGGCTGCAATGGTTGCTATTGGAAGTGTTGCTTCTCTTTTGGCTGCTAGTGGGAAACCTCTGAAAAATGAAAAAGTGGCCATCTTTTCTGATGCTCTGAATCATGCATCAATTATTGATGGTATTCGTCTGGCTGAACGACAAGGAAATGTTGAAGTTTTTGTTTATCGACATTGTGACATGTATCACCTTAATTCGTTACTGTAAGTCCTTCATTTTCTCAACTCTCTCCCCCCCCCCCCCTTGATTTCTAATCTTCCATTTATGTCATCTGTAACTGTTTGGACAGATTAAGTTGCAAAATGAAGAGGAAGGTCGTGGTGACTGATAGGTCAGTCTTAATTGCAACTTACTGCTCTTGTTATCATTATAAGCTGTAGTACTTAAATGTCCCAACCTGCTTTCTTACCTGATCATTGATTTTGGCCTTTTTGCTTTTAACGCCTTTGGTGGTTTGATCTGTGGACATATGAAAGGAAGTTCTTATGGTTGAATCTCATTTTTGGTTTTGACAGCTTATTTAGTATGGACGGTGACTTTGCACCAATGAAAGAGCTCTCTCAGCTTCGGAAGAAGTATGGCTTCCTCCTAGTAATTGATGATGTAAGTTGGTTGAAAATGTTACAAGAGGATTATTAGTATGTTGGTGTCAACTACTTTTTTTACTGAAGAAAATGATATTGATCGTTCAGGCCCATGGAACATTTGTTTGTGGAGAAAATGGTGGTGGCGTGGCCGAGGAATTTAACTGTGAAGCCGACATAGATTTATGTGTGGGCACTTTGAGTAAAGCAGCAGGGTGTCATGGCGGATTCATTGCTTGCAGGTATACATGCTTATGTGATCTGAAATTCGTGAACCAAGAATATGTTTTAGTGGTGATTGAGATCTCTATAAGGTCCATCAAAGTTTATGATAAATTGAATCAATAATGTTGGTTGATGAAAACAGCAAAAAATGGAAGCAGCTGATACAGTCGAGAGGTCGCTCATTCATATTTTCAACAGCAATCCCTGTCCCAATGGCTGCAGCTGCTTATGCAGCAGTTATAGTGGCGAGGAAGGAGATATGGAGAAGAAAGGCAATATGGGAGAGGGTAAAAGAGTTTAAAGCATTATCTGGAGTTGACATCTCAAGCCCCATCATCTCACTTATTGTAGGCAATCAAGAGAAAGCCCTCAAAGCGAGCCGGTTCACACACATCTCTCTCTGTCTTCCATTTCCTTACATACACACACACTTGTATGGGTGATTGATTTTTCTTATTGTTGCAGGTATCTATTAAAATCAGGCTTTCATGTTATGGCAATAAGACCGCCCACAGTGCCACCCAATTCTTGCAGGTAAACGAAAAACTGCTAAAGTTCTTTTCCATATGAATTGAAACCATATCATCATACGTTTTTGTGGAATTCAACTTCAGGCTAAGGGTGACACTGAGTGCAGCACATACCACAGAAGATGTTAAGAAACTAGTCACTGCGCTTTCGTCTTGTTTGGACTTCGACAACACCCCCACCATTAACATTCCTTCCTTTCTCTATCCTAAACTCTAAAAGACCGTTTACTGTTGTCTCAAATATTCCAAAACTCTAATTCGAAATCTGCTCGTGATATTTTCGGTGGATAATCTATTGAACTAGAGAGTAACATGTATTGTTGTAATCCCTCCTACTTTGCAAAAATGAGCAGTATATTTGAACATAGTTACATCATTGTATGAAAAAATAGAGAACCAAAGGAGAAGGTGGGGACATTGTTTCCTCGGGCCAACAAAGCAAAAGGCCCAACTAATAAAAGTATCACAAGCCCAACTAGTAAGAGTATGAGCCGCGGGAAAAAGAGAAAGGAGTAGAGGCGGGAAAACATTTATCTCCTCTATCACAAAACACAACATAAGAAGAAGTTACAGGTTTATTGGGTTATGTATCTTTTGCAATTACTCTAAACTATATACTGTATTTTGTTTAAAACGGTAACCAATCCCAACTAAAGAAAAAATCAACTTCATATCAAGTGGGTGGCGAAATGTACTTTTAGAATATTTTTAAGTACAACCATATAGTCAGAAATTTCGCCATACGTTTTCTGATTACAACATAACAAATAAAGATTTCTTTTAAACAAGAACATATTCTGTATAGGAATCAAATATACACATAATTCTCATACGTTACACCAAAGGCTTTATAATAACTATCACAATACGCAGCATATATGTATATATATTTGTTAATCCAAATAATATCATCCAACAATTGCTTCTTCTTCTGGTTGTTGTTCATCATCGATTAAAATCCATATACAGGTTTAAAAGCGCAGTACTCAAAAGAAGGAAAATGTTAGAAATCTCCGACAGTGTCTTCTTGTTCACCCTTGTGGCAATCCTCGTAACAAGTCTGGTTTACACACTCAAGCGCCTGAGTCACGATTCGAAGTCAGCGAACCTCCCACCAGGTCCACCGGGTTGGCCGGTGGTTGGGAATCTGTTGCAGTTCGCGCGCTCGGGGAAACAGTTTATCGAATACGTAGAGGAGATGAGAAAGATGTACGGCCCAATTCTCACACTAAAGATGGGAATCCGAACAATGATCATCATTTCCGACGCCAATCTCGCACACCAAGCCCTGATCGAGCGTGGAGCACAATTCGCAACCCGACCCGTCGAAACTCCGACCCGGAAAATCTTCAGTTCCAGCGATATCACAGTCCACTCCGCCATGTACGGTCCCGTGTGGCGTTCCCTGAGACGTAACATGGTTCAAAACATGCTTAGCTCGAACCGGTTAAAGGGATTTGGTTCGATCAGAAAATCCGCCATTGATAAGCTCGTGGAGAAGATCAAATCGGAGGCTGGGAACAACGACGGGCTCGTCTGGGTCCTGAGGAACGCTAGATTCGCTGCGTTTTGTATATTGTTAGATATGTGTTTCGGAATCGAGATGGAAGAAGAGTCGATTGAGAAGATGGATCACATGATGACGGAGATTTTAATCGCCGTTGATCCACAAATCCACGATTATCTTCCGATTCTCACTCCGTTTTACTTCAAGGAGAGAAAAAAGGCTTTGGAACTTCGCCGGGAACTTGTCGAATTCGTCGTCGGATTCATCGAGAAGCGACGGTCGGCGATTCGAAACCCCGGCTCCGATGAAACGGCGTCGTCTTTCGCGTATCTTGATACTTTGTTCGATCTCAGAGTCGATGGCCGCGAGACGACGCCGTCTGATGAAGATCTCGTGACGCTCTGCTCCGAGTTTCTCAACGCCGGTACGGATACGACGGGGACCGCGATAGAGTGGGGAATCGCGGAGCTGATTTCGAATCCTGAGATTCAATCTCGGCTGTACAATGAGATTAAATCAACGGTGGGAGATGATCGTGACGTCGAGGAGAGAGATTTGGATAGAATGGTCTTTTTACGAGCTTTTGTTAAGGAGCTTCTCCGGAGACATCCTCCGACGTATTTCACGTTAACTCACGGCGTCACGGAGCCGACGAAACTCTCTGGTTACGATATCCCCGTCGGAGCTAACGTCGAGTTTTATCTCCCGGGTATAAGTGAGGACCCTAAGATATGGTCTAAACCGGGGAAATTCGACCCGGACCGGTTTATAACAGGTGGAGAAGACGCTGATTTAACCGGAGTTGCCGGGGTCAAGATGATGCCGTTCGGAATTGGCCGTCGGATTTGCCCCGGGCTTGGAATGGCGGTCGTACACGTGGAGCTAATGCTAGCGAGGATTGTTCAAGAATTCGAGTGGAGCACTTACCCGCCGGAGAGCCAAGTGGATTTCACCGGAAAACTGGTTTTTGCGGTGGTGATGAAGAATCCGTTGAGAGCGAGGGCTAAAGCGAGGGTTTAAGTTTCGTGGATTGACTCTGTTGTGGGTAAACTTTACCAAACCCGGTTCAAGTGAAATCTCGCGCATATTGTCTGATTTGATGTGGTTTAATTAAGTAAATGTTTTTATTATTCTGCAATTAAATTTTGAGTTGGTTTGCATGTGTTCACTTTCAGAAAAAAAGGAAATTGTTTTACGCTTGTTACATAGTCGTTTAATTATAACTGATCAGTGGATTATCAGAAAAAGGAAATAAAATCGATGGTTTAACTGCGCCAGCCTTGGTTCGTCTCAGGTGAAAAGTAAAACAACTATAAGTTTTTTAATTCTAATGGGTGGCGTGAAGAGGAAGATTTAGATAGAGCTATATAGTAACAACTAACAAGAAGACTGAAGAACAAACGATTAGTAAAATGGATCCTTAAATTAATTTCATCATACATAATAATACTTTCTGACCATATATATATATATATATCACATGTACTCCATATTATCGATAATACTTTACTACTACTCATGACTCATGAGTAACAACAAGAGTTGAAATTCTGACAAGTAAATTGAATTCCAACCAAGTCAAACACGTTTATCCGAGTTATGATAATACGTAGTATGATGTTGGATTCTGATTAGCTAACAATATGACAACATTTGTTTGTATTCATTGTTGTCTTTTTGGGTCTACCAAAATAGGAAAGTGAGTAAATGGCCCTTCTGAAAACATTTAGATTTCCTATGTCACTAATTATTTGTATGAAACGGAGCAGTTGGAAAGCAATAAAAAATAAATACCTTAAAGACATGCACTGAGCTTCTTCTTTGCATAGATTAGAATATGAGATGGACAAGTAAAAGCAGCAGAGAGCAATGTGTAGTTCAGCAATGACTCGTTGCTTTTGATTTCAAGTTAATTTGAGGCTAAGGAACTCTCTCTCTCTCTCTCTCTCTCTCTCTCTCTCTCTCTCTCTCTCTCTCTCTCTCTCTCTCTCTCTCTCTCTAACTCTTAAATTATTGATAGTAACGAAACGTTCAATGATATTTTTTTTTGTTTCTTTTTTGGTTCCACCCCCAACAAACAACCTCCGGGGTTCTTAATTAACCGCTGCTGTCAAATTCAAGAAGAGAAAGATACTATCACTTATGTTTGTTTTAAAACGTGTTTATTGGACCAGATTTGTAAACGAATTTGAAGTTAATGTCTTGACCTAACAATATGCAGGCTTATTAATCAATGAATAGTACAGTTTTGTGACAATATGTATCGATGAGAACTCATGTTTTTACCGCATTTGTTTTGAAGAAAAAACATTCGTATCAAATAAGTTGCTAGTTAATGGGATTAATGTCATATTTACTCTTAATAGATAGATGTAGGGAGATATCACTTCTCTAAAAAGTACTATAGTGGTACTATTAAGAACTGTCGATAGTAGGATATAGTAATAATATATCTAAGGACTAAGTAGAACAGTAATTAAAATTATTAACAATATGTGAAGCATATATATATCATATAAAAAAAGTTATAATATAGAAATTGGTTTGCCTATTAGATGAACATGTTAGGAAGATGAAAAAACTATATAAAAGTATACAAATATTAATTGTTCATTAACTTGTACTTTTATCATTCGTTAATTCCTTCTTCTTAAACTTTTAGATTTGTTAATTCCTTCTTCTTAAGATTACTTTTATCATAAGTTAATTCCTTCTGCTTAAACTTTTAGATTTGTTAATTCCTTCTTCTTAAGATTTGGTGTTTTTTGTGTATATATATTATTTTAACATTCGCTTCCCTTATTTATTGATCATTAGCAATCTAAGTTGTGGACTGGTCATTATATATGTTATTTAAGTAACGGTCATTACAACAACAATAAAAAAAAAAATTTTAAAAACAAATGAACTTTTTTCTTTTGAGATTAGATATACTTTGATGATGAGACAAAACTCTCCCATTGTATACAGATTCTAACATGTAGTTGTAGTTTTAAGTTTGTTCCAAGAAAACAAAAACAAAAACATGTAGTTGTAGACTTGTGGTTTCACCGAGTCATGTTTCATATCTAGGTCCAAGTCCAGTTCTGCGACGAAAAAAGTATTTGTATCTATTTTCATTATAAGTCCTTATTAATCTATCTAAGTAATTGCCAAGGGACATGCCCTGTTTAAGCTTTCGTGTAGTTACTCTTTCCTGGAATAGATCTCATCTACTATTTGACTATTTGTTGTAAGTTGTAATAATCAGTCTTATATGGCTGTAGTTGTCTCATAATCAATTTCATGAATTTAAAACATTGTTTCAATTAAAAGAGTCTTCTAATTAAACGGTCACCTAAAATAGTTGTAAACATTCATGTCATTTTAATTTTTTTTTTTAACACACCCAATTAGCCAATAATGTACGCATTTCAAGTATTCTTTATATATAAGCCAAATAATTTATAGTCTCAAATATATCAAAATGTCTGTTTTCTATAAAAAAATTCTAAATAATTATAGATTATGCCATATGCATGGTGGAACTCAACCAAAACATATCTTAATCCCTTTGTGTGTGTGTGTGTGTGTGTTTTTATTTATTTTTATTCCGGGAGTGATATATACATGCAAAATTAGAATCCAAGTAAATACAGTTAATTGGCCTCTGTTTCAGGTAGCAGCTACAGTCCCACAGTATTTTGAGTAATAATGATTTTACCAAATTCCAGCCAAAAAAGGTTAAATTTGACTTTAAAAAAATTTGCATGCTTTTACTCTCTCTCTCTCGTGTTATATAATCTTCTTCTTCATCGTCTGCACTGGAGAGGAGTCAAGAAGAAGATACACAGAGCTAAATGAATATGTATCTCATCTCCTTGGTTCCCACTTCTCTTGGTTATACCTTCCTTGCTGTTATCGTTACAGGTTTCGTTTTCATCCTCACTCGATGGAGTTCCAAGTCAAGGGGAGGTTTAAACCTTCCTCCAGGTCCACCAGGTTGGCCGGTGGTCGGTAACTTATTCCAGTTCGCGCACTCCGGTAAGCCCTTCTTCGAATACGTGGAGGAGCTTAAGAAAACGCACGGCCCAATTTTCACACTGAGAATGGGGACTCGTACTATGATCATCCTCTCCGACGCAAACCTCGTCCACGAAGCTCTTATCAAACGCGGAGCTCTGTTCGCCTCACGACCCGCCGAGAATCCGACCCGAACCATCTTCAGCTGCAACAAATTCACCGTCAACGCCGCCAAATACGGTCCCGTGTGGCGATCTCTGAGAAGAAACATGGTTCAGAACATGCTTAGCTCTACACGCCTCAAGGAGTTCGGTTCGGTCAGACAATCCGCCATGGATAAGCTCATCGAGAGGATCAAATCGGAAGCTAGAGAGCACGACGGCCTTGTCTGGGTGCTCCGAAACGCAAGGTTCGCTGCGTTTTGTATTCTCTTAGAGATGTGTTTCGGAATCGAGATGGATGAAGATTCGATCGTGAAGATGGATGATATTTTGAAAACCGTGCTGATGACCGTTGATCCACGGATCGACGATTATCTTCCCATCCTCGCTCCGTTCTTCTCCAAAGAGAGGAAGCGAGCTCTCGACGTCCGCCGTGAACAGGTGGATTACGTCGTCGGGTTTATCGAGAGACGTCGGAGAGCGATTAAGAACCCGGGATCCGATGAAACGGCGTCGTCTTTCTCATACTTGGATACGCTCTTCGATTTAAATATCGAAGGTCGTGAAACGGCGCCGTCTAACGAAGAGCTCGTGACGCTCTGCTCTGAGTTGCTCAACGGAGGTACGGATACGACGGGGACAGCGATCGAGTGGGGGATGGCGCAGCTGATTGCGAATCCTGAGATGCAATCTCGGCTCTACGATGAGATTAAATCAACGGTGGGGGATGATCGTAGGGTCGAGGAGAAGGATATGGATAAAATGGTCTTTTTACAAGCTTTTGTGAAGGAGCTTCTCCGGAAACATCCGCCGACTTATTTTTCTCTGACGCACGCCGTCACGGAGACGACGACGCTCGCCGGATACGATATTCCTGCCGGCGTTAACGTCGAGATTTTTATTCCGGGTATTAGTGAGGACCCGAGAATTTGGAGTAACCCGAAAGAGTTTGACCCGGATCGGTTTATATCGGGTAAGGAAGAGGCTGACATAACCGGGAATAGTGGAGTGAAGATGATTCCTTTTGGTGTTGGCCGTCGGATCTGTCCAGGGCTTACGATGGCTACCGTACACGTGCAGTTGATGCTTGCGCGGATGGTTCAAGAGTTCGAGTGGAGTGCTTATCCGCCGGGAAGTGAGATTGATTTCGCCGGGAAAATTGAGTTTACGGTGGTGATGAAGAATCCGTTGAGAGCTATGGTCAAGCCAAGGATTTAATCTTTAAACATTTTACGTCTTGAATTGTTTGGTATTTTTTTATAAGAAAATATTAACATTATTATTGTACGGTGTGTTTGCTTATAAACTTTTTTTAAGTATCCAAATCTACACAAATACACACGACCAAAAACTACCATAGAACATTGCCATATATCTCCAGTAACTCCTTTTTCTTTTTCACATTTCTTCAAATTTATATTCGTCCAAAGAGAAACGAAAAAAGTAAGGCGGGGAACATCATCATCTTACGGTAGTTATGAACAAAAAAACAAAAGATAAACCTAAGAAAAGGAAAAAATCTAAGTCAATTTACAATATCAGCGTAGAAACGAAACCCAAAACCTACAGAGACTATATATACCTCTTTCAAATCCTCTTTGAAAAATGCGCCAAAAAGAAACCCAACGTTCGATTCAGTCAAGTAACATTTTCTATCTTTACCATTTCAGTTCAAGAAAACAGTCGTGTCAACCTCGCCCGATCCAGCTGCTTTAATGGCTTCTGCAATCCTGAGAGCCATAGTCGCTTTGTAAACTGCCAAATCTGCGTTTTCTGCAAGAACTTGTGCTCGCATTCTTTTGGCTATGGCAGCTTTCATGGTTGTATCAGCCAAAGTTTTGGCTTCTTCCATTCTGAGAAAATCGTTTTGGTCCTCTGGTTCAGCTGCCTTTACGCCCACTGTTCACATTAGCACAACAAATGAATCAGATCACTTTCATTCCCCATGGTGTTTAAAATACTCAACTTTGTGGATTTTATCAAGCTTCATTCTCCAAGTGATAAAATTTCACTATTCTCAAATCAAATACAGCACCATGACCAAAGAGACACGATTATTAGTCTAATTCTATGGTAACCCTTCTACTTAATTTTACTTCTGCACGACTGTTCCATGTTTACTCTAACTCTCAAGTCTATACTACACTTTCAGTACTTGCAAACAATTGTATCTCTTAAGTCATTATGTTGAGGGAACTTACCGAGCCAAGGGCTTGTCTGTTTGGCTTTTCCATGGAGTTGACTTCCCTGTCTTTTGAAGGATCTTCTCTTCCGAAACACAGGTTTCGAGAGTAGCGACGTTTTCTTCACTTGATGACCCTGTTTATATACATGCATACATCTATTTCGTTAGTATAAATACAACTGGAAAAAAAACATGCAACTTGTACACTGTAATATGATATTACCTGAAAAATTCTGAGGAGTGGTGCTTTTCGCTGCTTCCTTTTCTTCAACCAGTAATCATGTACTGCTTCAACTATCTCTTGCCTACCCAGATATGAAAGACTAGCTATAGTGGCTGCTTTCTCATCCAAGAGATCATCGGCAGGGCTATGGAAATGAAACTTTTCAAACCCATCAATCATCAACTCAAAAGTTTCCCGCTGAAGTTGTTGAAATTGGTCATCTTCTTCACCAAGCAGTTCCCGGTTCTGCCTTTCGAGCCACTCTTCGTCTTCAGAATCCATGTCATAAAGAGCAATACTTCGAGCCATTGCTCTTGAAACCTCATCTTCGTTTACAGATATATATGGAACTGGCCTAGAAAAGGAGGGAAAATCATCTATATCCTCTGCATAGCCACGCACTTCTCTTACCCCAGGAATTGGAATGACTTTCACACTCTGTTCCAATACATTCCGTTCATAGCATTCTTTATATATATCTTTAAAACCAAGCCAATCTAGTCTGTCACAAAACTCAAGCTTCCAATTATGACCTCCCATCCATATTGTCGCATGTGTAATGCGGTTGGAAGAACAAGGTCTCATGGTCTTTTGTGCCTTGTGGCTAAATCTGATTTCCCTGTCTTTCTTAATAACAAGAAACCACTCCTTTGAAGAAGAAACCTCCAACATGACACTAAATCCTTCTTCTCTGGTGCACCTGTCTGAATCTACCATCAATATATTCACAGAACAACATAGAGAATCCAGTTCCTCTTTTGTCTTCGTCACTGGGATGATACTAATCCCATTTGAACCCGGAGATGAGTTACTTAGAACTGAGCTTCTGAGCTTTCTCGACGATACTGCTACTGTCCTGTTTTTCCTACTTCCTGATATATCAAAAACCGGTGTTCCATTGTACGACTTGTGTGCATTATGTGAAATATTTCTTGCTCTTCTCCTTCTCAAAGAGCTTCTCCTCTTTCGGAAACTGTGAGAACCTAAATTGCCTCTATATTGAGCATTTCCTCCGGTTAACTTCGAGGCTCTCACTGATGGATGTAACCCAACTAAACCTCCATTCGTTTGATTACAAGGTTCAGGTAAAGCTAATTCAGGCTCCGAATCAGATTCTTCAACTGGATTTTTTAGCATATACAGATATTTCTCTACGAAAAAAAAGGAATGTGGTGCCACTCTTAGAAAGAGAGTAAAATGCATATCCATGAACCAACGAGGAATGACAGCAAAATCTGCTGAAAAGAGAGGTAGACAATTCATGTTCCCAAAAATCTTGCAGACACCCGTTGAGCTAAGGGGAGGCTCCTGAAAAAACATCACAATAAATATAAAACAAGATAGCGCAACTCAGCAACATTAACGATACATAACCAAAAAGTAGTCCAAACCTAAAGTTACTAAGTGCAGAGGTAATTACCACAGGGAATCGCACGCCATGGTCTGCAAACACTTGGTTGATAGGTTGAGACAAGAAGAAAGAAGTAAGCGAAGACAGCCTCAGTTCTTCCCTCCTCGTGTATCTCATAGCCAAACCGAAAACACTTAAAAACCAGCAATCCTCACAGGACCAATCTACTGTAAGAGTAAGCACAGGACGAACTGAAGAAACACGACGAGGGAGTCTCCTTCGCCTGCAATAAAATTTGAGGCTTCGTTGTGGCTCTTCTGATCTATCGGTTGATGATGGTTCAGAAAGTCTCTTCCTTTTCCTACTATATACAATCCCAAACATCTTATCCACAGTCTTTTCATCTCCGACACACTCATTTCTCACTTTCATCCGTTTTCTGACCGGAAAGTCATCTGCTTTGTCGTCTTTGTCACTAGAAACTTGTCTGGGGCTACAAGGCTGGCTGTTACTTTTACCGGAGACTTTGGTCCCTTTGGTTTTGTTCTGATTCTTCAAAACGATGTTCCAATCCCGATCCACCACATCATGAGCTCTCCGCACCTTCGGTTCGCCGACGTTAGGCCAGATCCGACGACCCGAACGGAGGACCCGGGCTCCGTCTGCGGCTTTAACCACCCCGAAAACCCTAGTGGTTCGTCTCATTCCCACCGACGGCATCTATGCCTTGCTCATACGACTCCGTTTCTCACTCGATACTGAAGACGCCACAACTGGCTTGACTTTACTTCAGAAATCGGCTTGATTCGAACCCCTCCTTCGATCTATACTCGCTAATCTTTCGTAATATTCTAACAAAACACGGATCTTCCAAAGAACCAATCCGATTCTGACAAGATTTTATTCAAAAACCTCTCCTTTTTTTCTTTTTTTTTTTGGGCGAAAATTAAGGGAAATCGAAACGGGAGATTGAAGGGGAAAAAGAGTCAGATTTAAACCGAATCGATAAGAAGATCAGATTAGTAATAGCCCAGAAAGGAAAAAAAGAAAAAGAAAATGGCCGAGATCTCTGGAGATGGAAAGAAAAAGTGAGAAAATCGATAGAGAGGATCGAGATCTGTTCATGGATATATGTAATTTCGTGTTAGAAACGAGTAGTCATGGTGAAGAAGAAGATGAAGGATCGGCGGTGAAGGTAGTTTCACGAACTTTTCGTTTTGACAAGAAGAGAGGGAACAGAGGTGGCTAGGGTTTATGATCCGAACACAACATCCAAGAAAGCCAAAAAACAAAGAAAAGAAAAAAAAGATCTTTCTCTAGAGTAGATTGGTCGTGACCGTTGGATGCTAGCCTCGACGGTTCAGATTGATTCTAGTTCGATGGGTCCAAAGCAATCTTTTTTTTTTTGCAAACGTAGTAGACTGCGAATTTTTTGGTTTACACGAATATTATTACTTTTTTCTTTAAACGAATTTAAAACGGAATGGGTCGAAAAATTCAAAAGGTCACACGAAGGAAATGACAAACGTGCCCTCGGGTTTAAAGCGAAAGGTGGTGTCTGAAGCTCAAGTGTTTAATTTAGTTTACAGTTGTTGGATGAATCTTCTGACTGTAGATGTTTAACTAGTAAATCCATACGAGCGTTTAAGACTTTATTCTAAAACAAAACAAAAAGATGCAAATATTGTGTTTTATTCAATACCCCTATTAAAAAGTTTTTAACTTTTGCTTAGACAAACAAAACAAGAAGAAAACAGCTTGAGTTTTGTAATGGTAAAAGTTGTGGAATTTTATCTCTATGATAAATGCAGGAAACTTCCAACACAAGGATATAGGTGGTTTGTAACAACTCTGAGGAAGTGAGAACAAAAGATGACGATGATAAAGATTACAAAGCCAAAAACATTCATTGACTTTTCGTTACATATGATTTTGTTTTGGAGGAATATCTCCTGTCAAAATAAAAACAGAGTAATAAATAGAGAATATGAGATTATTTCTTGCTTCTTTCCTTTGAGGCCTTGGCCGTTTCTGCGGTTTCAGTCAGCCATAAAACTCGTTTTCTTTCCCAACTTTGAGACACAGTCTTCGTAACAGCTTCTGGTTATACGTTGCAATTAACAGACACAGTACAAAGAGAAACAGACTCATCTTAACAACAAAACAGAACTCTTTTCAGCGTAAAATGAAATCAACATGACAAGAAAAATTGAACCACAATGCTCGAATTTCCTTACTTAAACAGCTTGGCCTAATCAAATTGCAAAAAACGGTAACATTTCAGACTTAGCTTTGATCCAGAGAAAACAGAACATATCTTACATGATTCACGATCTGCATCTTATATATGATCCTTGTCAATTGCCATCACCACTTTGATATAAGTGGGGAAATATAAATCACATCAATATTGTCAAAGATCTAACAAACTTACACATTTGTTTTTATATAGTCAATACTGAATTGATTCATACATTATAAATCAGATACAAAGCAAATCATGAGAGAAGAAGATGCAATCGTAACAATTAACAATTATCTGATTACAATTACGATGAAATCTCATTGGAAGTCAGCTTGGAATAACCCAAAACTCTATTTTTCTGTACACATATATTAAGATGTTTCATTCGCATATGTCATAATCTTTAATGGACCGGTCCAAGAGTTTGTATTTATTTTCAAGAAAAAGCATTACTTTTTTTTATGTGGAACCTCATAAGAAGAGAAAGGTATTGTCTACAAATATTTCGAGTAAGGCACATCAATGTCATAAGTTAGGCCCATCACTATATTAAGTTAGGCCCAACATTTCATGTTTCTGTCGAAGATTCCTTTGCCGTAAGTTGAGAATATCATTTCCTTGAGGAGAGGATACTGAAGCAAAACAAACAACAGCGCCGGTAAACAAGCAAGAAGGATCGTCGGAGGAACGATCCATTTATCGTCAAGCATCGTGAATAGCGCGGAAGAGAACGCCATTAGCATCGCCGCAATCGAGATGAACAATGTCGAAAGTCCGGCAATCATCTTCGTTGGCAGCGAGACCAAGAAATCGTCGAAGGAGTATCTTGCGGTTAGTATCCCGAGGAAGATGAGGACGGACGTGCAAGCGGAGAAGCAGGAGATCAAATCGGATACCACGAAGGTGATGAATTTCCGATCATATCGGTGGAAAGGTTTACCTTTTGAACTGTCGTCGGTGCCACCAGGGACGGTGAAGACCGCCGCGAAGGTGACCGTGACGATGAGAGCCGCGACTAAGCTGCAAGACATAGCCGTATCTTTCATCCATTTCTCGGCTTCTTCTCGCAATGATCGGTGCTCCTTTGTGAATATCTCGATCGGTGTTTGCTCTTCTGTGTTTACTCTCTCCTTCTCGATCTCCGGTGCGATTCTCTCCACTTCCTGCATTTTAAAGGGCCAAAACATGTTAGACTTCTGTTCCTCTGTTTTTGATATGAATGAGAGAAACAGAGCAAACCTTGAACCATTGTAACTCGCGCTGCAGCTGCAAAGGTGCGCCAACGACACTGGAGAGCTTAGAAGGAGGAGAAGGAAAGCCGGCGAGATGAAGCACACCATTGCCTTCACAGTCTTTGTCGGCGAGCAACAAGTATTTCCTGTCGTCCAGACCGTAGAGGAGACTAAACACCTTCTCTTGCCTAAACTCAACGGCCAAGAGAAACAGAGTACTGCTCGAGCTTGTTCTCGTGGACCATAGAAGCTCGGAGTTGTTCTTGATCATCTCCACCAAGAAATCCACATTCCCAAACCTTACTGCAAAGAGTAAAGCCTCATCCACTGTCTCGGAACGTTCCTTTAATCCTAAGGCCAATGTTTCTTCTGATATTCCCAGTAGAAGCTTCTTGGCTTGTAGATGCATGACCTTAAGTCGGTACACTTCATCTACTCCTGAAACATCACTCGATTTAGATTAAAAATTCATTGTGAATCCTTTTTGAAATACCTAATACTTACCGGTCCATTTGGAGAGACCTTTGAGCAGATTCCTCATCAAAGTATCTAAGAAACAAAGAGAAAATTTTATCACTTACTTCAGAGGAATATAGAGACTTTTGATGAAGTTGATGGAAGAACTTACTCTGATGATCTTTGTTTGAACGAGAAGGCTCTGGAAGAGTTGGCAGCTTTACTTGTATCCCTAGGAAGTGAGAGACAGATGAGTTGAAGCAAAGGATAATAACAAAATGATTAATCTTTGTAACGATGAGGTTTTAGATTAGTACAGACAAGAGTAGATGAAACGTGTCAATGGTCCAAGATAGCAGCCACCAGGAAAAAGATCTGGCTTTGAAGCCAAGACAATGATGGGAATCGACTCAATTTGCAAGTGTTTTGTGACAGCTAAGCGTCTGCTCATGTTGAACAGATCCAACGCGATGTCTAATTGCATGAATTAAAAACAAATCAAGAAATCATTATCAAAACCGCCTAAAACATACATGGCTTACTTCAAGTCCAAGAAACCGCTTACCGAGCATTTTATAGAAGATGGCATTAAGAAAGAGCAAGGAACCGTGATACCCATCATCGTCAAGTAACACTTTAACCGGAGTTCTGGTGTAAAGATAGCGAGCCATCTCCATCTGCGTGTTCTCAACCGCAACCACAACCGGAATCTGCCCATTGATTCCAGGAATCTCTAGAAGCTTAGGGTTCTTGGCTACTAAGGCTTCAGCAATCTCCATGTTTCCACTAACCGCAATGACAGTGAGAGGCGTGTGGTACGAAGCGTTTTGGCTCATCTTGGGAAGCATTTGTTCAGGTGTCATACGTCGCAAAAGCTCTTTAACAATCTCGGGTTTCCCACACGCACAAGCCTTTAACAATGGCGTCTCGTAAAGGTTTATCCATTCGTCCACTGCGTCTGGGTGGCTGTTCAAGAAGTCCTTCACGACTTCTACACGACCTTGGCTAATTCCTTGACTTAATTGTATATACTCATAGTATACGTTCGTATTCCTTCCTAATATATATGAACAACAAGATGATATGTAACTCTTACGGCGAAGGCAATTGATTAGTTGAGAATGGTATGAGAAGTACTCTTACCGCGAAGCCGAGATGCGGAAAGAGCTGATTCGATGAACGGAATCTGAATATTGACGGGATCATTAAGAACATCTTCTTCAGGAACCTCTTCTTTTATAGGAGAGATGCTGTCGCCTAGGCCAGCATGAGGAACCTTTGTATTGGCGAATTTAAAAGGGCTCCTTCGGAATGTTTCCTTCGAAGTTGTGTCTAAGTAACTAGAACTCATTGCCATATTATATTTTGTTAGACCAACCCTAACAGAATATAGAAAATATATAAACAATTCACAACCAGAGGTAACAGGAGGATATATATAAAAAATGAGAACTATATGTGGTTGTCTGTACGTATATGCAAGGCATAATTAACGTTAACATGCAATCTTTGGTTTTTTTTTTCCTATCCTATTCTTTGATTGATCTTATATACGAATATATCCTTTGCTTGGTAACTCATTATTTATGGAAGTTTGCTAGAATACCCTAAGTTAGTAGAAATTCAAAATCTCACATAAACTAAATGATATTTCAAGCATGTACCTTTTCTTACAAAGAGAAAACAAAATAATTTGTTGAAATAGCAAATTTTTGTTAATTAAAAATATATATAGTTTAGGATATTTATTAAAATTAAGGTTATTCTATATATATACATGAAAATATGAATTCGAATAATTAAAAGAATTTTAATTGTCAAGCTTCCAAGTATTTCTTTTGGTCGATTTAGCTTGCACAGTGTCTAGGGTTTTCCTTACTTGAATCCCAAGAAAAGCGAGCTAGCCTAGAACGGCGTCCTTGCGTCTATACAATGATACTTTGTCAAACGCTAAATTGTCTGTATATATAACAAAATTAAAAAGTAAAAAAGAACCGTCAAAGCACAAGCAAAAAACCATTATAAGATCTTTTAAAAATTACAACCAACATTTCATATTTCTGTTGAAGATTCCTTTGTAAGTTGAGAGGATCATCTCTTTGAGGAGAGGATACTGAAGCTTAACGAAGAGCAGCACTGGTAAACACGCGAGAAGGATCGTCGGAGCAACGATCCATTTCTTGTCAAAGGTAGTGAATAGCGCCGACAAGAATGCGATAAGCATCGCCGCGATTGAGACGAACAGTATGGAAAGTCCAGCTATCATTTTCGAAGGCAGAGAGAACAAGAAATCATCAAAGGAGTATCTCGCTGTGAGTATCCCGAGGAAGATGAGGACGGACGTGCATGCGGCGAAGCAGGAGATCAAATCGGAGACGACGAATATGATGAACTGCCGTTTATGTAGTTGAAACGGTCTACCACGTGCATTGTCGTCGATGCCTCCAGGGACAGTGAAGACTGCCGCGAAAGTGACCGTGACGATGAGAGCCGCCACTAAGCTGCAAGACATGGCCGTATCTTTCATCCATTTCTCGGCTTGTTGTCGCAATGCTTCGTGCTCTTCTGTGAATATATCCAACGGTGTTTTGTCCTCAAAGTTCAGTCTCTCCTTCTCCTTCTCCGGTATGATACTTTCCACTTCCTGCATTATGAAAGCCAGACTTTTAGACAAGGTTTTCTTCTGTTTTGGTCATGTTCGACAGAGCAGAGAGAAATATAGCGAACCCTGAACCATTGTAACTCGCGTTGCATCTGCAAAGTTGCGCCAACGATGGTAGAGAGCTTGGAAGTATTAGAAAGATATCCTGCGAGATGAAACACACTATTGCCTTCAGCGTCCAAGTCGCCGAGTAAAAGGTGCTTCCTATCGTCCAGACCGTAGAGGAGACTAAACACCTTCTCTTGTCTGTACTCTACGGCCAAGAGAAACATAGTAGCGTTCGAGATTGTTCTTGTGGACCATAGAAGCTCGGAGTTGTTCTTGATCATCTCCACCAAGAAATCTACATTCCCGTATCTTACTGCAAAGAGTAAAGCGTTATTCACTGTCTCAGAACGTTCCTTCATCCCCAAGGCCAATGTTTCTTCTGACATTCCCAGTAAAAGCTTACTGGCTTGTAGATGCATGACCTTAAGTCGGTACACTACATCTATTCCTAAAACATTACTCAATTCAGATTCAATGTTCATGTGAATCCTATCGAATAACTGTATTCTTGAGATGAAAAGCTAATATTACCAGTCCATTTTGAAAGACCTCTGAGCAGTTTCCCTATCAGAGTATCTGGGAAACAAATCGCAAATTTTATCACTTTTCGATAAACTTTATAGATACGGAAGAACTTTATAAGAGTTTTTATCTGACTTTATGTATGCGGAAGAACTTACTCTGATTATCTCTGTTTGAACGAGAAGGCTGTGACAGAGTTGACAGCTTTACCTGTAACCCTAGCAAGTGAGAGAAGGGAAGAAAGTTTGGATCAAAAGGGAATCTATAAGAAAAAAAATGATTGATCTTTGTAGCGAAGAGGTCTTAGATTAGCACGGACAAGAGTAGATGAAACGTGATAATGGTCCCAGATAGCAGCCACCGAGGAAAAGATCTGGTTTTGAAGCCAAGACGATGATGGGAATAGACTCGATTTGAGAGTGTTTTGTGACGGCTAAGAGTCTGCTCATGTTGAACAGATCCAACGCGATGTCTAATTGTATGAATTAAAAACAAATCATGAAATCATTATCAAAACCGCATAAAACAGGGGTCCCGTGAGGTCTAAGTAACCGCTTACCGAGCATATTATAGTAGATGGCATTGAGGAAGAGCAGAGAACCGTGATACGCATCTTCTTCAAGTAACACCCGAACTGGAGTTTTGGTGTAAAGATAGCGAGACATCTCCATATGTGTGTTCTCAACCGCAACCACAACCGGAATCTGCCCATTGATTCCAGGTATCTCTAGAAGCTTAGGGTTCTTAGCTACTAAGGCTTCAGCAATCTCCATGTTTCCACTAACCGCAACGACAGTGAGAGGCGTGTGGTACGAAGCGTTTTGGCTCATCTTGGGAAGTATTTGTTCAGGTGTCATACGACTCAATAGCTCTTTAACAATCTCTGTTTTCCCACATGCGCAAGCCTTAAACAATGGCGTCTCGTAAAGGTTTATCCATTCGCCCACTGCGTCCGGACGACGGTTCAAGAAGTCCTTCACGACATCTAGACGACCTTGGCTTATTCCTTCACTTAATTGTATATACTCATAATATACATTCGTAATCTTTCCTGCATCAACAACATGATATACATACACACCATAAATATATATATACTTATCGCGATCACGCTATACGAATAACTCAGTATTCCCGCTCTATGTACATTCACCTAAAAATATTATCTTAAGATACAATGTGAATACCCTAGTACTCGATCACGAAGTTCGAAATTGAGACCTTTGATCTATCCTTGTAACTTGCTTATAGTTATAGGCGACTGCTTAGTTGATAATAGTATAAGTATTCCTAAAGGATCCTACTCTGCAAAGCCAAACATTTTGATTCTAATGATATTAACATTCATAGCAAAAAAAAAGAAAAAGAATAGTATAAGAAGTTAAGAACTCGTACTACGAAGCCGAGATGCGGGAAGAGCTGATTCGATGAACGGAATTTGGATATTGAAGGGATCACTTGGACCTTCGTCTTCAGACACTTGTTCTTTTATACTGTCGGCTAGGCCAGCATGAGGAACCTTTGTAGTAGCGAATTTGAAAGGGCTCCTCCGGAATGTTTCCTTCGAAGTTGCGTCTAAGTGGCTAGAACTCATTGCCATATCAAATTTTCATACACTAACCCGAAGAAATGATAAAAAATCAAGACAACTAGAGGTAATAGTGTACATATATAGATGTTTGAATTTTGAAGTATATGTTACGTTGGTGTCTCATGTGTCCACGTTACCACGTATATGTAAAGCATAACTGTAACATACAATCTTCAGTATTTTCATCCTCATTACTGATCTTACATAAGAATATATCCTTTGCTTGGTTACGCATTAATTTATTTGGAAAGCTTTTCTGTTACTAAAAAGAAAAGCAAAGCTTATTTGTCAAGGTTCCAAATCAAAGCATTTATTTTGGTTGCTCTGTCTTACGTAATATATGCTTTTCATAGTTACTAATCATTATCTTCTTCCTTTTTTTTTTTCTCTTAGAAAAGAACATATATATAGTATAAAGGTCTTCTATATGCAAATACGTAGCTTCTTGCACAGTTTCTACTTTCTAGTGTTATTGGTAGCCTACAATTCTATTAACAATGAGAAGGATATGAGTAATCTATACAATTACTTTTCTTTTTTTTCATCTATCACATTTATCCCAATTTCCTTTTTTTTTTTTATTCAGTAAGTTTTCTTTCTTTGTTTTTCTCTTTCTTTCATAGATATGCAAAAAAGTGTTATGCTGATGATTTTCAGTTTTATAAGAACTTAATTATGCTGTTTTATTTATTAAAAAAAGAAGACATTGGGCTAAATGTGATACACGATTAAACCAAAAATATAAATAAAATGTGATACACGAAAAAAAAAATTAAAAGATTAAAAGAGCTACAGAAATTAAAATTTTCCACAATTACGTGGCTATGTAAATTTATTAGGATTTTAGGCTGTGTAAACAAATAAATGTTTTATACTCGGTCTAATCCTACTCAATGGATTGGATATTTAAATCCAAAATATGGAGGAGATTGAATATCATCAGAATGTAACTTCGTCGACAAATAGAGCCATAGAGGAGGACTCGACCATAAAATTCAATTTGAGGGAAAAAAAAAAAACAAAAAAATACAGCGAGACTAAAGAACTACTAGGTCTAGGTCGGTTAGACAAGTTGGCACCAACGAAGAGTATTCGTCTCCCTCCTTCTCTAGGTTCTGTACTAATTGTGAGACTGAGGACCAACGAAGAGGGGACATATTGCAGCACTGCATTTTGTTGCCTAGCGATTACAAATTCCCTGGAGCTACTCATCCACCATGAGCTTCCTGTCTACGCTTGAGAAAGATTCATAAAACGCCTTGAAATGTCTGTACGCTATGTCTATATCGTCTGTTCCACATATCTCTCTTACACTGTCTCACAAGTAACAGGTTCATAAACCATAAGCTGAGGTCTAGTCTAACCTAGTTTCATTTCGAAACCTGTGAAAGAGTTGTTAAAAATATTTTAGCAGTAGTTAACGTACCTATGCATAGAAAGCTGAGCTATCCCACAATCAACTGTTCGAATCCCGATTCCTGAAGCCAATATAGGTCCTATCGTTGAACCACATCCCATATCGTTCCTCACCACAAACTCCTGCACGAATAGCAATAATCTGATTGTCAATATGGGCTGATTAGTGTAGAGCAATCTGGAAGATCTATTACGTGTAAACCACAAGAACCTCAGATAAACCGGTTCAAACAGAAGGATAATGAAGGTAGAGACATAAACTTTTCCCTTTATAGTGTTCACTACTAGGACTTAACATTAAGAAGAACACCCAACCTGTATTGGAAGATCATGGAGCTTTGCTACTTCTTTGAAAAGAAAAGAAGTGACTCCACTGGTTGCATAGCGTTGATTTGCGTTATGTTTGATTACCAGACCCTTGTGTAGTTGAGGACGGTGGTTCTCTTCATGCTTATCTGCAAAGTTAGGGTGCACTCCATGAGCCATGTCTGCAGACACTGCAACCAAAAGAGCAGATACATAAGTTTCAGTAGAAACTAGAAACTTAGAGATAGAAAAACATCCGAAACTTTTTACCACTGTCTTACAAAAATTCCAGAGATTGCATACGCATAAATAACTGGAAAAGTAGAATGTGCGTACCAAGAAAAGATTTTCGGATAGCACGGTCAAATGTACATTCAGTGACTTGCTTATTGCCTAGGGAACTCACAATCCGTCTCATTGCTTGAAACATAGTGGGTGCCCCTGCACCTTGACATGAATCAGAACCTACCTATTGAAACAAAACATTTTTAAGAAGAATTTATACAATCAGGCTCAGATGTTTTAACCACATCACCAGCTTAAAGCAAAAAGGTTATGGAAGTCCTCTTTTATTCAACAATTTTTAGGATAATTATGCTGCTAATAACTTCCTCGGTTAGAACCAACCTAATAAGTATCAATATCTTATAGGGAAAAGGTACCTCCTCGTTGTCAAATAAAGCTATCATCCTTATATCATGTTCCGTCGACAGGCTTCCCGATGATTCACATGAATCAATGAGAGCTCTCAAAGCACAGAAACTTGATGCAAGATTATCTAGTCTTCCAGAGAATATGAATTCATTGTTCGCTCCTCCCAGGCAGCTAGGTTGGGTGTCACAGATATTTAACTCAAGACTCACTATATCCTCAACCTTACAATCCAGATCATCTGACAAAATCTGCAACACGATCAGGAAGCTTTGAGTTATTTTCGGATATTTCAGTTACCACCCACATCAGAAATTCAGAGAAATTAATGACGATAAACCCAAAAATGTTGGCAATGATAAAAAAAATTGCAACACTAAATCCAAATCTTTCTAAGAGCTACGCTAAGAAACAATGCAGAGGATTAGGAAGGACTCAAGTGACTAACCTAATTATGTCATACCTGCATGAGTAGTGGATGATGAGCATCTTTGGAGGATGAAGATAAATTTTTGTCCTTGGAATCTGCTGAGGATTCATCTGGTTTCGTTGCCAGTAGTGGAACTAGTTGGGTTTCCAAATTTGGTTTAAATCCATCACTATTCACTGTGCTAAACAAAACAAGAATAAAAAAAACAGCATGAGTGAGCTTCAGAACTAGTATACTTTCACTCGATAGCAAATGAATTAGTCGACAACACAACTAGAAAAGCCCGTAAAAGAAGTTTACCGATCAAGATGAATGGCCAAAGTGGGCACTCTAAGTAATGGCCTTTTCACTTTGACAAGCCTGTGAACAAACGAGCCATCACTGGCTCTTACAATTGCTCTCCCTGCAACACTCAAATCTCGATCAAACCATGTGTGCCACAAACCACCTCCATAAGTCTGAACATTCACCATCAGATAGCCAGACTTAGATGAAGCAGACTTCGGCTTAAGTTTAAGACAGGGGCTATCAGTGTGAGCAGCTATGGCATGAAAACCGTTACCAGGAACATACCTACAAAATGAGGAACAAATATAGGTTCCCTGAACCCAACAAATAAGGAATCTAAAAAAAGAAGAGATTTTGTGAAGAACCCATCAACTATTCAAGCATGAATTAGTTCCAGGATTCACTATTCTACTAATAAAGATCATATCCAAACCAATCATGTACCACGGACACATAACTGAATTGGAAAAACTTACTTATCTCCGACAGCAAAAGCAACCAAACAGGACATGTTTCGTGTAAAGAAGTAACGGCCACCAGGTTTCAGCTTCCAATCCTCGTTTTCACTGAGGAGATCAAAACCAGCAGCCAAAAGTTGTCTCTTCGCCTCAGCTGCAAGCAAAAAAAAAAGAAAAAGATCAATCAGAGTCGTCAATGCAATTGAAAACCGAAAAAACACAATTTTTGAAAGTGGACTACAATTTACCAGTGGCGTGAAACTGTGTCCATGATTCATTAAGATAATCAAGAAGATCCCCGACAATCGAAGCATTAGAGTCACTCCCGAGCGACCTCGAATCATCCTGAGAGGAGCAGAGGATTGGAGAGACGGAGGAGAAAGAGCGAAAGGGAGAGCGATGAAGATAAGTAGGAAAGGAGCGAGGTGGAGGGAAGACAAAGGAAGGATTGAATTTGGAGGGAAGAGAATGGGTTAGTGGAAGACGAGCTACGACGGCCGCCATTAAAACTGCCTCCGGATTGTGAAGATGAGGTCTGACTCTAATCTCCTAAACTCTGTTTTATTTTTAACTGTAGCCATCTGCTCTATCATCATTTATTTTCTTTTACCTTTTCACTGTTTGGCCATAAAAGCAAAAAAAGGAAAAAAGAAGAAAAGGAAAAAAGGAAAAGGCAACAATTAATAAAAAGAATACAGTAAAACCTCTATAAATTAATAATGTTGGGACTATGAAAATTTATTAATTTATAGAGATTTTAATTTATCGATAAATTAATAATTATTAATTTATAGAGAGATTTTCCTAATTTGGAAAGTTTTTTCAAAAAAATAATTAAAATAAAATTTAATCATGAGAATTAATATTTTATATAATCAATTACAAAGAAAATAATAATTATTATGTCTTGAAAGAAAATGCTAACTATTTTTGATATAGTAAAATATTAGAAATAAACTATAACAAAAACTAATGTGTCTATATATGCATATATTTTGAAAAATTTACCTAATTATTAATTTATAATATTGTTGGGACCATATATTTACAAAGGATTTTCAAAAAAATTATTATCTTATTATTTTATCGAAATATGTCTAAAATTACACTGGTCCCGACTTGGGACCGGAAAAATTTATTAATTTATAGAGATTATTAATTTATCGAGTATTAATTTATAGAGGTTTTACTGTACATATTAAAAAAATAAAAAAAATGAAGAAGAAAGGGTTTTCATTAATCAAAGACAATTATTTAATTAAATCCTGAAGGTGAGATGATGACGTGGCATTGTTTTGGCCTCTTCCACTTTTGCCAAAAAAAGTCTTTCTCTATTGTGAAGTCTCCGGAGACTCAAAAAAGGCAACTTCCGACGAAGCTTCGCATGAGTATTGAGTGGTGGATCCAACGTGTTCTCTTTACTTACTTCACTACGCCTTGCTCATTGCTTCTCCACTCATCTCTCTCCCTCTCTCTCTCTCTCTCCCCATCGGCATACACATGGCAGAACTTGTGGGCGGCGAAGTTGTGACGGAGCTCGTGAAGCAGCTCTTTGCTGTGTCAAAGAAAGCCTTCAGGTGCAGAAGCGTCGCGGAGAATCTCGCAATCATGATCGACAACGTTAAACCAAACATCAAGGAGATCCTCTACAGCGGCGTGGAGGTGAGTGAGCATCGCCAGGTTCAATTGCGTATGTTCTCTGAGACTTTAGACAAGTGCAAGAAGCTCACCGATAAGGTTCTTAAATGTCACCGTTGGAACATGGTTCGTCAGCTGTACCATGCCAAGAAGATGGAAGATCTTGAGAAGAAGATCTCCAGATTCATTCAGGGCTTGCCTCTCCATATTCTCGCTGACGTTCATCATCTCCGGGTCGATGCTGAAGTGCGCTTGGATCGGATTGATAGGAGTTGCGATAGCTTGACTGAGAAGCTTGGTTCTATGAAGATCAGGGGAAGTGAATCGATGCGGGAGGTGTTGAAGACGGCCGAGGCTACCATGGAGACTGTGACTGATGATGGTGGTTTCGAAAACTTGGGGGTGGGATTGGAATTGGGGAAGAGGAAAGTGAAGGAGATGTTGTTTAAATCCAGTGATGAAGCTCGACTTGTTGGGATCTCAGGGATGAGTGGTTCAGGGAAAACCACACTTGCCAGAGAGATTGAGCGGGACGAGGACGTTCGAGGTAAATAGGACTATGTCTCTGATTTAGTTTTAATTGTTTGGTACATCTTTGTAGTGGTACTTGATGGCAGGTTTTGTATGTATATGTTCGATTATGTCATCTCAAGTAGACTATTGTTGAGTTGATGAGTTGAGTTCTTGATATTAAACACTGGTGAAGCAGAGTCATAGATTGATGCTATAAAGGCTCTTATTTCCGGCTTTTACAGGCCACTTTGGGGACCGGGTTTTGTTTCTGATTGTATCACAATCTCCCAATCTTGAGGAGCTGAGATCACGTATTTGGGGATTTCTTACTGGTTATGATGTTGACGTTGGTGATACCCTGCCGGAATCGACACGGAAGCTAGTGATCCTTGATGATGTTTGGACAAGGGAATCTCTGGACCAGCTGATGTTCACTATTCCTGGATACTCAACTCTTGTGGTCTCACGGTCTAAACTCGCGGATACTAGAACCACCTATGATGTAGAGTTACTAAACGAAGATGAAGCAACGTCTCTGTTCTGTCTCTCTGCTTTCAACCAGAAATCAGTCCCGCTAGGATTCAGCAAAAGTTTGGTCAAGCAGGTACTGGGTCTGCTACAAGTGACACATGCATAGCAGTTATATTCTTTCTACTTTCAATACTCATATTGACTCTTTTTGGTAGGTTGTTGGGGAGTGTAAAGGTCTACCTTTGTCTCTGAAAGTTATTGGTGCTTCATTGAAAAACCAACCTGAAAAATATTGGGAAGGTGCAGTCACGAGGTTATCAAAGGGTGAACCTGCTGATGAAACTCACGAGAGTAGGGTGTTTGCTCAAATCCAAGCAACTTTAGAAAATCTAGACCTTAAAACCAGAGACTGTTTCTTGGAACTCGGTGCTTTCCCTGAAGACAAGAAGATCCCTCTTGATGTTCTCATAAACGTGTTGGTTGAGTTGCATGATCTCGAGGACACAACTGCTTTTGCTGTTATTGTTGATTTAGCAAACAGGAATCTTCTTACTCTCGTGAAAGATCCAAGGTATTTCTATAGCACTCTTTATGATCTCTTTTCTTGTAGCCACTTCTACGTTTTTTATCGTCTTAACTAATTTACCATGGATAATTTTGCAGGTTTGGCGCTATGTACACTAGCTACTATGACATTTTTGTGACGCAGCATGATGTTCTAAGAGATGTAGCACTTCGTCTTAGCAATCGTGGGATATTGAATAGACGAGAGCGGTTGTTGATGCCAAAAAGAGAGTCAGAGCTTCCCAGAGAATGGGAGAGAAGCAATGATGAGCCATACAATGCTCGGATAGTTTCCATTCACACAGGTAAGAATTCGTTACACAACGATCTTCTAATAAATTATTTCGGTTTGTCACTAGAAACATAAGTTTTGATATGGATTTCTGTTTTTCCTTTACAGGAGAAATGACTGAGATGGATTGGTTTGACATGGAACTCCCTAAGGCTGAAGTTTTGATCTTAAACTTTTCTTCTGAGAAATATGTATTGCCTCCTTTCATTGCTAGGATGGGCAAGCTTAGGGCGCTCGTGATTATAAACAACGGTATGTCTCCAGCTCGTCTACATGACTTCTCAATCTTTACCAATATGGCCAGGCTGAAGAGTCTATGGCTTGAGAGGGTTCATGTCCCTGAACTCTCTAGCAGTACGGTTCCCTTGAAAAACCTCCACAAGCTATCTCTGATCCTATGCAAGATCAATAATAGCTTTGATCAGACTGAAGTAGACATTGCCCAAGTCTTCCCAAAACTGACTGATCTCACAATAGATCATTGTGGTGATCTTGTGGAACTACCTTCCACCATCTGTGGAATCACCTCTCTCAACTCCATCAGCATAACAAATTGTCCCCGCATCAAGGAATTGCCTAAGCATCTGAGTAAGCTAAAAGCCCTTCAACTTCTGAGGCTATACGCTTGCCCGGAGCTGAAATCTCTGCCTGTAGAAATCTGTGCGCTGCCAAGACTAAAGTACGTAGACATCTCTCAATGTGTCAGCCTGAGTTCTCTTCCAGAAGAGATAGGAAAAGTAAGGACACTTGAGAAGATGGACATGAGAGAATGCAGCTTACTGAGCATACCGAGATCTGCAGTTTCATTGACTTCTCTACGCCATGTAATATGCGATAGCGAGGCTTTGTGGATGTGGGAAGAGGTGGAGAAGGCGGTTCCAGGACTTCGTGTTGAAGCCGCTGAAAAGTCTTTCAGCCTGGATTGGCTCGACGAATAGGCAATGCTTCTCCCTCCGAGCCTTTTGAACCATGTTGTGTCTAAATAATTCATTGCTTATATGTAGCAATTTCTTGTATAATATTTATTTGCTTTGCGATTTTCATATAAGTTGGATTTATGTTAGGATCATTCCAGATTTTTAACCTGTAATATAGAGTAGGTTTTGTGACCAAGAAAAAAATTGTATTTGAAAAGTTATATAAAAAAAAAAATTAAATGTTAAATTTACATAATGATGTAAAAAACATGTTGGACTTGTGGCATCTCCGCACAGACTTGGGACTAAAATACACAAACACCTCTCCATTGTCTAGGCGACCACTACTTGCTGATTTGGGCCAGATTCTTGTGTAATATCTAGCCAAGGTTTTGTATCGCGTTTGAAGAGTCGTTTACGATAGGTGGAACAAATCATCTCTTTGAGAAGAGGTAATTGCAGCATCAAGAAGAGAAAGGCAGGGACGCTTGCGAGTGGCTTCATTGGGACTACAAGCAATGGCCTTTTACGCATCGACGCAGAAAGCGCGGTGATAAATGCAACAAGCATTGAGGCGATGGAAATGAATAGAATGGATAGACCCAGTATCATCTTTCTAGGAAGTGATACAATGAAGTCATCAAAAGAGTATCTTGAGGTCAGAATGCTGAGGAATATGAGCACAGAGATGCAGGAGGCGAAGAAGGCGAGAGTGTCTGCGATGATGAACGCCGTGAAATGCAAGTCAGTAAGAAGAAGAGGTGAACCCGATGTTTCATCAGTACCTCCAGGAACAGTGAATACGGCTTGAAAAGTGACAGTTGCAATGAGAGCTGCCACGACGCTACAAGCAGTGGCAGTGTATTTCATCCATTCTTCTCCTTCCTTTCGTAGAGGTTCGTGAGAATCTTCAAATATTTGTCGCGGGGTTTTTTTGTCCTTGTTTTTTTGCACTACTTCACGTTCTGACACCAAGCTCTTAACTTCCTCAAACCACTGAGTCTCTCTTTGCATCTTGAGAGCAGCTCCAGAAATCTTAGAAAGTTGATCGGGAGAAGAGAGATGAGCAGCGATATGGAGAATGTTGTTGTTTTCTTTGTCGTAAGATCTAAGCAGCGTGACCTTTTTACCATCTAAACCATGTATGAGGTTAAAGATCTTCTCTTTCTTGAATTCAACGGCCAGCTGAAAGAGGTTTCGGCCAGAGGCAGCGTTCGTGATCCAAAGAAGTCGAGGGTTATACTTGATTATCCCAATGAAAAATTCCTTGTTCCCATTCTCCACCGCTTCAAATAATGCTTCATAGACCGTCTCTTTCCAACTCTCGTCCTTGACCATTTTTCCTGTTGCTTTGCACATTTTCTGTAGCAAGTTATCAGCTTTCGAATGTCTATCTTTTAGCTCACGTGTTTGCTTGATTCCTATGTCAAAGAAGAATGCGGAGATGTTACAAGATCGAAACTATACGGGTTACATTTAACTTGTACAACATTATTAAGAGAAAATAAATTGTTCCTTTTTTTTTAATAATTAGAGTTAATATATTGTCATGAACTTATTGTAGCATATAATTTTGGATAAAAATTAAAACAATGTTCGACCGACGTACGTACCAAACCATTTGGGAAGACACTGTAGTATTATCCAAAATAGACCTGATGAAGGAAAGACAGTTACAAACATGCAATTAAAAAATAAATCTTTGTTTTGGGTATAGGAGGAGCTCAGAAATTAAATTGGATTTGCATGCATGGCGTACGTTGGCTTCTGCTTGGTTTCGAAGCCTCCGACTCCGCTGGAGAATCCAAGATTATACCTACCAAAAGAATATATTTATATCAAGAAAGTTAAAAACTGGGAAAAAAAAAGAAAAGGAAAAAGGTTGTGGATTGCAAATTAAAGTAGCTATGTACATACAAGTGTAGATGAGGTGTCGCCAAAATCCAAGATGACAGTGGCTACGAAACAGGTCAGGTTTCAAAGCTATGAACCTAAGTGAAGCCAGAGATGGGAGTGGGACGCAGTCGATGATGTCCAGCGCAATGTCTAACAGTTCATGGAACCAAACTATTATATAGTATGTAACACGTATTTATTTCAGACTTATAAAGTTTTACTACGATATATGACCACAGTTAACGTCCATGTTTATTATATGCTAAACCAATTTGTCTAAATAAACAAGTAGCAAGAGTCGCAATTCATCATATCCTTATATATCATTTGTTTTACACACAAAAAAAAAAAATCAAATTAGGTTCCTAACACTAATTGTTTTGAGATTCCTATTATTTCCGGCCGGCTCATCGTTCACATTTCAGTAGTACTACATATATCACCAGCTGTGTGTTATCATTACCTAAAAAATAAGCTATATAAGTAAGTACTCAAAAAGTCTTACCGAGAAATCCATAAAATATGGCATCGAGAAGGAGACATGTAGCCCAATACTCTTCAGTCCCTTCGTTTTCCTTAAAAATATGAAGAAGTATTCCCCGGTTGTTTTTATAAAGGTAGTCAGTGACCTTTCCATGGCCTGCATTAGATGCCCGCACAACCGGTGTAGCTAGCCCAAAGTGATCTGAATTATTTTGAGCAAGCGTGTAGGAATTGGGTTTGCAGAGATTCTTAACCATCTCCAAATCGCCATTCCCTGCAGCAAGATCGAGCGCCAAACTTTGGCAATAAGGATCGGTTGCCATTTGGCCATGACTCGTCATTTCGTGCAATAGTAGCTCCTTGACGATCTCCTGTTGACGGCGAATACATGCTTTTTGCGATAGTGTCTCTGCCTCAAATGCGTCCATCCAGACAGTATTTTTGTTCTGCAGCTCCAAGAAGTCTGATTTCACTCGTTGCAAATCTTCTTCCTTAATTTGTTGTGATAGTGATAGATATTTGCAAATTTCACCTAACTTGACTGCGACCGCACATGAAGAAGAAAATAACATAACCAGTTAGATATATATTGCATCCATAAACAAAATTGCATATAACATTACGCTGCCCGAGTAACATCTATAAAAAACAACACATAACCTAACTTGGAAGAAAAGTTAGGTGAACTGCCACAAGTGATAAGTGGTACTTAACTACTTTTATTAACGAAATAATGAAAAGAATAACTAGTTTTACTGTAAAAGAACCTAGCATTTCTTCTTCTGAAGAAGCTGGCCATGGTACTCCTTGTGAAGAACCTGACACTCCTTGCGAAGAACTTGGTACTCCTTGTGAAGAACCTGGCAGTCCTTGTGAAGAACTTGCCATTTTTTTATGAATCTGATGGAAAATTTGGAGTTGTACTGTCAATGTTCTACTCAAAATATATCTCTTTTGTGATTTGTGAATTGGTTTATATAGACATCTTATACCATCTCCATTGATGGGTGTTAACACAGATTGCTTGTTTTTAAAGAGAGAAAAATTATTAATAAAAAATTATGGGAGTTGCTTAAATAGGTAAAAGTTATATTTAAAGTTGATTAAACAAGTGATTTAAAAGACTTTTGAAATATTTTTTTCACTAAATAAGCAACCTATCAAATTAAATATTAGTATTTGTATAATTTCAATAATAAACACCTTATGTTAAACACCCATGGTTGGAGTTGCTCTTATCGTTTAAAGTTACACGCAATTAACTTTCAAATCATCACATTCTCTTTCTTTTTTTTTGGTCTTTTTCTCTTGTCATACGTCATCGCATTCTTCCTAACAGTGTTTTTGAGTTCTCCCAACTAGGTCATGATGACTCATGTGCTTATCAGTATGATTCACTTATGTTTGTTTGAGTCAATTCCTTTTCATCTTTTGTTTTAGTTATGTCAACGATAATGTGATAAAATGTTTTAAGATCTTTTTTCACAAAAGCATATATACAAAGTCTATATTTAGAAATATCACATGTTGTGTATTTTAAATTCTTTTGACATTTTCGTATCTATTTTTAACAAGTACGCTCCTTTTTTATATTTTCATGTGACGTTTGTGTTTTGCATTTTTTTTTTTTTTGTTGAGAATCCATCAAACCAGAGAACTGTTTTATGTACTTTCTGAGATTTAAATAACTAGCTGAAATATTGAAGTTTTTTAAAAAATATATTTATTGAATCAGTCAGAAAGAAAAATGGAATTAGTCACCAGAAAATTTTATTGAAATATATAGCGAAGAATTTTTTTTCTTTATATATGGGATTAATTAGTTTTTTACCTGTGGGGACAACACAACAAAAGTGACCCTTCGGAAAAAAATAATTCAATCAGTCTCTAAAACTTAAAGATAATTAAATAAAAATCCAACATTTAAATAAAAATGATAAATACTGAAAAATAGTAAACGATAAATCCTTGTGCCTATACAGTTCATCCTATGCCCGTAGCAAATTTAGATTTGTGTCAAGTTTCAAGAGCTTTAAACTTCAAATCAATTTAGCAATGAGTTAATTGGCCAATGTTTCTTATATATATATTACTCTAGGTCCATTACCATTCTAATTTCACATGTAGATCCTAACATATTGCACCACATCTACTGGGAATATCCCCACTTCCTTTTCACCATTACTAATCTGGTATTGAAAAATTAAATTGAGATATTGTGACTGAGAGCCATTATGATGAAGTTGTTGTTAGGAGTGTAACGGTGAATAGAAAAGTCTGTATGCTTGCCCGTCTAAACGGACTCAAATCAAGTGTTAAGAACCCATTTATTGTTTTTAAGCCACAGAGGTTCAATTTATAGTATCACGAATTTCCACATCATCTTCCTAACAGAAGAAACTGAAAGTTTCGCAGTACAGATACGATTTGCGTTAAGGATAATAGAGGGGCACTTTCTGTTCGGAGCAGAAGACCAAAGCTCCATTAATAGCTGTCAATATCCGTTTCAGGCCTTCTTAGGAAGTAACGCAGACAGTTCACCAAAACCTGCAGCAGAGAAATTGATTCTTTACCTCTCTAGCTCTCTTTTTTTAAGGTTTTAAGTACAAGGGGAGCTGAAGCAAAAAAGCTCACCTGTGACAAGGAGCGGTTCAGTGCTTGGCCTTGGTAGCTCACGTGAAACTTGTCCTTCGCAACCAGTCCCTATCAAAATTATTACGACAATGGGCACGTTGTTATTACATGCCAAAAAAATGGATCACACTGTATGTACATACGAATATTTTAAAGAGTTTGAATACTTCTGTGTCTATCTCTGCAGATTCCACGTCTATGTTGATATCAGCCATCACTTTGATCATCTCTACAACAAGACCTGGCCTGTCTGCTGTCTCTATGACAAGCAGGCTAGAGAAAAGGAAACCAGCGAGGGTTATGTAAACTATTTTTATCAGGTTATGTTTAACGTGACATCGATCAGTGTCATTATTCTACTGAATAGTGAATATATACCTCCTCTTTGGTCCGTCTTCTTTCACATGTATGTGAGTCGCGATATCAACATCAATCTGTCACCAAATGAATCCGAAACAGACTTAAGACATCAGTAATGTAAAGCTAGCCTTTAACAACAACAGTAAACTAAGAGTTTTAAAACACAGGACATAGAAGTATCATCCAACAAGCAGAGTAAACTAAGAGTTTTAAAACACAGGACACAGAAGTATCATCCAACAAGCAGAGTAAACATTACCTTCTTTTCAGGAGCCTTTATTCCAAAAGTTTCACCCATTGCAAGTTGCTCACTGCATTCCTGCAAGACAAACAAAGGCAACGTTAAAAAAAATACAAAAGTTGCAGGCAAGGCTCTTTGAATGTGAATGTGACTAAAAGTAAGGAGATAAAGAAAAGTGTAAGCAGACCGGATGGTATTTCAAGAGATTGTTGATGATTGTTAATCGGATTTGTTCCAACAAGTCAGGATCTTCCACTTTCCGACCAGTGTCTCTGGTGTGAAAATAGAAGATTTCATTCAGTCATCTGAAGACACTTGCACACAACAATCATTACTTTCGGGAAACCGAAAGTTTCTCAAGCTAATAATTATCTATTATTGAAATATTGTTTTAGAGAGAATATTATAGCCCAATGATAATCATAAACTTCAACGGACAGCTATCATATTGAGACTGAATTACCAAGTAATATCATAACAATTAGCACAAGATTGTACATCCTATTGAACAGTGAGAGGTCAATAAGTGATAGAAAAAAAACATCTAAAGCAAAGGAAGGGCAGGGAAAGAACGGCCTTTCTTACAGTTTTGTAATAGAAAATTTAGTCTGCTTAACGGATCCTTCAGTTGAGACAGTTCCTTTTATCACATCCAATCCCAAATCTTTCAGCGACCTCATCTGTCAACCACAATCACGATTCATAAGCCGAGAACATGGCAAGTTTCCAAGATGTCAAAAGACATGCAACGATAATCTCATACTAATAGTAAAAATGCAACAATCAAGAATAGCTAAAGCTTTTTTCACAATGATAAGAAGATAGAACATAAAGCCAAAACAGGAAATAGAATCCCTCACTGTGTCAATGAGAGCCCCAAGACGATTTCCAAAACTGAGTTGTACAATGGTAGCTTCAGGGTCAGCATCCTGGTCTATCATAACCATAGGCATTGGAACAACGTCATCATCGTCTTCCGATTTCTGCGATCAAATTTTCCAGCAAATGTCATCTCAAAGCACACGTCAACACAAAACTCATACGCAGACGGTTTCCCTATTAAACATGAGAAAATCAAATCACATATCAAATATTTTACACATCAAGACATAACCATATACTCTCCACTTTTAGCTGCTGAGCTTCTGTGTGCGCACATACATAAAATTCAATGATAGACAAATCAATAGATCCAAGAAACATCAAAAGTTTAACTGCGACGAAACAAAAAAGACTGAAACAAGTTACTGACCGGATAAGATGGAGTAGTGGCATCAATGCTGTTAATCGAAGCATATGCACGGTTTCTTACACTGCATATCAAAACAACAAGCACCGAAAGATATATCAGCAACCTCAGATAAATCATACAAACAAGAAATTGCAATCCGTTCATATAGAAACCAAAGTACCAAGCACGAAGCAGCTTATCGTAATCATCTAGAGAAACATGTATCTCATACCATAAAGAACTCCAATCTGGTAATCTACCTTTAGCCAGCTTTCTCAATCATCTTAAGTTCAAGATTCATAAGTTCAAATCCAACTACTCCAAACGAGAATATAGTATAAGTTCCGTTTGCCAAATCGTTTCGAGCACATACAGAGCACCGATTGCAGTAGAATCAAGCTTAATCGACCAAACAACGATTACTAAAATCGATTTATCAGAATGAGCAAGAACACTACAAATCTCTAGTAACTGAACGGAAAGATCTGAGAGAAACGATGTATATAAAATACGCAGCAGCTAACCTCTTCGTCAAGAGAGACATTACACCTTGGACGAACTTCCGACGATCATCGAACAAAGCCGGCGATGGATCTGGAGAAGCAATTCGAGCGGGAAAACGAATCTGCCTGCTGATCGCAGAAGAAGGACGCGAAGCAAACGAAGAAGAACAATGAGTTACAGAGAAGATAGAACTCGAGAACGCCATTGAAGTTTGAAACAAGAATATTTTTTTTCTTCCTTCTTTCCTTCTTTATTTCTCCTCCGAAGTCAGAGAGAACAGCGAAATCTATAAGATGGCGATAAAATTGGCGTTTTGTGATGACAAAGAGATTGTGGAGTGGAGTGCTGAATCTGCTGATGTGTGACGTCACTACCAAGATGCTCCACCTGTACATGTACTAGAGCTATTTTTTTTTTTTTCCTTTTGATATGGTTTCTGCAAGTAATTAATTGAATATTTGCAAATTGTTATTGAATAATGCGAATTATGCGATAGTGAGACGAATTTAGACGCATAAATTTGGTTGCTGACGTTCAAACTTCTACGTTGCCCATTACCAAAATATCTTCTCTTTTGTTGTATTCTTTTCTCCTCCAAGCCAATCCGACTTGTTTCCAGATTTTTATAAACCAATTTTACTTGCTAAAGGTTTTAAAATTTTGTCTTTTGCCTCTAATGTAAAAAAGTTGTTGTATTGCAATTATTGGCGTGAGATTTGTTATTAAAACAAATATTGTTCGTTGACCTAAAAGAAGAAATAATTCTAGAAAAGAAAAATATCGAAGATGAGCCTCTCAACTATTGGGCCTTAGTTCAATGGGCCATTAAACCAAATAATAGGTCCTTTGCTTACTATTCTACGTGGGTGCAATGTTCTAGCGGGTTTTTCAACCCGACCCGGACCCTGACCCGAACCTTCTTAACTGCCTCGTTCAGTCCAAAGACATTTTCTACCAAAACCGACGATTTCGAGAAATCTTCTCACTGATTAGCAAGATGTCTTCGGCTCGTTCTGCGATCACAAAGCTAAGGTTGGCTCGATCCTTGAGGGAGAGTCAGATTGGAGCATCTCGTTCGATGGAATCGGCTCGAGGACCGGCGATTCGGTGCTTCAGTGACGATAAAGGTCGCGTGCTCAGCGAAGAGGAACGCGCGAAAGAGAGCATGTACATACAGGTTCGTCTTCACCTTTGACCTTTTCCGTCTCATGATCTATGTATAGATATGTTATCAGATTTTGTCTATACCCTGTGATTTTTGGGAAGTGGCGTTACGCACTGGTTTTTTTAAGTTTATGAGATTAGACTGATAAGATCCGAGGCTTATTCTTATCATACACTTGGATCCGATTGTTTTCTATTGAATTGTATAGTCTTCGATATATAATCAAATGGTTAAAATTGTAGATTAATGAGTTCTCTAAGGCGTATTTAGTTCATACAGGTGGAAAATAATGGAAATTAATGTCGTCTCTGTGATCTATAGCTTTAGCTTCTACGGAAAAAAAAAGTCTTTGTTAATGAAAGGGGGAGAACTGTGTGTGTTGTTGGTACTTTTAAGCAATCTCTGCTTAGGTTGTTGTGTGCCTTTTTGGTTTGAAGTTGAACTCGTAGTTACACTTATAGATGCTTCTCACTTGCATTACTCATCCTCATATGAGCTGGTCGTGACTATTGAAATTGATGTATTTTGTGGGGTAGTCTAGTTCATGAAGATATTTCTCTTCTATTTTAAAACTCATTTTTAAGAATTCGACCTTTTTGTTGAAGAAAATGGAGAAGGAGATACTGGAGAAGAAGAAGAAACTCGAGCAACAGAAGCCAGATAATGAGAAAGGAAGTGCAGACAAGGTAAACCATCAGCATAATATCAACCTCTAGTCGTATTCTTCAATTCAAGTGTTCACTCTTGTAGTCAGAAGGGCTTTATTTGGCATTAATTTCACAACAATGAAGGTCCAGCTGAACATTTCAAACAAATAAATCTGTTGCTGAACTGCTTGCTTTCACTCTTTTGTGCAGAAATCTGAGCAAAGCAAGCCATGAGTCGCCGTATGCAGAATCTGGTTACAAGGCAAGCAGTAGTGACAAATAATAATGCCTTTTCACCTTTGTACTCTCTTGTGTATGAGATTTTGGACATGTACAGAGAATTTAACTTTGCTGATGTGTGTTTGTGTGTTCTAGGAATAAATGTATGTTCTATGAATGAATAAATCAAGTTTAAAATAATTGAAGAAAACCACCATATGCGTTGATTCAAAATACCAAAATGGTTACCAAACATATATGTGTTTACAAAAGCTTTCCTATACATAATTTTATTCTTTCATCACCATTATCATCATCATCTGTATAAGAAAATACCCAATCCTATGTTCTTCTTTCCTATTCACATAAAATGAGTAAAACCCCTATTAAACTAAACCCATAGCAATTTCTCCCCCTTGTTAATTCACATCCGAAAACCGAAATCCTCAAAATGACCAGGATTCAATTGCTGACCAAACTCGGACAGAAGCTGTTGCTGCTGAGGTGGCTGAACAGGACTCCCGTGCTGTCCAGTCCAGTCCATGTTAGACCCAGGCATAGCTAAGTTAGTGTCGACCGTCGTGATGTCGTGTATGCTCGACCTTTTCCTCTCCTTCTTCACCGAGTTCTGTCTCAGGAAATACTTCTGTGCGTGACTGGCGACTTGCGTCGGCGTCCTCGTAACCACCACGTTCCTAGAGATGCTTCTCCAATCTCCCTTACCATATCTCTTCAATCCGATCAGAAACAATCTGCACCATCATATGATTCAATATCAAAACAATGTGATTAAATCACCTAAAAATTAGCAAATTGAATTCAGAGATTCCTTAAATTCTCTAACCAACCAAAACCCTAATTTTACAAAATCTGAAATGATTTAATTACTGACATAAAAGCTTACTTGTGTTCGTTCTCCGTCCAAGGAGTTCCTCTTTTCCTCTCGCTCTCGCCGTGTTTAGAGCCGAAGGAGATCTGACCAGCTGAGTCCCAACCAGCCGCCGCGGCGGAATCATCCATGTAATCAGGGACATCAACACGACCAGCATCAATCTCAAAGACATCATGAACCAAAGCCTCGTAATGCTCCCGGACTTCACCAGCAGATTTGTGAAGCTGATCAGCGATTCTCTCCCAGCGATTAGGAGATCCTTCAGGGAAAAGAACCAAAGCTTGCTCAAACATCTTATCCTCCGACCTCGTCCACTGACTCGACGCCATAACCGTTGATGATTTCTGAAAAGACTCGAGAGTATGAAATACCAAAAACCTGAGATTTGTTGGAAGAAACTGTTCGGGGGAATTTATACGGATTCTCTGGTATTCTTGAGGAGGAATTATAATAAAAGGAAAGAGCTGTAAATTAAAAAGAAAGAAAAATGAAAGAAAAAAAAAGGAAGGAAGAAGCAGCTCAGAGACCAACTTCAACACGGTTTCTCTGCAATTGGGATGTCTTTTGTCTCTCTCTCTTTTTTTTTTTTTTTTTTTTTAATTTTCAATTTTAGGGTTACAACTTAACAACACCTGACCTGACTTACTGAATTTTTGCTTACAGTTTGTTACAGTCCTCCTTTTTATTTTTTATTTTGTATGCTTGTTATAATAAGCAAATGCCACTTTGTTTTGCCAATAATACTAGGACACGTTGACAATTATTAAAAGAAGAAAAAAACTAACCGCCTAAAAATACGAAAAAAAAGCAATCTAGAAACTAGAAAGACCTGTTTTTAGGTTTCACATTCTCGAATCTCGAATCAATCACACACACACACACACTGTCAACGACTCCTTGTCACAATTATTGTCCAACCCTCACTTCACTTTCTCTTAATTTATGGTTATCTGTGATTTTCCATTTACTTTTTGCATCTGTCTTACTAATAAACCCAATTATAATTTTTTCAGTACCTATGTTTAATGGTCATTTTTTGATATTTTTGGGGGCAAAAACTACTTGTGTCTTCTAGTCGTGATGAACAAAAGGAAAAAGTTTGTGATGGTCCAACGTTTGACCTCTGTAATTTATGTTACCGCAAAATTTGACTAAATTTTTATTGACAGTTGGGTCATTAATGTTAGTCAAAATCCAATTCTCAACTGTATTAATCCCTAAGCAAGAAAACTCAACGACGATCATCATTTAATACAGTTATACTATTCAATTTTCCATCGCACCTCCATACCTTGTTTACTTTAAACTAGGTTTTCCTTTTGCCCTTTTTGATTTAAGAGAAAAAAATTAGATTGAATTGAATATTTGTATTACATTAGTTAGCAACTGTTTGTTTTTGATGTATCATACAGTTATAGAAATGGTCCGACTTGATACGTACCTATGAACATGCTACTGTAGAAGAAGATAACACTCAAGTTTGTCTTATCTTATCTTAAGATGTATTTTTTTTATAAGAAACTATATATATATTCTCAACGACCTTCAACAACTTTTTTAAACTAAAAGAAATTAGACAATGGAACTTCAACTAAATATTTAAGTGTTTTTAAGCTGTACTTGTTTCTTCTTCACACGTAGTGACAGTGTAGTTTTACTTTGTTTTTGTTTAATAAAAAGGGTTTACACACTTTTACTAGTTTAATTGGATTACGTTACGGAGTCGAAGTCGAGACGAAGGTGCCTTGGACCGACTCCTCACCAAGTATTAAGCCACGTGTCTACTGCCAATTGTGTCCCAAATATACTTTTTGGCGTCTGACTGGTGCTTCTACGTGACGTGGCCTCTTGTTTAGCCGTCACGTGGCCTTCCAAGTAAAGTCTTCCTATTTTAAGGCTTTTTTTGTCTGTTGCCGTATAATGTTTTTAGTTTTGATATTATCTTCAAAAACATTGAAGAAAACATTACACAGAACAAACAAACGAATGGAGTGTATTAAAATAATGGGATTTTAGAAGCAAACACTACTAGCTTTGACTCTTTGAACCTTTGATACATTCATACATAGCTATTGGAAGTTCGAACTGGCAAAAAAATTCCCAAAAGAAACAAATGAATGGGCTCTTTGAATGGACTTGTACATTATCTCGTAAGCTAACTATCTATACCCACTGCTTTATAATTATGTTGTGGGCTGATCCCACTAAAACTAGCTCACATATATTATTTATTAAGGCCTTTCTAAGAAAATACTACACTTTTTGAAGTACCAGTTTTTTTTTTTTTTTTTTTTTTTTGGTGATTATTTAAGGTACTAAAATAGATGAAATCTGATCCGGTCTAATCCAAATATCTTGTTTTTAAAATCAAATTAGGACCGAACCCGCCTTGCATACCAAATCTTAAATTTCTGGTAATTTCTCAACATAATATACAACTTCAATTATAATGCTTATACGACATGAGAAACCATTTTATTTTACGAGTATGAATCATATAAACTCATAACCTCATATGCATATGAATTCATTTATTTGATAGGGTAAACAGAGATGGGCAGGTCTGGTACAGGGGGCGTGTGTGAGACGTGGTTGGATTGAAGCAAACTGATGAGAGAGTTTTGCATCTTATCTAAAATCAGATTTGACCATCCCACTCACTGTCTAAACCACACTCCCCACATTATCTTTTTTTTTTTTTTTTTTTTTTCATCATACATTTATATCATCTCACTACTCTTTTTATTAAACCAAGAATGTGAGGCGTGATTGGTGACCATACGAGTCATATTTTTAATTCGAAACTATAAGTTATGTATATTTCTATGTGTGGTTGACACGAGCATGTGTCAACGTTCGTGACACTTTTATTTTGAAAAAAAAAACAATTTAATAAAAGGAATTGGGAGAGATCTGTTTGAGTGATACTATTGAAGTAGATATTTCGTACTACTATTTTTTGGGATAAGGTAAGTGTTAATTCAATGTAAAGAGCGTCCAATAAAAGAAAGCAAAGAATCAATGCAATGTGTGTATACACTATCCAGTTATGGGTATGATTGGAAAAATTGACGGCACAGCCCATACTAAACCATTCTCACCTAATTTTTAGTTTTAAATGGTGGTATTCTAGCAGACGACACCTATTCAAATTAAGCTTACATTTGAGTGAATTATGTATAACCCATGCATGTTCATTGTTCCTAGAAACCCATATAAATCTATACACCATAATTTTTTGTCAAAGATGTTACAAATACACGTAGATCACATCTGATAAATAAATTGACACCTATATATCCATAGTTCTTGGATTAAAAGTCTACCATTCATCACGTGAGAACATTAGATGATGTCCCAACTTTAATTTGTAAAATTAAAGAAGATGTTCATAATTAATATTGTAGTCTTTTTAAAAATCATTCTACTCTAAAAGCGTTGAGTCATTGTTTTTGAATCCCAATTTATTTACATGGAGGAAACACAAGATCGTTACAAACATATATGTGGCATTGCCCTCGTCACAAAGATATCACTACTAGAAGAATTCTTGTTTAATATTCTCACTTCTTAACTATAAATTTAGGGAAGTATTATTATCTGAAAGTATTAATTTATCGAATACTAATCTATAGAAGTTATGTTAATATGTTAACTAAAATAAAATAAAAAATTCCCAAAAAAAATTAGAGGGGAACACTCATTTCCTCAAATTCGGGTCACACTTCTTCTCTTTAAAACCCGTGTGCTTACCTTATCCATGGAAAACCAAATAAATAAATAAATAACATCCCACGTGTCACCTTCATTGCCACACGTGTGAGTCTTAAACCCAACATAGCCGTTAGAGATAACGTCGTTACCGTGTCTTATAAAATACGGAAGTTAACGCCGTCTATTTAGTTCTCTTTTTAACGTCCGTGACGGTTTCACAACACCTCGGGAACTAAGGAAAAGAGCTTTCGGAAACAGAGAGAGTCGTTACGTTTCAAACAACCGATCCTAGCTGTCCACAATTAAGGTAATGTAATCGCATTTAATTAGCACTAATCCCATCAATTAGTGTAACCGCAAATTTATATAATTCTAGTCTACACAAAATTACATCAATTTCAGTCTATCACATGACTCCCTAAATCTAATGGCATTTATTAACCTACCACTTTTAGTGGTTATATGGTCAACGAAAACTATATTCAAGCTTAGCTAGATGTGGAAGCCATACTATATACTACTAAACTAGTTTTACTATAATGTATACAGCTTTAGCATAATTAGTATACGTAGATGATAAATGTAATTGGACTAAAAGAGATAAAAGCATCTTGGATTTAAGCAAGTAAGCTTTTTAATTAGCATGATGATGATGCCTTATGTATTAATGTGAGTATAATAAGAAATTAGAAGAACAATCTTCTTCTTGAGCAGAGTGATAATTACATCTTTGTCCCTATTCTTCCCTTTTTCACTATTCTTCCCTTTTTCACTAATCTTCCCTTTTTATTTTTTGTTTTTTTTTCCTTTTTCACTTTTCCTTAATCTCTATTTATAAAACCATCTCTTGTCAAATTCACAGAAATTCTCAGACCTTCACAAACCGATCCGACACCTCTGACCTAACCCGACCCGAAGTATCTGGCCGGTGAAAAAATAGAATGGAGGTGCAAAGCAGCAACAACAATGGCGGCGGTGATCATTCTTCTTTCTCCAGTCTTCGTGTTTACCTTAACTCTCTTTCCGCGACGCCTTCTCGCTTATCCCGCCGTGCTGTTTCTGTCTCGACGTCTGCCGACGAGATGAGCCGCGTACGTGCCGTCCCCGGCGAGGAGATGCGCCGTACTCTCCGGTGGTATGATCTCATTGGACTCGGAATCGGAGGAATGGTCGGCGCCGGTGTCTTTGTAACCACCGGACGTGCCAGTCGCCTCTTCGCTGGTCCTTCAATCGTCGTTTCTTACGCCATCGCCGGAATCTGTGCTCTACTCTCCGCTTTCTGTTACACTGAATTCGCCGTACATCTCCCCGTCGCCGGCGGCGCCTTCAGCTACATCCGTGTCACATTCGGTTAGTCTTCCGCTAAAACCACCACACACTCTCTCTCTCTCTTTTGATCTGTAACGATATTTCTGAAAAATTCAAATCGTTACTTATTTTTCTTGTGTGTTTTCTGTTACATTCCCCGGTTTCAGGTGAGTTCCCTGCATTTTTCACCGGAGCGAATCTAATAATGGAGTACGTAATGTCAAACGCGGCCGTTTCAAGGAGCTTCACAGCATATCTAGGAACAGCGTTTGGGATCTCAACTGCCAAGTGGAGATTCGTGGTGTCGGGTCTACCGAAAGGATTCAACGAGATCGACCCAGTGGCAGCAGTGGTAGTGGTGGCAATCACGGTCATCATCTGTTGCGGAACAAGAGAGAGCTCGAAGGTGAACATGATAATGACTGCATTTCACATCGCATTCATACTCTTCGTTGTCGTGATGGGATTCGTAAAAGGAGACTCGAAGAACCTTTCCGTACCGTCGAATCCGGAGCATCCGTCGGGGTTCTTCCCGTTCGGGGCGGCGGGAGTGTTCAACGGAGCGGCCATGGTGTATTTGAGCTACATAGGATACGACGCGGTATCGACAATGGCGGAGGAAGTAAAATACCCGGAGAAAGACATACCGGTGGGTGTGTCAGGGTCGGTGGCAATCGTAACCGTCCTTTACTGTCTCATGGCAGTGTCGATGTCAATGCTTCTCCCATACGATCTGGTAAGTAGTTATATTTTTTAATTTTTTGGGGTTCATTAAAATAAGAAAGAAGACGGCAGGTAGTGTGAGGGTAAAGCTGAAAAACGGGGGAACATATGCATGCAGATAGATGCGGAGGCGCCGTTTTCAGCGGCGTTCAGAGGATCGAACGGATGGGAATGGGTGACGAAAGTGGTGGGGATAGGAGCAAGCTTTGGGATATTAACATCACTATTGGTGGCGATGTTAGGTCAGGCTCGATACATGTGTGTCATCGGACGGTCCAGAGTGGTCCCCTTTTGCTTCTCTAAGATTCATCCCAAAACATGTACGCCAGTCAACGCCTCCACTTTTCTTGGTACGTTTCCTTTCTTTTTGTCTTCATTCATTCACAAATATTACTGCTGTCAAACCCCTCCCCCAATGATATGACATTTTTTTTTTTGACGATCCATATATAGTAGTTTTTGGGTTTGGGTACATTCAAAAAAAAAAGTGGAGAGATAGCTTATAGAGGCAGAAAGAGAGAGAGAGAGAGAGAGTTAGGTTAGAAGGGACCCCAATAAGAACCGTTTCGGTTGTTTCCATGATCTTTTCTTTTTCTTTGATTTCAACTTTTAACGTTTTCTCAAGATCACACGAACCACGTGATTTCATTATCTATACGTGTCCATTTCAATTTTTATTTTCTTTTTCCTTTAAGATCAAAATCTTTTGGACGCAACCATTTTTGTTTTAAAAAAAAAAACAATCTTCGGCTATCGATTTCGATCGTGACAATCGCCTTTGTACGTTAATGTTTGTGTAAGTAAGTATATAATCTCAACGTAGGGACATGGTTTATTGTTGAGTTTTTATGGTAGACAGTGTCACACAGAGAGCATCTGAGTCCGATTGCTATAGATGTCGTCTTCACCATTGGTTTCTTCCTTTTTTTTTTTTTTGCTCTCTGAAAAGTTTGGAGTTATGTTTTTCTTTTTGTTTTTTTTGTTCAAAGATTCAATATTTTCTGCGGTCTTGATTGTGATCGATTTGGTGGGTCTCTTTGGTTCTTTTTGTGTTTCCCTAGTGTTTTTTATTAAAAAAAAAAAAAGAAATCGCAATGATAGTTGGATAACTAGTCATCCATTTCACCGTTTTCAATAAATAAAATTTCGTCAAGATACTACTAGCCTAGTAGTAGTCGGCTGATCTTTTCGCAACTCCAACTTTTGTGTAATTTTCAGAAAAAAATCTCGTCTGAGCTATGCAACTCGTTTGACTAATTAAGTACCAGTTTAGGATACAAGTAATTGCATATGCATATACCCTTTGTAGCAAGCTTTGGTCGTTTTCTCATAAATTTATTCCCATGACTTTGCCGCAAAATGGATCATTATCAAGGGTCATCATTCATCGTTCAACGTTATCCTTACTAATTTTAGCAACCACTAACTCACATTTGCTATATCCATCAATGGCATTAACGTGTCTCTCTCTCTTTTCTTTCCCCTCTCCGTATCTACTTTGACAAAAAGACAAAGAGATAAAAGGAACAAATCCTTCCCACCACCATCCATTTCTATATTGGACTTTTTCCATCGGTCGAATCATCTTTAGTTATCATAGAGAGGATATGACCAATCTTATTAATTAAATGTTCTTATTGTTTATTCTTATATATCAGGTATTTTCACAGCGGCTCTTGCGCTTTTCACCGACCTAAACGTCCTCCTAAACCTTGTATCCATTGGAACACTATTCGTCTTCTACATGGTCGCAAACGCTCTCATCTTCAGACGCTACGTCCCGCTCCAACCCACCAAGCCATGGACCACACTTTCCTTCCTCGCTCTGTTCTCCACAACATCGCTCGTCTTCACCCTCATTTGGAAACTTATGCCGGAAGGCAAGCCTAAAGCTTTTATGCTAGGCGCCAGTGCGGTGGTGGCTATAGCCATGGTGTTGATATTCCAATGCGTGGTCCCTCAGGCGAGTAAACCCGAGTTATGGGGAGTCCCGTTCATGCCGTGGACCCCGTGCGTGTCGATATTTTTGAACATTTTTTTGCTTGGTTCGTTGGACGCACCGTCTTACGGAAGGTTTGGGGGTTTCTCCGGTTTGATCGTGCTCGTGTATTTGCTTTATGGCGTCCATGCGAGTTCTGATGCTGAAGCCAATGGGTCTTTTGGTTTAGAAGATAGACAAGTCTTAAAAGAGTTAACAGAAGTAGTGTGATGAACTCAGCAGAGTATATAGGTTATAAATCTTTAGCCTATGTAATTAAACTCTCTATTTTTTGAAAGGAGGGGGGTTTTGAATAACTAATGAAAGATAATTAAATTAACTTTTAGGGAAAAAGCTTAATGTCAATTAAGCTGCAGCAATATATAAGTTACGATCGTTTTGTCAGAACAAGACTGTGACATGTATAGATCAATCGTAGTCAATCCTATAAGGCAAGATCATGTATGAAATATTTATGCGATAGATAACGTTAGACATAGACACATACACACATACTCATCAAATAGCTCTCTCATAAATAAATACGAGAGATGGCGTACAATTGAAAGCGATGGGTCACCCATCTTTCTCACGAGACACACATACGTGATTTTTTATCCTAATAAACTTCAAAATCCAATAAGATATCTTTTTTTTTTCATATTTGTTTTTCTTTTCTTTTTTTTCACGATCACTTGTTTCATATTTGATATTCCTTTGAGGATATATACATTCTTTCTTTTATTATTTGTATTTATATATTCTACATAACAATAATGGTGTTTTAATTTAAAGAACATATATTATTTCAGTTCTAGCTAGGACATGATAAAGCCATCAAATTATGATATATAGTGAAAACAAATACGGCTATGGGTTTAGAACTATTTCATCGTCTAAATGGGACCATGAGGTTCTAAATGAAGTTACTCAAATCTTCCATCGACAACTTTGGATGCCCAAGTTAATTATACACTATGAATTATTCTATTCTATATGTGAATGATCATCCAACCTTAGGTTTTGAGTTAGGATACTAAATATATTATCTTGTATATTTGCAGTATTTCGACGTACACAGTTGTGCAGGGTATTTAGATAAGACAAATATATATATATCAAACTTTAGGCACTTATCAAATTATTAAAGATGTCTTCATTATTTTAGTATAGAGGAATGTGATCGAATATGTGATCTCAATTCGTATAATCAGTCCAATTATTCTGTTAATGGAATACTCCCAATAATTATGTGAGCTATTTGGTTAGGATAATATACATAATTTCATTTTTATATATAAAAGGGATGATAGAACTCTCGAATCTAAAGATAACTGTGTTTAAGTGGGAGACGACGACACTTGCTAATTGTATTCTCTCTCTCTTTTTGGTGACTATCTATATTCCTAAGGATGGGGTCCAAATCAAGAAAAGCCCATTATTTTCAAGATCATCACATTGTTTTAGATTTGTTTTCAGAAAAATATTCCTGCCAATAGCAAGATGTGATTCTATTGGCAATACAAAAGATATGATGTCTTTCTAGAAACACAACGTACTTTGCTGAAAGCAACGAGCTCCCTAGCTCTGATCTGCAAAAGGGTTCAATTCTAAGCGTACGTGATGAGTTGTTCTCTTTCGAAATTTCATTGATCCTTAATACTACGTACATTGCATTGTTTTAGTTTTAGAAAGACAACATGCATGTATGTATATATCTTGGTTTTCAACGGCTAGCAATGAAAGAACCGGTCTAAAGTCTAGAACAAAACAAAATATCTTGTGTAAGGGATAATTATTACTAATTACTGTATGATTTGCGGTTATATATATCTAAAATGTAATGGAGAGTAAATGAAGAAAATGTATAGCCTAATCCTTGATTTAAATAATTTATATAAGAGTAAAATTAATGGGACCACGAAAATGTCAACCTCTTTTAAACCATGAAAAGCACAATCTAAGGCAAGTTGTGTAGTAGTAGTATCAACTAACAAGATAGAGTTGAGTCCATTAAAATCTATACATAGCTAGACTTAACTAGATTCATAGGCCTAATCTAATTCTTTTCACTTTATTTGTTGACATTTTTTTGCCACCAATATTGTTTTTACCCCCGACTTCTCATGAGCTTTGACATTTGCTTAAAGAAACATAATCGTAAAAGTAGTGATCTCCACCAACAAAAACAAAAAAAAAGATCTAAAGAGGAAAGATGATGAGAAGAAGGATAAGATTTTTTTTTGGTTAGATTCTCAACAAACAGCGAAGTTTTTTGTGGCAGCAACTTGCAATACCTTCCACAATTTTAATTATCCCTAGAAAAAAAAAGTCATAAAAAAAGTTTAAACATTCCATTCCATGATGTGATTATCTTGTCGTCAAGTTGGTCTTTTACTCATATTTCAACATTCTTAATCATACAATGCGAGAATCGCAAATCTTACATATATGTGCTTTCCTTCACCAATTGCAATAAGATTATTATAGTTTAAAACAACCACATAAATTACTTTCCGATTAAACAAATCTAAGGTTGAAAAAAAGATACTAAGACTACAATAATTATCTACTACTTAGAGGTAGGTAGTAGCACTAGTTAGTATCATTATATCGATCGAAGACTCATTTTTCTGTTTTTTTGATTACGGGCTTGAGAAAAAGCCCATCAATAATATTTAAATGTACTAGAAACACTTTAGGAATTTAGGCCTGTGGCCCAAAACTAAGTATGCTGTCTCTTTCGCTACTGAGGAAGAACATACTTGGTTTCAATGTGAACTTCTTGATCCGATGCAAGATCTTACCCAGAAGATGCCATACGACTTCTCTCTCCCGAAACATCTGCGTATGTGCCACTTATGAGCAGGAGGAAGAAGTATCACGGGAACGATATAATGATGAGTTTTCAAATCGTAACGTGGTTCACCAAATCTTGCAGCTTTGTGCTAGAAACGGAGCAGTTATGGAAGCAAAAGCTTGCCACGGGAGGATTATTCGTATCGATTTGCAGGGAGATGTTACTCTGTTGAATATTCTTATTAATGCTTATTCCAAGTGTGGTTTTGTGGCTCTTGCTCGCCAAGTGTTTGATGGAATGCTTGAAAGAAGCTTGGTTTCTTGGAACACAATGATTGGTTTGTATACTCGGAACAGAATGGAGTCAGAAGCATTGGATATTTTCTTGGAGATGCGCGATGAAGGGTTTAAGTTTAGCGAATTCACAATCTCCAGTGTTCTTTCTGCTTGTGGGGCAAGTTGTGATGCCTTGGAATGCAAAAAGTTGCATTGTTTGTCAGTGAAGACATCTCTTGAATTAAATTTGTACGTTGGTACTGCATTGGTTGATCTTTATGCAAAGTGCGGGCTGATCAAGGACGCTGTGCAGGTTTTCGAGTCTATGCAGGACAAGAGTTCAGTTACATGGAGTTCTATGGTGGCAGGTTATGTTCAAAACAAGAATTATGAAGAGGCTCTCCTTCTTTATCGTCGTGTCCTGAGAATGAGTTTAGAGCAGAATCAGTTTACGTTATCTTCAGTTATTTGCGCTTGTTCAAATCTGGCAGCATTAATAGAAGGGAAACAGATGCATGCTGTTATACATAAGTCTGGGTTTGGTTTTAATATCTTTGTGGCATCCGCTGCAGTCGATATGTATGCAAAATGCGGAAGCTTGAAAGAGGCCTATATTATTTTTTCAGACGTGAAAGAGAAAAATATTGAGCTTTGGAACACGATCATCTCGGGGTTTGCAAAACATGCTCGTCCTAAGGAAGTGATGATCTTGTTTGGCAAAATGCAGCAAGATGGAATGCACCCGAATGAGGTTACTTTTAGTTCTTTGTTATCGGTTTGTGGTCACACGGGTTTGGTCGAGCAAGGAAGGAGAGTTTTCAAACTCATGAGAACCACATACAGTCTATCGCCAAATGTGGTTCATTACTCCTGTATGGTTGATATTCTAGGTCGCGCTGGGCTACTGTCTGAAGCGTATGAGTTGATAAAGTCTATTTCTTTGGATCCTACTCCTTCAATTTGGGGTTCTCTTCTTGCTTCTTGTAGAGTCTACAAAAATCTTGAGCTGGCAGAAGTTGCAGCCAAGAAACTATTCGAATTAGAACCAGAAAATGCCGGTAATCATGTCTTATTATCCAATATTTACGCGGCAAACAAACAGTGGGAGGAAATCGCCAAATCAAGGAAGCTTCTCAGGGACTGCAACGTGAAAAAAGTAAGAGGAAAAAGTTGGATTGAAATTAAGGACATGGTCCACACTTTCAGCGTGGCAGAAAGCGGTCATCCGAGAACCCGTGAGATCAGTTCAACGTTAGAGAATCTGGTAATTGAATTGAGAAAGTTTGGATATAAACCAATCATAGAACACGAACTGCACGATGTGGAGATAGGTAAGAAAGAGGAGCTTTTGATGCAGCATAGTGAGAAGCTGGCTTTGGTTTTTGGTTTAATGTGTTTGCCAGAAGGTTCCACTGTGAGGATCATGAAGAATCTGAGAATATGTGTGGACTGCCATGAATTCATGAAGGCTTCATCAATGGCCACAGGAAGATTTATTATTGTTAGAGATGTTAATAGATTTCACCATTTCAGTGATGGTCATTGTTCTTGTAGAGGATTTTGGTGACAAACTCTGTTTTTTTGGAAGGACTCACTCATAAATAATATGAAAAATTTTCCACCAATATAAAGAGTTAATGTGATGGGCTTATTGGGTCTCAGCTAAGCGTAATTGGATTGGATTTAAGCCCAGTTGTAATGGGACGATTGTTAGGGCCCATAGCTAGATGAAAATTAAACCCTAAAGAGAACGAGAACCTTTGTTTATATAGAAAGGCGATTTCATCACCTCCGTCTTTGCCTCTTCGTTATTTGCCGCCGCCGCTTCTTCGTCCTCGCAGGTACGTTCTGGTCAGCCTCGAAATCGTCTCATTACAGAAGCTTGTGCTATTAGGTTTTATCAGCTGTTAAAGTTTTGTTGCGGTGTTTTGTCTCTGTAGCTATTAAATTTGTTAATCTCGGTAGGATAATGGAGAAGTAGTTAAGTGGCTTGATTTAACATATGATACGGATGATTTTAGTTTAGTTGATGTATCACTGACTTATATATATTTTGTTACTGAGTAACATCAGTCCTCTTTCAAGCTTTGTTCATATGTTGATGCATATCCCCTTGATTCATCTGTAATGCTTAAGAATCTGACATTTCAATTTTCTTCACAAATATAGTCTATTCTTAATTGTTTCTTGATTGGTTGTATGCTTTAGGAGCATTCTTGATGCCTAAATGTGTGATGCAACTAACGGATTTTGATCTTCTTTCTCTAAGACAGGATTTTTCTTCTCTTAGCAGGTAAGTCACAGGTAACTGAAAGATGGGGCGTGTAAGAACCAAGACCGTGAAGAAATCTTCTCGTCAAGTCATCGAGAAGTACTACTCTCGCATGACTCTTGACTTCCATACCAACAAGAAGATCCTTGAAGAAGTCGCCATCATCCCTTCAAAGAGACTCCGCAACAAGATTGCTGGATTCTCCACTCACTTGATGAAACGTATCCAGAAGGGACCAGTCCGTGGAATCTCACTCAAGCTCCAAGAGGAAGAGCGTGAACGACGCATGGACTTTGTTCCCGATGAGTCTGCTATCAAGACTGATGAGATCAAGGTCGACAAAGAGACTCTTGAGATGCTTGCTTCTCTTGGAATGTCTGACACTCCTGGCTTCTCTCAAGTCGAGCCACAAGCTATGGCACCAAGCGCTGCTTTTGGCAGGGCTCCCAGAAGATACTAGATGGCTTTGTTATATCATCAGCCGATCAAGACACAGGATTGGCTCTTTTTTCACAGTTAGGGACAACAAAGACTTGTGCTTGATTATTGTCTCTTTTGATGAAAGTGAGACTCTTTTCTTTTTAATGGTTTTTGAGTTATGTATGGTTTTTGAGTTATGTGGAAGTGGAACCAACTCAACCAAGACCGAAGTTAACACTTTTGAATTACTTTATGCTCATATAAAAAAAAAACATCCAATTTCACCTGAGACCCTTTTAATTATAGTGAAGCTGGACTTTATTAAGGGCAAAGCGGTAATTCAACACAAAGGATTATGTTTCGTTATAACCAGAGAGAAGAGAGGAGACGAGAGAAAAGGAGGAGATTAGAGAGAATGGATAATGGAGGGAGCGTGTTGTCGCTCTCTGCTCCACACTTCCCTTACTCCGCTACCATTCTCCGACTTCACTCTCCGGTGGCTTCCATCTCTTTCTCCTTGAAACCACCGCCGCAATCCCCACAACCTCCGCCTGAACCTCCTGAGAGTCCTCCTGACCTCCGCCGCCCGGAGAAATCACTTGGCACTTCTTCTTCTTCTTCTTCTTCTTCTTCTCCTTCCCCTTCCCCTTCTCCTAAAACCCCTCTTAAGATTAATCCACTCAAGGGTTTGACAAATCGTTCTTCTGTATCCCCTCTTGTTCAACCTGAGGTTTCGAGTAATAAAGCTTCTTCCTTTGGCTCTTCTTCTCTCGCGTCCAAGCTACGTTTGTCCAGCAAGCTATCTCCTCCTCCTCCTCCTCCACCTCCGCCTCCTGTGGAGGAAACCCAATTCCGAGATGACTTCTGGAATGAAAAGAAACCACCGGTAGAAGAAACTCGGAAGCCGCAACAGGAATTCCGACAGGAAGGAAAGATATTCGTTGGTAATTTACCGACATGGATAAAGAAACCAGAGTTTGAGGAGTTCTTCCGACAATTCGGACCAATAGAGAATGTGATTCTAATCAAAGGTCATCACGAGGTTGAGAAAAACGCGGGATTCGGGTTCATCATCTACGCGGCGGAGAAGTCTGCAATGAAAGCCGTGGAGTTCGACGGCGTAGAGTTTCACGGCAGGATATTGACGGTGAAGCTAGACGACGGAAAGAGGCTGAAAACCAAGGCTGAGCAGAGGGTGAGATGGGTACAGGAAGGAGAAGAAGACGCTAAAATGTCGAATAAGTCGTCGTGGCATCAAGAGAGAGAAGGGTCACGAAAGTCCCTACAGAGGATTCTAGATACTAATGGAGATAACTGGCAAGCTGTTATTTCAGCTTTCGAGAAGATCAACAAGGTTAACATCAGTTTTGCTCTGTTTTCAACTTATATGATTTGTGATTGGAACGAACATAGGGGTCAATTTATGGATGTGTAATAGACTTTTATCTTTCTTATGTTTCGACTATGCTATAAGGTTGAAAATATGTTTATACTTAATGCGCAGCCTTCTAGGACAGAGTTTGGTTTGATGGTGAAGTACTATGGAAGAAGAGGTGATTTACATCGTGCACGTGAGACTTTTGAGAGGATGCGCGCGAGGGGTATCACACCAACGTCACGTATATACACAAGGTATCTCCTTTTGTTACAAAATGTCTTCAGATTCTGATTTGTCAAACATGTCATAGATAAGTCTTTTCCTTGAATGAATTGGCACGTTGTCTCGTTTCATTTCCAGACTAAAAAGATTGGTATCTTGATGTTGCTATAAATGTCATTAGTTTCGCTTTCCTCAATGGTTAAAAGAGGATTTGTTTCATGCAGCCTTATTCACGCTTATGCAGTTGGTAGAGACATGGAAGAAGCACTGTCTTGTGTTCGTAAGATGAAGGAAGAAGGAATTGAGATGAGTTTGGTGACTTATAGTGTAATTGTTGGAGGATTCTCTAAATCGGGGAATGCCGAGTAAGTAAAATATTGTGTCTGCCTGGATCTGTCACCGTTTTTAATCATTCCAATACTTGTTGTGTATGCTAATTCGATCTGATACTTTGTTGTCTTTGGAAGAGCTGCAGATCACTGGTTTGATGAGGCCAAACGGATACACAAAACCCTTAATGCCAGTATATATGGAAAAATCATATATGCACATTGGTAATCATTGATATGATTTCTGACTCTATTAGTGTGGCTTGTTGGCTTTGTATAAAATCTGAAAGATTATGAACATTTTCTCAGTCAGGCGTGCAATATGGAGCGGGCAGAAGAATTGGTGAGGGAGATGGAAGAAGAAGGTATTGACGCTCCTATTGCCATCTACCATACCATGATGGATGGCTATACCATGATCGCCGATGAGAAGAAAGGCTTAATTGTTTTCAAAAGACTTAAGGTAATATTTTGCTTTAGATTTGGATTCCTTATTACTTCTGCTTGAACAAGTGAAGATGATTTTTTTTTTTTACTTTAGGAATGTGGATTTACTCCAACAGTTGTCACTTATGGATGCCTCATTAATCTTTATACCAAGGTAAGGAGAACAATAGTGTGTATAAAGAGAATATTTACGAGTGTTATTTTGATGATCTCCTTGTATTGTGTTTTAATGGTTGCCTCTTCTTTGTAGGTTGGAAAGATTACAAAAGCTTTGGAAGTTAGCAGAACGATGAAGGAAGAGGGCATAAAGCATAATTTAAAGACGTATTCGATGATGATCAATGGATTTGTAAAACTAAAAGATTGGGCCAATGCGTTTGCTGTATTTGAGGATATGGTAAATGAAGGCATGAAACCCGATGTCATACTATATAACAACATCATCGCAGCATTTTGCGGGATGGGTAACATGGATCGAGCTATCCAGACTGTTAAGGAAATGCAAAAGCTGAGGCATAGGCCAACCACACGAACGTTTATGCCTATCATACATGGATTTGCGAAATCCGGGGACATGAGGAGATCCTTAGAAGTTTTCGATATGATGAGACGATGTGGGTGTGTTCCAACTGTTCACACTTTCAATGCTTTGATAAATGGTTTAGTTGAGAAACGTCAGGTATGTTTCAAGAATCTATCTCTAAGTTCTCCTATAGGGACTGTCTGGTTGAACTAATCTCTTGTTAAACTATTTTTGTAGATGGAGAAGGCTGTTGATATATTAGATGAGATGACTTTAGCAGGTGTTAGTGCGAACGAACACACTTACACAAAGATCATGCAAGGCTATGCATCAGTTGGTGATACAGGAAAAGCCTTCGAGTATTTTACAAGATTTCAAAACGAAGGTTTGGAGGTTGACATTTTCACTTACGAGGCGTTACTTAAAGCTTGCTGCAAATCAGGACGGATGCAGAGTGCGTTAGCTGTCACGAAAGAAATGAGCGCACGTAATATCCCACGCAATTCCTTCGTCTATAACATATTAATCGACGGGTAAGTATCAGGTTTTGTAGCCACTTTATGGTCTGCTTCTAGAATTCTCATTCATTTTCCGCTGGATTATCTTAGATGGGCACGGAGAGGCGATGTATGGGAAGCCGCAGATTTGATACAGCAGATGAAAAAAGATGGTGTTAAACCCGACATTCATACTTACACATCCTTCATTAGCGCTTGTTCTAAGGCCGGTGACATGAATGTAAGTTTCCATTCAAGAAGCAGATTCTTGTCTATGTTCTTATTGCGGGTTTCTTGGTTTGGTAACCAGGAAGAAACTTTTGAAAAATGTTTGGCAGAGAGCTACAAAAACAATGGAAGAAATGGCAGCATTAGGGGTGAAACCTAACATCAAAACGTACACAACCTTAATAAAAGGATGGGCGCGAGCTTCACTTCCAGAAAAGGCCTTAAATTGCTACGAGGAAATGAAGGCGATGGGGCTAAAACCAGACAAAGCTGTGTATCATTGCCTTCTGACTTCGCTTTTGTCGCGTGCTTCAATCGCAGAAGCTTACATATACTCGGGAGTAATGACAATCAGCAAGGAAATGGTTGAGGCAGGCTTGATAGTTGATATGGGAACTGCAGTTCACTGGTCTAAATGTCTGTGTAAGATCGAAGGTTCTGGTGGCGAGCTCACTGAGACGTTGCAGAAGACTTTCCCACCTGATTGGAGCTCGCATCATCATCACCAAAGCTTATTGGATCAAATTTCTGATGTTGATTCCGATGAAGATGATGATGATGACGACGATGATGATGATGATGATGTTAATTCGGTTTCTGGTTTCTTATCTTACAAGTAAGAAAACGAACTGATATTGTAACAACCTATATTATAGAGAGCAATATCAGCATATTTTTGTATAATGTTATCTTTTTGAAAGTACAATTTCTTGAGAAAGTTAATAAAAAAAAAAAAGATATCAGAAAAGAGATCCAAAAAATAGAAGAAAGCAAATTAATCGCATTTGATCCATCTATACATGTGGGTTATGCAGATTAGTTCGCAATTAACCGCCAAAAAATGATTGAAGGATTTGACAGATTTGGTAGACTGTCTTAATCTTTGGAGTTTGGACATACTTTGATCTTTTCATTTTTTTTTATTTTTTTTTGGTCGGCTAACTCTTATATGATTTTTTTTTTTTTTGGTGAAGAACTAACTCTTATATGATTTAGTTAGTAGCATAAACTAACTTATGATTTATTTTCTTCAAAAAAGAAGAAAAAAAATTAACCTCTAGGAAAATTAAAAATTGCGTTACATTATAGAACTATTATCATTAACTACTAGTGGACTAGTGTGCATCCAAAAAAGCTTATTTGATATTTCTGTCAGTAAATAAAACTAAGATCGATCATGTGCATATCCAAAATACTAACTAAAATGCATCTAAAAATTCATATATAATTACATAAAATATTAGGAAATTGTAATTCATATTTCATTCAACTATGTCTCACTGAGTGTAAACACCTAATAGAACAAACTACATTATCTTAACAACACATGTTTTGACAGTTTGTTTATATAAAATTGATTAATTTTTAATGTTAATCTTGTGTATACGCATAAACGAAAATCAAGATTATATATATAGTTTGTTTTCTATACTATTGTACTTGTGAAGATATGCAAATCTGACTTAGAAAATAATGATTGAGAGTGGTCGACCCTTAATAAAACAGTAGTCAGAAGTCTCCAACCTCATGAACCCATGCCTTTTATACACAATTAATTTTACAAAATACTCAAATATAAAACTTGGCCAATACGTTGCATGATAGGTTAACTAAATCATATTAAATATAAACATGTGGTTCGTAGACGTACGTCGTCTCACAAAGTCACATGTTATAATGGTTGTGTAGCAAATAAACATTAATTCATACACCAAATTAATCATAATGTCGAAAAGACGTATAATTGTTATCTATCATTGTAAAGGTTAGGATAAGAACAAAAGAAAATTGTTATTAATAATGAATCAATCATGCTAAGTTATCTTATGTTAAAAAAAGTGTTCATGACTATTATGAATAAAAGAAAAGAAATGTTAATGACTAGGAAGGTCATATAGACAAAAGGAACAAATATGACAGGGAACTTAAAGATGCAATGGATCTCCCACTTCCGTACCTTCTTCCCTTCTTCCACTTTGAGTTTCACCTAAGTAACAACAAAGAGATGATAGTTTAACATAGACCAATCTATTTAGTTTTGAGTTAGAAAGTTTATAAAAGAGATGAAATCTACAAATGGAAGCCATCGGAAAATTACACGAAACCTCATAAATCTTTGGAGTACGGATGTAAACGGCCGGCTATAAGGCACTTTGCCCATATCACTAGCTAGTGTACGCAAAATCTCCCGACATTTAATTTTCGACGAAGAGATTATTAATGAAGTGCGGGGTCAAGAAACAAGTGTTTTTGTTTTCTTATTCATCAAACCGTTTGAAAAAAAACTGAAATAGAAGAAAAAGTAACCAAGTCAAAATCTAGTTGAGAGAGTAACTAATAAGAGAAGTATAGAGAGGCGGTGCCCCATGTGGCCGATCTTAACATTTAAGTCCTAGGTACACACATACATGACCTTAAACGTTACATTATTATTATTATTCCCATTGTAATTTACATATGAAAGACTTCTCTCTTAACCTTCATAAATAGGAACCCTTTTTTAGACGAGATTTTCAGACCCATATTTACACTGTTGACAACAAAACTAGCCTTTATTGTTATCGTAAAATATATAGGAAACATCAGAAAAAAGGACATAGCTTTGTTTTCGAGTATTTGTCTCCTTGCAAATATGTTCATACTACTACTGCATGCTAGAGATGAACCTATATCATCAGTAGGTTTCCACTTTGCGCTCATGCATTGTAACTTGTTGAATGTGTACGAATGGCATAACTGTGTAATCTATGTATATAGAAGTTTCATATTAAATATTTTGACCAAACCAAAGGGACCCGGCGGCCATGAGGCATTAGTTATAACTTATATGTGACTTGATAACTTTTTTCTAATTAGTTATAACTAGTTTTAGTTAATGATTAATATACAAATAAGAAAACACTCATATGATATGGGGGATAAGTATAATCGAACGAAGACTAGTTGCTAATTACTACAAAATTAAAGAAACTAATCATGAGGGTCAACGGGGTACATGCATTGCTGGCTTTGCCTGTTGTTCGATGATTTCAAGTAATGCTCTTTTCATGAAATCTTGATAATCATATTTTTTTAATAAAGAAAAATCAACTAGCTCTTGATTGTACCTTTTCTTATTCCTTTTTCAAGAAAAATTAATTCATATATTCCTTTAGTTAATAGTAAGCTCGATGAATCATTCATTACATTTTTAAAAAATTAGTAAAACTCCGTAGAGGAATCATATGTATGAGTTGTTTGATCATATATTATAGGTATAATAATAAGATATCTTTAGTTCGACTATTATTAGTATCCTAACTGTCAAGTAAGTAGAACTTTTAACGAACCAAACTAGTAAGCACAATTCTTTTACACCGAACCCACACTAATGATTGTACTAACCGGTTAGTTCAATCTTTTTTCTAACACACAATCCGAAGTTAGAACCGATTTTCACAACAACAGTAATGGTTTTGGATCGACCTCTTTGTATGTATGCTTCATCAATTTATGCAAATATATAATAAACCAGCCTAGATATATATATATTTCTCTTATTACATATATTTTGCTTGAGGGGAAAATTATTTAGATATACATATATAGTAAGCAGACGAAATACTAAAAACAAACATTGTATATAACCTTTTTCTATGATTGATTAGGATGAAACAGATTATAAAGATTTTGGCGCAAAGTCCGACATACGTATCACTTGGTCGCACGAGCACAATATATTCGTATCTCTCTTTTCTATGTTTTGTATCACTCAAAGTGCTGAGATTTGTTCCTCGATCCTTTATCATTTACTATACGAAATGTACAGTGTTGACCATTTATTTATCATATCGAACCTACTTTACTTATATGTTGTAAGTAAGTTAGTAAAATATCAACATCAAAAATTATTTGAGGTAAATTTATCAGAGCACTTTATTTAGTGATGGATAAAAGTCACCGTTGAAGTTGTTGAGTATTTATTACTTCTTCTAAAGATTAAGTTACAACTGTGCTTTGGCATTTATTATTTTTCTAACTCTCTGGTAAAAAAAAGAAAAAAAGAAATCAAGAATAATTATATTAAAAATCGGTTTTTAGCAAACGGATAATAGCATTAGCAGGCATGTCCTTGTGTGTGTTTTAAGCGAATATAAAATCAAGTAAAAAATGGTGATAAAGATGGAGAGCAGTTTTATAAAATCAAGTAAAAAGGTACAGTATTCATATAAGTAGTTTTGTTTTGTTCTTTCTATCAACTGTATAAATTACAAAGCGAATATAAAATTATACATAGTTGAAAAATTAGAAAATCTTTTACAAATAAAAGGAAAGTAGGAACCCTGTATAATATTCCAATTATTGCATGTTTATATATATATACAATTGTAACAAGTTGAATAGTCTATCAAAAACACTGTATAGAGAGAGTATTCAAATTACTGTGGAAATTTTGGAAAATAATAATTAAATGTAGATGGTGCACAAAAAGAAATAAAAATAAAAATAATGAAATGTACATTTTGTAAATCTTTGGTCCCATAAAAAGATCTAGTAGAGTAGTAGTAGTAATAAGAAAAGAAGTTCAAAAAAGGAGAAAATTAAATAGATGCGTGATTCAACGGTGCACCCTCTTTAATTCCTCACATGAGTTTTGCACACAATATATATCTTACTCTTACAGCCAAGTAAGTTTTAAGGCAGAACAGGAAAAAACAAAAGAAGATGCAGAGAAGACAAAAGAAAAGAGTGTTTGTTTGGTAAATAATAATAAAAGTTAAGAAAAAGAAAGAAATGGTACGAAAATTACAATGATGCATTTATTTTCATAAGAATGGGTTCAGCATCAGATTGACTCTGTTCTTCTATCTATTTTCTACTTTCAGTTTTACAATCTCTTCTGAAACTCTGAAGAGAACATCATTAATTTGATTATTCTTCTTCAAAGGACACTGTCTTGTCTCAGAATCTCCTCCTCCACTAAGCTCCCTTTTTTACATTCTTGTTCAACCTTGACGATGGCATCATATAATTTTTAACTCACCAAGTAAAAAAAAGTAAATAATCAATCAATTCGTGAAACTTATAATGTGAACGAGAGTATAAACACCTTTTTATAGACGACATATATACGTATATAGAAATAACATGTTGACCAAGAATATATTAAGCAAACTCTCAAAAAAGAATCTGTCTCAATAGCTTGCGGGAGAAAGTCAAAAGTGACTGCAATTGTACGATTTTTTTTTCGCTAGTTTTCGTTTTACAGTAACGATGACATGATATTAAGACATGTCATAATCTAAAAGCTAATTAGAATTAGAAACGTCTTAAATCTGAAATTAAATTCTACAAGGCAGGGTAATTAAAAGAAGAGAAGAAAGATTTGACAAGACGAGCCAATTGACAAGAATGTAGTACCGTCAATCAACCTTTACTCACAAATAAACTTATTATATTTCTTTCTTTCTTGTTGGGATTTGTTATTTGCTGAAACATTTGATATTGTAAGCAACCGTTTTTAATGCTTTGTTGTGTTCTGCTGCTGCACACTGTTTTGTCATTGGCTCGGGACTTTCATTTTTCTTCTTCTATACTAGTCGTATCGAGTGAGTAGTATATATATTTTACTTTTGTCTTGAACCAAATTGAATGCTATATTGCTGTGTTTGTTTCGCTACTATGTACGTATTAACTCATAGTATGACTTGCTCCATGAGTTTACTATTATCATCTTAAATTCAGTAGATGACAACGACAATGAAATAAACAATTCAAAATTCCGATAGAGATCCATTCATTTGTCTTTGCATGATATTTAAAATATATATATATATATATATATATATATGAGAAAGTTAATGATATACATAACAAAAACATTGTTTTATAAAGTTATTTGTCAATTATTTAGATCAAACAGTGTATAGTATAAAAGCCAAAATTAAATTTGGATCGTAGCAAAATCCATATATTATTGGAAATTACTATTAGAATCCCCGCTTTGTACAGAAAACGAATCCAAAAAAAAAAGTTAACCACACAACAAAAACAAACTATATATCAACTTCAACCATCGTAATTTTAGCTTTAGACTTTTTCATATATATAAAAAATATAATAATATCAATTTAGTTATAACTCTAGAATAAAAAATAAGTAAAAAACCACTTTAGCTGTTGCAAAATAAAAAAAAAATATATATAAATAATAAAGAGAGAGATGAGGGAAGAGCCACAGCACAGCAAAGGCTTCTTGTCATCGGCCATATAATCACATTCCCTCCAACTCCTTTCCCCTTTGTTCCATTAAATTACTAAACACACAACACAACACAACACAACACAACACAAACCCAACCAACCAACCAACCAAAACCCAAAAACACACAATGGGGAAGAAGAAGCAGATGAATAAGCTCACTTCTCTCTTCCGAGGCGGCGCCGGTGGTTTGCTCGGCGTTCCTCTCTGTTACAACAATGCCAAAACCCTCTCCTTCCGTGTCGGAGACGACATGATCAAGACTGTCAACTCTGTCTTCTTCGACCACAACCACAACATTGTCTCAGAAGCCGAAACCCCTGTTTCCTGGTTCACCAACTCTTCCGAGACTGCCAGCCACTCCACCGAGTCCGATCACGACCTCGACGCTGAATCCCTTGAGACGGTCGTCCGCGGCGTCCTCAGATCGGAGCGTTTATTCTTCGATCCCGGCGTCACCAGCTCCATTCTCGAAGATACTGATCCCAAATCGGAATCCCGGAAGGCGGTTGCGTTCGGTGATGATCGAGATTGCGGCACACCTCCGATGATCGAGGAGATCAGCGTCGCCGTTGCGATGGAATCTGAGGATCCCTACGGTGATTTCCGGCGATCCATGGAGGAGATGGTGACGAGTTACGGCGAGTTGGCCAGAGACTGGGACAGCTTGGAATCGATGCTCGCCTGGTACTTGAGGATGAACGGCAAGAACAGCCACGGCGTTATCGTCAGCGCTTTCGTCGATCTTCTCTCCGGGCTCTCTGATTCCGGCGCCGGAACTTCCTCGGCTTCTATATCTGATTCGGCTCGTTACTCAACCGCCGTCTCGTCTTTGCCGTCTTCGCCGTTGTATTCTCAAGGTCAGACGACGGAGATTGAAGAGGAAGAAGAGAGACGGAGCTCTGTTATATAAATTAATATAAGATTCGGTTTTTTAATTTCCTAATCTCGTTTTTATTTTAGATTACTTAACCTTTTTTGGATTCTGTAAAAAAAGTAATTAATTAGTCTTTAGAGGAAAAACAACTATTAAAAATATATTTTCAGAGCCATTATTATAGTTGATTTAATTGATGTATTTAGTAACAATCGGATTTTCAAAAGTATGATCGGTGTTTTGATAGAGATATACAACTACAAGAACAAGTGAACAACACTTTAACATTAACTCTGTTACAAAAAAAAAAAAAAAAACACTTTAACATTAACTACTAACATTATACACCTCGGTCGGATAATCCGTACATTAATGTATTTTTTTTTCTTTTAATGATATGATTTTAACATGTCATCTACTTTTTGATTTGACATTAAAAAGTATCAATCACGTTAGATATTTAGCAAAAAAAATGCTTTACTTGGTTTGCCCATGTTTATTGTCCAAAAAAATTGCTTTACTTAGAGTAAGTAGTAGAGTACAATATCTTGAAAATAAAGCGTATTAGCAAATTGGTGTATATTTTGTTGTTGTTTGTATAAGAAAAATATAGAAAAGGATAGAGGTTTTTACGAGGAGGGGTGCATTAAAAAAGAGAATGTTGGTCTACACTATAGTAACGTTTGAATATTGAAAATGTAACAAACAAATGAGATTTGCAATTTGTATCTTGTATGTATGTATGTTGTGAGTGAATTGAGTAACATGATACGAACATGAGATGAGCGATGGTGGTGTGGTCAGTGGTCACACACACACACACAGACCCTGTGAATCCCAAAACATCATAGACCTACTTACATCTCTCTTATCTCTTCTCATTTATTGCTCTCTCTCCATTTAATTTTTGGACCAACCTAGACGACGACATTTTATTGTTTTTTTCCCCTTTTTCTTTTTCATTGTTTTTGAATTATTATGTTGCCGTATTTGTCAAAATCATGTTCTTCCTCAATTTCACATCTAAGAAATATACACAGGGATGGTTGGTCCTCAGATATACCTCGATCTATACGAATTATATTTTATATATTGTTTTTTTTTCTTTCAAATGTATAGGAAACTATAATCAAATATGTGAACAATAAAAAACACACAAAACTGACAAAAATGAACAAGTAACATCCAACAGTTTCTCTCACAGGACTTTTTTTTGTTTCTACTTACAAAAAATCACTGTCTTTATTTTAAAATATGGGCCCAAATACAGTACATACCAAATCTAACATCTAAATACATTACGTCAAAGAGCAAGACAAAAAAAATAATAATCAAAAATTGGATACTTAAGATTTGACAGTTAAGGCCCATTTGAGGAAGGTTCTCTTCGATTCGGCCCCACGTCGGTTTTTATTTTTATTTTTTTTGATTTAGGAGAAAACAAAAACCAATTTCAGTTTGGTTCAATTACAAATACTTCCCCATTCAACAAAATTCGTTATTTGACCATCATACCAGACTAATATCCACCAAAGACCAAACCATTATTAACATGTTACATTGTATTTAAAAAAAAAAACCAAACTGATTGAACGAGTTCCTCAGATTTGAAGAATCTAGGCACTACAATATGATGTGTGTGTGTATTTCCCTTTGTTTAGTGTGAGTCAGGATCTTTACCAAAACCCATCATGGCATGCGTCGCTAGCATCAAGCCTCTTCGACCCATCTCCATTACCCTTCCTACTAACGGAAACCCAACCGTCTCTCTGTTCCTCAGAGGTTTCTTGTCCCACCTAAATTGCATTATTTATCCACCAACAAGTTAAGCCAATGAACTGATACGAGGAGCTGTGAAAAAGTTAGCTATTTTGAGAAAGGTAGGAAGGCAGGCTATTACCAGTCTTCATGTCGCACAATCTTCCCGTTCTCGACATAGAGTTTAATGAGAGAGATCATATCGATGTTCTTTCCCATGATCTTGTAATGTTGTTTGTTGTCAATTAATATCTGTTTTTCCATACATTGTTTCTTTTTATATTAGATAATGAATAAGAACTATATAAGATTATGTTAAGAAGATCACCGTAAAGAGGGCTCTTAAAAAACAGAGGAGTCTAACCTCTTTCTTCCCCGGCGCAATTTCACTTTCTTGAATATGGTATTCAACAATCTTCGATTCACCAAAAACCTTCAAGGAAAATGTGATGTGAGATTGAGTTTTTTGCAAGGGGATAGTTCCATCATCATATCAGTTAACAATGAAGTGAGGGAAGGAGAGTTTGACATAAACCTTAGATAGTGAGTAAAATGCTGACTTGATTTGCTTCACTCTAGAAAAAAGCCAAGGGTAAAATAACTTGAAATTTCAAAGTGAGGAAAAAAATGATGTCTGCAATTTGTAAGCAAGAGTACAACATAGTTGGAAGATTACGTACCCCTGAGCATGTGTCAAAGGGTCTTCAAAGGAAGCATTTGGTGCATACATTTTAAAATCGTTGGCTTTAGCGCAAGACCCGTACCTAAATCAAGATCAAAACTCAGCATTAGATAATCCGAATGCATATATTGTTCGATAACTGCCAAGAATAGTTATCATAAAGTACAAATCTACAAATTCAAATTTTATACAGTGCGCATATGAGGCTTGGGATACAAGGAACAAATAGGAGTAAGTAGAGCACTCAATTTAGACCAATTTCCTCTCTTTTGCCATACAATTACAATCACTGAGGATGGACTCACCATGATCTACGGTTACGAAAATAAACAAAAACCAATACGAACAGAACATATCCTGATATCCAGTTAAACAGTACAATCCCAAAAACTGAATCAGATTGAACCAAAGTTTCCTCCAATAATTCATTCAAAAATTGAAAGATTTTGTTACAGACGAAGCCTTATCTAAACAGAACCTAACTCGAACAGAACAAGCGAGTGGGACAATCGATAAGAACACACAACCAAACTTCCCGAAGAACAAAAAGAACCTAAATGAAAATCTTAGGAAGATGGACTCACATGTTGAGAAGATGAGGCATAATCTTATCTGCAAAACGTTTATTGGCTTTCAATTCACAAGCTCCTTTGCCTTCGCATTCCCATGCCGGATCCGTGGCGGCTCCAGATTTGTCTAAGAGAAGAAAACGAAGAAGAAGATGAAGAGCCTCCTCATCATACAAAACACAAAACCAATGAAAATAAACAGATCTCGTACAAGGAAACAAACCTGGATTCGGGGTCTGGTGTTGTTTCCCCATGGATGATGTTTGCTGTAGATATTACGATCGAGATTCGAAAAGAATGAACAATGGAAACGAAATCGAAGCGAGGGAAGGAGGGAGGGGAAGAAGAAATGTCATGTAGAGATGAAAAATTGGATCCGTGGTTATTTAGCCTTCCACGTGTCTCAATCTTTTCCATATGTAGCTTTGTTTTTTTGACCGTTGATTATTCTTCTTTTTATTTAATAATAATAATTGTTAAGTGTGAATAAAGTATTAAAAGTACAAAGCTGAGAAACACGCACGTGTGACTCGTACTATTTAAATTTCTGAATGAACACACACACACGCACGTGTGAGTTGAATGTGCAACTTTTGAGATTTGAAGCAAAGAAGATAATATGGATTTCGTATACAGGAAAAAAGTATACGTCAAAATGAAAAAGATAGCTTCGTTTGAGCTTAACCTTTTTTGTAGTTAATCAATCTGACTCTCTTAGTTATATAAAAATTATTTTTTCCCATTTCCATTCTTCAAAGATTGAAAATGAGATCACAAAAATCTTAACTTTGCGTAAGCGAAACGAGTTACACGATTGATTACTATAATACTAGTATATACTTCAAAGGGTATATAAGTTTGCAGGACAGCTGTTTTTTTCTTTTCTTTTCTTGGTTTATGAAACACAGCTCACAGCTGTTTTCATTGGTCAAAGTCTATTTGTCAAAACTTTAAAAAATATTTGAAACGAGACTTGGACTAAATAAAAGGGAAAAAAGAAGAAGAGGAGGACCTTGACTCCTTGAGTAATGTTTGGTTTACAACACGATTCTAATCTACAACATGCTTCGTCACTTTGCTATCAGCTTCAGACACAAAACACGTTATATGTGTTTTTTCATTTTGGCTCATTTTCGTGGACAGTAGGATTGTAATTGAATAGAGTCGCTCTAGGTTTGGAGTATGAGAAGGAATGAAGTGTATAAATATTAAGAGATAAAAATTGGATTCAGATTAGTCAAAGAAAATTTCTCAGTTATGGCAATGATTTATGAAATATATATATAGGTACTGTATTTCAATGTTACCAAAATGGGTTCAAAACTGATTACACAAGATGTTGTAAGAATGTAAAACTGAATATTTTTAGTTAAAGTGCGAATGTTCTTTACAAACTATACAATTTAACACTTTGACGACATAAATTCAAACAATAGTTACATAACATTAAGCATATGATATAACATACAAAATACACCATGACCATAAGCAATCACTTTACAAACAAAAGACACTCAAAGTCAAAGCTGCTTGACTCATTGATTCTTCCCGAACGTTCGAGAGACTGACTAGTGATAAATGCAAAAGAGAAAGAAGCCAATCGTAATCAATGTGAAAACACACAAAACAATTTATTAAAAAAAAAAAAAAAAAAGGTACGGATGGAGATAGGTCAGGTGAGGTCCGTCAGGGTTACTTGACCAAATTAAATAAAAAAAAGCCTCAAAAGGGCCCAAAAGAGCCGTCCGTACGCCTCCTTCTCCAGCCAATTGGGGTTTTCAATTCCTGCGTATTCCTACAACATTTATACAACAACATACATAGTATGTACATACGCAGCTCTCTCTCAGCTACGATGACAGATATTAAAATAATATAAAGCAAAAGAATAAATTCTCCTCCCTTCCTTTTTTATTTATTTATTTTGGTAAACAAAAGAGAAATTATTTCTTCTACTCCGCATTGCTTCCTCCCTCCTCTCTGTCACTCTTTACCTTCGCCGGAAGAAATTGTTTTTCTTTTTTTTTTTGCTTTTTCTTTCCTCTGAGGTAAATAATAAACTCTCCACGACGATTGAAAACTTTCATACTTGCCTCTCTTTTGACTCTAATTATTCGATTCAACATACACACTACTATATTTTGAGGGTTTTTTTTTATTGTCTCTGATGAAATTTCCATGTTTTTGTTTTCTCTGATTTCTATGCCTTTTAAAAAAAAATCTTGTAATGGGGCGTTGGGTAACTGTTTCATTGATTCGATGTTCTTCTTCTCCTTCAATTTTTTTTTTCTTTCACTCTTTTGTCGTGTGGGGTTAGAACAAGAATGGTTGTCGGATTTTCACATATTTGTTTTCACTAAATAAACGTTTTTTTTTTTTTCTTTCTGGGATTGAGGTTTCTGTTTGATAGCTAATAAAAATCGAAACTTTAAAACGTTTACAACTGGGTATAGCTTAAAGTTTTCATTGCTTATTTGCTTAGAGAGCTCTTGCTTCTTGGAGCAGCTTGCTTACTATCTACTATTCCCTAATTAAGGTTTTGAATTGTTGCGTTTTATAGGGATTCCAGAATCATGTCAAGACCTGCTCAGCTTCCTCCTCGTTGCCCGATTCCAAAGAAGCTGTCTTTGAATCCGGTTGCAGATACTTTTTACTCTTCTTCCTCACCCGTTGATTCATACATTGCCCAATACAAGTCTTCTACTCATGATTCCAGGCTCGAGGATCAACCTGCTTGGCTTGATGAGTTGCTCTGTGACAAAACTGATGGGATGCTCACTGGTGGTGGAGGAGGAGGTCCTCTGCGCCGCTCAGCTAGCGACTCTGTTGTGCTTTTGGGTGACATCTCAGCTGACTTTTCTGGCTTTAACCAAAGTGAAGATGAAGAAAGTTTGACTTCTGAACCTTGTGGGGAGTTGGAGTCTGCTTGTTGTGTTTACGGTCCCAACTCTCCAAGAGCAAAGAACAACTCAAGCTTCTCTAACAACCCTATTGTCTCGGCCTTTTCTGATTATGGTTCTCAGAAACCTCCTCAGAACTTGGATAATACGGTGAAAGGGATAGATTTTTCACCTCTTGGTGAAACTGCTTGTGGTTCTATGGGCGTACCAAATGCAAAAAGGTGAGAGAACATTAATCCTCTTACCGAAACATTCTCTAACATCATTACTTTATCTCTGAGAAATTGTCAAGCTTTGGTCCCTTAAGAGTATTCTGTATCGGTTAATGTTACTAATATCCATGTTTTAAGTTTACTCATTGAGCTCTCATGCGGTACCTCTGTATCTAGTTCTAGGTTGTTAGTGAGACGAAGAAATGAATAGGAACTTCCATATCTCTGGTTTACACTTGGCTTTATAGTTAATGATTATTGGCAGATATATACATACATGATATATGTGTGTGTTTGTGTCCACAAGAATGCTCTTAGAATGTCAAGTTTAGTACCTGTACATTATCTTGTTGTGTCGTATGTTGATTGGTTCTTCATTTCTCAACCTTTGCTCTGCCAGGAACCCTGGACAGCGTTCGAGAGTTCGTAAGCTCCAGTACATTGCTGAACTTGAGAGAACGGTAGCCATGTTGCAGGTATAGATTGCATTGAAGTTTGTGTTCTTTCTTAAAAACTAATTGGGTCTAGTCTCCACTGTATTGGTTGTTTTGTCTGTGGATCAATGTAAAAACTACAATGCTGTATATTAGATCCCTGTGGTTGGATACTTAAGTTGTTGGTGTTACAACATAGTATAGATGCACAGGGGTATAACATAATACAGACACCTAGCACACTGTATCTGGTAGTGTAACTAATAGCAATCTCGTTTTCTAGTCAGTGGAAGCGGATCTTTCAGTGAGAGTGGCTTCACTTCTTCAGACACGCGCAACGCTGTCCCTGGAGAATAGCCAGTTGAAGCAGCAGATGGCAATACTGAAGCAGGAAAAGCTCATAAGGGAAGGTAAAAAATACATGACATAAACTACACATTCAAGGAGTCTGAGGTATAGCTTGAGATAGATCCACTGACTCTTGTACCTAAATATTCTGTGTAGGTGAGTATCAGGTACTGAAGAAGGAAGCTCAAAGATTAAAATCTGGATTGGGATACTCAGGGAGCAATAACAGGCTGGTCAGGTCATATTCTGCTGGTTCAAATATAGTTCCAAGGAAAGCTTCGTCCCACTTGGACTGGAATTTGGTAGATCTGACCAAGCTCAATCTCAACTAAAGACAAACCCCTCAACAAGAATAAGTGGCTTAAGGAGTTGACAGTTCTATGTTTGGATAAAGAACAAATCTCTGTCGATTTGTATAAATATGATTTAGGAGTATAAAGTATTCCACTATATTGATCGAAACTCGAGAGAGTATGGGACTTAGTTTGTTTTAGCGAAAATGTTCTGATTTTAGAATTCTAGTTAAGACATTTTAACGGTTGTTACTTCCCTTGTCGTAGCTCATTGTGGTGGTGGCTTTGAATTATGCAAGAGGACGAGCAAAGCGACGTCGTTTCTTTCCTGAAGTTTCTTATTTTTTATATATATTATTCCCTTTATTACCTTAGACACAGAGATATATATTTAATTTTTTTACACACACATATATATATATTTTTTTTAAAGCCAAATGACAAATGTCTTATTTAAAAAAAAACTGAATGTTAATGAAAAAGGTCTGATTACAAATGAAAACCTTAGATATTTGGGTTTTAAACTTTTTATTAATAAAATACATAGATATTTGGGCTTAATATATAGAGAAAAGTCTGATTATTAATAAAAACCATAAATAAGAAAGAAATAAAAAATCTGAAAACTATTATAAATACCTTTGATATTAGGGTCTAATTCTAGTTTTAACCAAAAAAAAAAAAAACTATTAAGAAAACTTCTAGAATATCGATCTCCAATTCATGGATTTTGTTCTGAAACTTGCCGCTTTCATATTCATAATTTATGGAGCTCAATCTAGAGAAACCGTGAGAGATTTGAAATCCGTCAAGGTAAATTGAAAGAAGAATACACACATCCAAATTTTTTTTTTTTTTGTAGATTAATTTATATTATTGATCTCAAAAATAAATTTTCATAGTTAAACAACAATACCATATACGATTGTGTGGATATATATAAACAACCTTCATTGAGTCATCCACTACTCCAAAACCATAAAATTCAGGTATTTTTTCATCAAATTATCTTTTTTCATACATGTTTTTGTTATCTGGTTAACCTTGTTCATTTTGGACTATGTATCTTTGTTGTGTAGAATAACATTTATACTAATGGTTTGGTTTGGTTTGGTTCTCACCTCACTAATTTATTATATACCTATATACTTTTGAGCAGCTTAAACCATCTTTTTCAATCTCTAAATCAAAAAATCAAGTTAAAACTGAAAGTGAAAGAAAGAAAATCATTGAGTGTCCTAGTGAAACTGTTCCCATACTGAGAAGTACAAAAGAATATGTCGCAAATGCTCAATATTGGGCAGAAAAACATTTTAATCCGTTTACCGTCGACAGTCATGGGACACATGTAAGAGATCCACCTAAATTTTTGATTTACAAATATGCAGAATTTTGATAATGTTTATGATAAGATAAACTTATTATGAGTTTCAAAATTTGAAGATTGCTGGAGTTAGATCACAAGGTCAAGGTCCTTATCATGGCTTGGCAGCTTGGATGAGTATACATAATTTGAACATAAGTGGAGACCAAGCTTCGTATGCTAACATATATGTAGGCAGTGGAGTTAACAACAAAGTTAATTTTATCCAAGCTGGTTGGATGGTAAATCCTAATATTGATATTATTCTATTTTAGTTACAACATTCTTAAAATTAAAATTCACTAATCTAATTCATAGGTAAATCCAAAATTATTCGGTGATGGGCGGACATGGAGTTATGGGTTTTGGAAGGTATATCGTCAATTATATACACTTTTCATGTGTTTAATAAAACCATGATTAAGTATGATAATGACAGTTTCCTTCATTGTTATAAATAACACTTATATATGATTTTATTATTTACGACTAAATAATTAACAGGGAGCTAATGGAGCTGGTTGTTACAATACAGTATGCCATGGTTTTGTTCAAGTGTCTAAAACTGATCCTTTAAGTGGACCTTTACCTTATGATCCCAAAGGAGAAAAGGGTATCTACTTTAGTATTGTACAGGTAAAAAACATACTACTTGTTTGTACAATATCAAATCTAACACAGTGAGTTATTAATTTTTGACACTTTTAAATTATATTTATTGAAGGATAAGGATTCAGGAAATTGGTGGATATCAGATGTAAACTATACAGGACCAGATGAACAAATTGGTTATTGGTCAAAAGAGCTGTTTGATCTTATGAGTAATAGTGTGGACATGATCGGAGTTGGAGGAGTAGTTCAAGCTTCTCCTTCTGGTGCTAGCCCTCCAATGGGTAACGGCAATCGACCAACCGGAGATGACAATGCGTCGGCACGGGTCAGAAAACTCGAAATTGTAGATTCTAGTTTTAAGATCCAGGAAAGTGATAAATACAAGTTAGAAAAATTATTAGATAATGATAAATGTTATGGATTAAAAGATGGAAAGAAACCAATCTTGTTCACATATGGTGGACCTGGAGGAGATTCATGTGGAATCTAATATTATAAAATGTATGTATTTTGATTATCTATAGCCCCTAAATAATTTGGATTTCATGTTTCATGTTCAACATCTCAAAATTTTCATGTTTTACCAAAAAGTTCACTTCAACAAACTTAAAATCCTAACAAACGGTCCTCACAAACTTATCATGTACATCATTTAGAATGCGATGTTGTAGACATGTGTATTTGATTAGGACGGAAGACGGGACCAACATTCACTGCTAGCTAGCCTCAAGAATTATCTACTACAAAAGAATTATTTTTGTAGCTTAAGCCTAGTTCATTGGAAAAACTGTAATCAGCCAAATGGTTCTCAACAAGACCCAATGTGAATTTGACAAGCAGAATTCTTCTGACGGCATCATCAATTCGGGTGAAAGAAATTGCTTGCTTTTCACCAGGAACAGAAGATCATTTGAAAAACTTGGTAAAGTTGAACGGGACCATGACCTGCATATCATTTCATTAGCTAAAACAGACATGAGTAATATGTTCCTATCTCAGTCCAGGAATGTCTATGAAGTTTGAAACACAGACCATAATAATTCCAGCTTGAATTGCAGCTCGAAGGGAAGCTGTGTAGTTTGTATGCGATTGTGAGGAAATCTTATGAACTCCTTGCCAATCCGAAATAACAAAAACCTGCACATATCAAAGAGATGATAAGTTGTAACTAGAACTCAAAATAAACTCCTTGTCCTAAGAATTCACACATGCTCTCTAAACACGAGTCTACAAAATACAGCAAGAAAGAGCAATATTCATTCAGAAAGACTACTTCCAGAAGACAGAGATATGAAGAGTACCAGATTTATAACACTTTGGCAGATGGTGAGAACTTATAAGATCCAGAATACAGAATCTTTACTGCAATGCAAGGAGCAAATGTGTATGGAATTTCAGTTGCTCTGACATCGACTGCAGTAGCTGCGCTAACCCTCTTCACCAGATAAGGATCTCTGTGAAACTCATTAGAAAAGAGTTCAGCTTTTAAAGTGACACTCATGAGAATCAATCTCAGATCTGGACGCCGTGGAAAGAAGCTCTTTAACACTATAATTACGAAATCTGCAAAGAAGAAGTGACGGGATAAACAATTATGATACTTGATTTTCAGAAATCTAAACAAACAATAGATATATAGAACACGTACCTTCGGTTAATTCCAGTTTCATCAAATAAAGCTTAAGCATCTCGGCTAACCGTTTCACCAAGAGTTTCTTCTCAGCTGACACTCTTTCTGAAATTTCCATGGCAGACATTCTCCTAGGTTGTCTTCTGAAATGCTCATCGACCAGACTCTATCTCTGATTCCAAAATGTATTGCGGAAGTTGAGTTGTCTTAACACATTCAGGCCCCCCAGATACAACTATTGCCTGAGAATTTTAAAAGTCAAAGACAATAAGATGAATTTCCAATCGCAGTAAAATTCCACCTGGTTCCGAGCAATAGCTTGAAGAAGTCTTTCTTTGTCCACAAATGAAGGCAAAGATTTCCGGAATTCCAGCATCGTCCTTCGCTCAGGAGATTCCAATTATTCAACCAAACAACTATTGCTTAATAAAAAAAAACCTTTGATGAAAAGATAAGAGGCTCGAGGTAAATGTGATTCAGTAATACTTGCCAGGCTCTCTGCATACTTCTCCTCTGATGTACATTTCTTCATAACAGAACCATCCGTATGCTTTCATTTTGGAAGTTCTTCAATCTGTTTAGGAGGTTAAGAACCTTCATTAACCTTTCTTGAGCTTAGCTGCCGTCTATCAAGGTGTTCCTGCAGGAGTCTCTCTACCCTTCTTTCCAAACTCAAAGGAAGTACCACCTGCAAGATGAGATGCATTACAATTTCAATCATTATAATATACAAATATACATTGTGCCTTAAGGTTTTGGTAAAACAAGGGAGGCACTGTTACCTCCTGTTGTGGTAGCTTATCATCCAAATCTGGCCGGTAATTGGGAAGAGGAACCTTGCTTGTGACAATCACTTTTCCGTACATCTCACTGTTAAGTTAGAGCCAAAAATCCAATGAGACAAGAATCAGGTTAGCGCATAGTGCAAGATACGAAGTAGGTTATTGACGAAATAAAGCTCTAGTTTCTATACCTGTACAGTCCCATTCTCTTGACAATATTTGAAATCTTCGCATTACCCTTCAATCCCTTTTGTCTCTGGAAACAATATCTTTTTCGCTATCATTGGCCAACAGAATCTCTAACTTCCACTTCTACTCATCAACATTGGCCACAGAAGATGAAGCCTAAAAACCAGTTCATACCAAGTATCAAATAATTTCCCAAGTAAAAAAAGGATCAAACAGAAACTTATCAAAAAAATATTTGCCAATGTATAAAAAAAAGAAAGCAAATTCAACGTACTTTGTTAATTGGCAGCTGAACCAGACAAGGAAGACGTACTGAGTACAAATGATGATCAGTGTAAGGGAGAAATAAGTTAGGATCTGAAACAATTAAACAATAAAGCTAAACAACTCAGTGTATTTAGGATCTGATACAAATACCTTTTGGACACCATAAGACACAAAGGGCAGAATGATTTAGCTAACACGAAAGCTGGTACCCATTCACCTCCTTTACAGGCTCCACACTTACCTTCAAGAAACATTCCAAACCTAGTGTACGGTGTACCAACCCATAAAAAACATACGTTTAGTTAATTTAAAACAAAGCTTATAACTTACAAGTTCCTGTTATGGGAAGTAGTGTTATTGGACTTTGAGCTCCAATCTATTCCAAAATTAACTTGGCCATGCTGCAGTGATTCAAACAATGATCAGTGTAAAGAAGAAATAAGTTAGGGTCTAATACAATTAGACTATAAAGCTAAAACGAAAGCTGGTACCCATATACCTCCTCTCCAGGCTCCACACGTACCTTCAAGAAACATTCCAAAGTCAGTGTACCAAACTATGTAAAAAACATATGGTTAGTTAATTTAAAATTTCCTCTAAGTGTATCAAAGCTTGAAACTTACAAGTTCCTTTCATAGGAAACAGTGAGGATTTTGTTGGACTTTTAGCTCCAATCTATTACAAACCATGGCCATGCTGCACGGATTCGAACAATGTCACTGTAAGGGAGAATTGAGTTAGGATATGATACAGTTAGACAATAAGGCTTAATAACTCAGTACAATTAGGATCTAATACATTTACCTTTTGACCTCCATAGACCATAGGAAACAAAAGGCAGCCCAATTTAGCTAACACAGGAGTTGCTACTTATTCACCTCCGTTCCAGGCTCCACACATACCTACAAAAAACATTCCAAACTCAGTTTACAAAGAACATATGTTTAGTTAATTTAAAAGAAAGCTTGAAAGTTACAAGTTCTTGTCATGGGAAGCAGTGACGATTTTGTTGGCCTTTGAGCTCCAATCTTTTACAAAAACAACTTGGCCATGCTGCAGTGATTCAAACGATGATTAGTGGAAGGGATAATATATTAAGTTCTGATCTGATACAGTTAGACAATAAAGCTAAATAACTCAGTATATGTAGGATCTGATACATATACCTTTTGGACTACTTAGGACACAAAGGGCAACATGATTTAGCTAACACGAAAGCTGGTACCCATTCACGTCCTTCCAAGACTCCACACGAACCTTCAAGAAACATTCCAAACTTTAGAAAGACATGGTTAGTGAATTTCAAATTTCCTATTAAGTATATCAAAACCTGAACTTGCAAGTTTGTGCCTGTCATGTGAAGCAGTGACGATTTTTATTGGACTTTGAGCTCCAATCTATTACAGAAACAACCTGGCCATGCTGCAACAACAAAAAAGGAAAACCAAAATCTCAATAACATTGAAAAAATAAAAACTTTAAGCAGATTTAACTTACTCTGTAGACAAGGAAGCCGTATTGGGTCGGGACTATCACCAACTGGTAATAAGCAGATTTCCCATAAACGAATTCTAGAGAAGAAGCAACAACACAAGCAGATGTTAACACTAAAAAAAGAAGAATGACATAATGGTTTCACTTTCTATCCTTCTTCTGTGGTTCCATGTAAAGACATAAACAAATTTTGAAAAGAGTTTTAGTGTTACCAAATTTAGAAGTCTGATATTTGCTATCGCCTTTGCGTTAGCATCCTGAATCAGTCAGTATCTCCAGTCTCTATAGATTCGCCAATGTTGAAGAAAACCTCCTGTAACAAGATAATCTGCAGATAGCAAAAACTATAAACTTTTTATATACTAGTGAGTGAGCTTTAAGATTGAAAATGACAAGTAGGTAAGTGCTTACTCAAATATAACCGAGCAGCGAGTAAACCACCACCCACGGAGACCTGGAAAGCTAGAGTAGGAACCAAATGAGCTGAAACGTGATGTATATAAATTCTGGAACTGAAAAAAGAGATAGTCTTTTCAATTGTACACTCCAATTTTGTCATGCTGCAGCAATTCAAATAATTAATGATAATTGTAAGTTGACAATGAACAAATATATCAAAGTAAAGAATTCCCAAAGAAGAGAAAAGAGTGCAGGTTCATTAGTTTCAGATGGAGATTAGAGACAAAAAATTTCACCTTTTGGAGGACATGTAACATCTCCAACTGGTTTTGCGATGATGATATCCACACGGGCCTAAAAGACACATGGCAAAACAATATGTAACAAGACGTTGAAAAAACAAACGAGTAGTGAAAGAAGATGCAACTCAAGTATCGGGAATTACTTACAGGGGATAAAGTGTTGTCCACAGTTATATGATAACTTTACACAAAGCAAGCTTGGTTGTCAATAACTCCACATCTGAATAAAGGATTAACGTTAAACAGGTTAAAACAAAAAAGGGATTTTTAGTCAGTTACAGAGATCAAGAAAAAGGATATCAAATTTACATTCCATCGTAGTTGTTGCTGCGTCATATAGTGCATCATCCCCGATTCTATGAAGAAAGCAACTTCTCCACCCTAGAGGAGAAGTAACATTGAAAAGAAAATAAAAAAAATCAAACTTTAAGCAGATTCAATCAAACTCACTCGGTGAAACGGAACTTGAAGTGAAGCGGACAAAAGACAAGGTAAGGGTTCGTGCTGAGTCGAGACTGTGAAAAACCATCCATAAGTAGAATCAATGACCAATGATGAAGCTTCGTGGGAATAGTAAACATATTTCAACAGAATCCAAAAGACACAAATCAAAAAGACAAACTTTTTAACTCAAATCGTTTCAAATCAAACAACAACTCAGTTAAAAAAATCAAATAGATTCATAGATTTAGAAGAAGGCAACAAAAAGAACATACCTCTGATTTGTTCATATATGTTTACTCTCGTCGCCGTTATGAACCCTCTCTCTTACTAAATTTTTTCTTTACTCTCTGAACTTTTCAGGTGAGAAGAGTGAAGAGTCTCTTCTATGTTTTTTGTGTCAGCGAAGTGGAGACCTCATCTTTATATAGAGGAGAGAACCCACGGTTAAACAATTGTCAGCTTTCTATTTTAGCCATTAGATGAAATATATTTCAGATCCAACGGTGGATAGAGATTTATAAGAAAAAAGGAAAAATATGATCTTTATGAAATTTGGAAATATCTAAAAAAAAGGAAAAACCAAAAGCGTTTTTTCCTTTTTCTTAAATCCACGCGCTTCACCAAATATGGAAATTCGCCTTTTTTTTTTTTTCTTTTCTTTTGACAGCTTCTTTTTAAAATTTTACTATGATTTTGGTATTTTTGCGGTTTATTATTTATTGATGCCATATTCATATTCACCTGTGAAAACTAGTTATCATTTTTTCAAATATAATTTAATGTATATATTTTATTAAATTTGGAAATATCTGAAAAAAGGAAAAACCAAAAACGTTTTTTCCTTTTTTCTTAAATCTACGCGCTTCACCAAATATGGAAATTTGCCTTTTATTTTTTATTTTTCTTCTGACAGCTCCTTTTAAAACTTTTACTATGATTATGGTATATTTACGGTTTTTTTAGATCCAACGGTGGATATAGATTTATAAGAAAAAAGGAAATATATGATCTTTATGAAATTTGGAAATATCTAAAAAAACGAAAAACCAAAAGCGTTTTTTTCCTTTTTCTTAAATCCACGCGCTTCACCAAATATGGAAATTTGCCTCTTTTTTTCTTTTTTTTCTTTTGACAGCTTCTTTTCAAAATTTTACTATGATTTTGATATTTTTGCGGTTTATTATTTATTGGATGCCATATTCATATTCACCAGTGAAAACTATAGTTATCATTTTTTCAAATATAATTTGATGTATATATTTTCAAAAAATATACACATTTAAACGCAAACAATATTAAAAGTTTCAATTATACCCAAAAAGGAAAATTAATATATGTGAAATTGCAAAGAGATTTTGAAATGGAAATCCAGTATATCAGAAGATACATGTGCTTAATAAACTACAAAGATGGAATTCACAATAGAAGAGATGAATATATTTATGAAGACAAAAGAGGTTTAAAAATGAAATTTTAGCCCCGAAGTGATGCACGTGGTACTGCCGGTAATCCCCACTCATCCTCAGCCTGTTTCATCATCATCACAACATCATAAGACTCTTATCAGTATGCAGATCATAATATTGAGTAAAAACATTATCAATGATTTTGTAATGAAACAAAAGGTGGGAATAAAGACTAGACCAGCCTCTACAACTAAAATTAGTGTTCCATTGGAGGATGTCATTTTTTTGAGAATAAAGTTGGAGGAAACTCACTTGAGCTCGTCCAGGTGGAGCTCCTGTATGCCCCACTGGTGGTGCAGGTAAGTTGAGTTCATCAGCAAGATCAGGTTCTTTATCAGGTTGGAGATAGGAAGGCACTCCGTCTGCTTCAGTCTCGTTTCCCATGTCAGCTTCAAGAGCATCAAGCTCTGAAACCACAAATGTCAGCTTCTACCCATCCCCAAGCAGCATAAAGTGGGATTTCTAAGAAAATGAGAAGGGCAGAGCATGAACTTACCGCCCATGAGATCATCTTCGTCGATGTCATCGGGAACATTGTAGCTCCTACCTAGTGTCTCTTGAATTTCAGAACTCTCATCCATTAAGTCCATCATATCATCTTGCAAATTCTGCGTTATACAATACATAAATCATAATATAAAAAAAACAGTATCTAGGAAGCAAAGACAAGAGAGGTTGAATAAGGAACCAAGGTAGTCTAACATACATCTATATCTTGAATCTTGACGGTTTTCATCATTCCTTTCAACTCCTTGTTAGCAGATTTTAGGGCAGTCATCTGCAGATAATAAGAATTATAATTATAAATTATGTACATCAAGAATCACAATACGATTCATATCCAGAAACACATCATGTTTTGTTTCAATGTGTTGTGTTTATTTTTTCCAAGAAGATAAAGAAAGAAACATAATCGATACACATACAGTTTGTTGAGCATCTTTGAGGCCTTCAGCAGCAAATGAAACTTGGTCAAGGTTGAAAGTCTGATTATAGAGCATGTCACGTTGTCCTTCATACCTAAGCAAATATAATAGCAGTTTGGTAATAATCCCAAATCCATGTAAGAAACAAAAGAGATGATCATAAAACACACACACTACACTAGTAGAGTAAGTAATAGGAGATTAAGAAAAAACAACAGACTGACATCTTCTTTTGCTTGAGAACTCTCATAGCACGAGCTTTGATAGCTTCTTGAGCAGGACCAGGTCTAGTCCTCTTGATCTGTTCTTTGTACTTGCAGAGCTCAGCATCAAGCCTCTTCACTTTATCTTCCACTGAATCTCCTCTTTTATTGATCTGAAATCAAATAAAAAAACAAAAAAAACTGGGGAATCAACACACACCAAGTAGTAGTAGTAACTAGTAAGCTATTATTAAAAGTAGTTTAATCCGAACTCCCAAAGCTAAAAATCAATAAAACCTATAAGTTTGAACCCGAAACAAATCCTTAATTCTCCACATTCTACAAACCGAATTCGAGAAAAAGGAAGCTCTAGATCAAAGCTGAGGGAAAACAATCAAAAAAGAAAGGAGAGAGAGAGGAGGAACCCGATCAGAGGCATCTTGGATAGACGGTGGAGGCTCTTTGTTGTTCTTCGCACCAAAGATTCTCTTCATCTTTCTCCTTACAACAACTAATCTCCGCTTAAGTTCAGATGATAGATGATCTACGACAGAACACAAAGCCTTCTCGATGACAAATCACAAATCGATTAAAATCGGACAAAGGTCTTTTTTTTTGCTTAGAATTTCGTATTTATCGATTTCCTTTTAACTTTATTGTTAATATCTTGTTCTTTCTATACAGATTATTATTTTTCTATTATTTTCGCTAGTCTTTTTCTTGTTGGTCAACCCTTATTTTCGCTAGTCTAATATCACCCTAAATAACATGAATATATCCACAATACGAGTTAAACAAATTTTTTGATAATTTCAATTGCACTAACGTATAAGTTCCCAATAAGGTGAATTCAAAATCTCCAGTTCAGGTGTCACCACAAACTTAAATATGTGAAGTTTCACAAGTTGAACTCGCAGGAAGAGCTTCACAAACAAATATCAAGTTTATTATATCTGCCAATAGCTTAGTTTTACTTTTTTTTTTTTTTTTTGCTATGGATCATCCCAATAACTTTTAAGATATACAATTACCGAAATCATAATAATACCTCTGGACATAATCCTAATTACATTACTGGAGTTAGGAGAGGAAGAAAAAGACTGTTCTGTATCTCCAAAGAAGACATTTTATGAACATCAAATTAGCCAGAAAACATTAAATACAAAAGGGGTTATGATCACCAAAATTCACAGAAAATGAAACTCTTGTTTCTCTCTATACACTTCTCTTTAAACTTTCACCCCCAAAAGCTCAGCCATTTCGCAACCAAACCCACCACTATTGCTGAATTGGCTCGCCAATGACCAAGCCACTGTCACAGACACTGCAGCTCCAGACACCGTTTCTTCGGTTCCAGAGGATTCAATCACATTATTTGGTTGAAGGTGTTTGGTGTAGTGAAGCTCGATTTGAAGACGGTGATGCAACGATGAAACCAGTCCTTTCTTCATATCAGCTTTAACTTGCTGTATCGGAATCGCGGCCAGAAAGCTCTTTATATACTCCCTACATGACTCTTTACCTCTACACACTACTACTTCTTGCTCATCTGAATCTTTTGATCTCTCCGACTGCTCTGACTTGTTCTTACCACCACCTTGTTTCTGGTTTTCTAGGCTGGCTTTGTTGTCCTTGGCGGGTGCTAGTCTTTGTATCTCTGCATCTTTGTCAAATTTCAAGACATACGCTTGGTTGCAACCCTCATACAGCCTCTCTCCAAGCGTGTCTATGATGTAATAAGCATCATGCTTCACGAGGAGTACAAAGAAATGGTCATTCCAGCTCACAATGTATATCACAGGTTCGCTTGCCGCCTCTTCTGGTTCTTGTTTCATGATCTCTTCCCAGATACTGTCAAAGGACATTACATCTTTGAGAAAATCTAGACTAGCGTCTTCCTTTCCTTCTTCTTCCTCTGATTTCTCTGGATGGAAAAACCCGATGAATGACTTCTCAGGGGCTACACAGATGGGTCTGATTTTTGCCTGGAGAACTGTCTCGAGATCAAAATGCTTGTCTGGAAACCGTTCCCGGTATTCCTCGTTTTCGCACATATTTCTCCACTCGGAGGATCCTTCTCTGATAAGACTGTCAAACTCTGACCTTGTCGGGATTATGTCTCTGTTGGATCCTAACCAATGTGCCATCACTGCAACTAAGGCTGTGCAGGCGCTTTCTCCAGCAGCTCTCTCGCTTCTCTGATCGATTGATGCAAGAAATACTTGAGCCGTGAGTTTCATCCGCCCATCACGGCTTATAATTTCTTTGGTTTCCCAACTACCAACAACGAAATCATCATCACCAAACTGGGATAATGGTTTCATGACTGAATCATCAGACCTATACCACTGCAAGAGAATCAATCAAGAGTTAGAAACAATAAAATGATGAACACCAAAAAATATATAAACAAATTTAGTCAATGTATTTACATCAGAGTTAGACTCATCGGATGAACTCAGTTGTCTGCGGTCAAAATCGATATCATCACCACCTTCTTCAAGACAGTCCTTTTTAAGTAGAGGTTCGCCTTTCTGTTTAGGAGATCTAAAACTGAGTTTTCTCTTCTTCCAAGATAACATTCTCTTCTTAGACATTTGTCCTTTCGCTTGCTCCAAGATTACTACATCATTTGAAACCTCATCACCGCAATGTCTGGTCTCTGCTAATGGACTGCGGTGGCTGTAATATATCAAATCCTCGTCTTCAGGGTTAGTATCAGTATGAAATGAGCCTCTAGCCCAATTAGCATATCGAAGTGTTTTGTAATTAACCGGATCAGCTACGCCACTTTCATTCTCTTTGTTCTCTTCTGATTCATCCGCAGCATCACCTTCATCTAGAGAATCTGTATCAAGAGGATAAGCAGAGTCAGAATCAAGATTTCTGTCTGGACTCTTTCCTTCACTTCCGCTTCCGCTGCTTCCATCTTTATCACCCTCCTTTTCCGATGCCTGGGGATTAGACATGCAATGGTTGAAGGACTTCATCTTTCTCAGGCCTACTTTTACAACAGACTCGGCTTTCTCAGCCTCTGTAGAAAGGGGAGACCATAGAACAGGAAGAGCAGATCTTTGTCTTTCAGGCAATGATTCTTTAAGGGAAAACTGAAGCGAGATCTGCAACATGATAAGTTAAAACTTGCAGTTAGAGAAATGAAACAACAGTAAACTCAGAGGACTATTTAATAAGGAAATCACAAGACGTACATGAAGACATGGACTTCGAACAGATGACGAGCCACAATTCTTCAGAGGAACTTTGACTTGAACATCATCTTCTTTCATCAATGAAAAGTATTCTGCAATGTTCAGTGATGCCTTTCCAAAGCTACGAACTTTCTCCTTGGATCCTTGATTCAGTCCCTACATAACAGCCGATCCAAACACTTCCATTTAGATTGTGAACACAACACATACACAAAACCTAAATGCCCAATCAATATCATAGACTAATATGTTCCACAAAATCTCCAGAATGAATAAAAAAAATCCCCAATTTTACATTGGAGCTAAACTACAGAGGACCTAAGCAAAGGTAGAACCTTTATATAGACCCTGATCATTCACCAGACATCAGAGTCAAAAATCACAGTCAACGATACCAAAGGAAGATAAGATGAGAGAGTGAGAGAGAGAGAGGGAGACTAACATTGAAGACAGTGAAAGAAACGATCCATGGAAGAAAGGCTCCTTCCTTGTAAACAGAGAATTCACAAACCCTCTTGAACTCTTCGTTCCACTCAACGACGCCGTCGCCGCGAAACCCACCTTCTTCGGTTAAATTCCGTACGACGGAGCGTTTGAGAGTAACCGATTTAGGTCCTTTCCACTTGATCTCAACCACAGGTCTCTTCCTCGTAGACCCACCTCGCTGACTCTGATCATTATCATCGCCATCGCCATCAGAATCCAACAAACCCTCCATCTTGTGGACAACGACGATCACGTCGAATTTGACGGCGAAGAGCGGAGGCCACGGTGGCCACCGCATGATCTGTTTCATTTTCACCACCATTGAATACAATACAAGTGGCTACAAAAGCCTAAAGATTTGGGATAAGGACGAATCTTAGGAAAAAGGGTACTGGAGTAATCGAGATTTACGGAGGAAAGAATCGGATTTTAAGAGATGGGCGTCAAGGATTTGGTGGACGCGGTGTGATTCAGACGCAAAATATTTGAAATTTGAAGATAGAGATAGAGAGAGAAAGAGAGACAGAGAGTATAGAGAGAAGGAACTCTGCGTTTGGCTGGCTCTTTTAATAGTCAACCCTTATAGAGAGAGAGAAGGACGGCGATATAAAATTGGTGATTAATAGAATTATAGTAATACATTAAGATTAATTATTTAATTATACTAGTATATTATATACTGTATGTTTGACAAAATAAATTATTTCTTTAATAATAGTTTAAGAAAATAATTGTTTTTGAGAGCAGGTGAAGAACACAGAGGATGTAGCATACGTCTTTTTGTATCCACGTTCGAGGTGCAAAAAGTCTTCTTGGTTGTTTTAAATTAATTGATGTAATTGTATTTTGAGGAATTAATCCAATCTTTTTTTATTTCAACCCAGATTCTAGGGTTAAATGTAATTAAGATTTAAATTGTAGATAAACCTACCCAATAAATTCTATAACTAGTAGAAACGGCCATTAATTTTTATGAGCGAAGTTGGATTTTTTATGGCTGAATTTAGTAGTTTATGACTTTATGTTATATCTGCTGTATTTATTTGCATACAGTTATTTAAAGCTACCAGAATTATTACTTTTGACTATCTATATATAATTTTTTTAATATAAAAAAAAAACTTATTGTCAACTATTATTGATCAGTAGGTTTTGACTAGATTCTCTAATAATTTTGTTTCCACAATGTTCTTTAAATTGCAGCCAGTATTATGTATGCATCTATAATAGACTCTAGAGAGGCTCTTTAAATCTTGATCACAAACTCACAAAACATGACTTTTAATATGCGCCAATTAATAATTTTCGACACATCTTATCCGTCATATGAAATTGTGTTCTGTTCCTAATCAGAATTCACCAAATTCTCTGAAAAATTAGTAATGGTTCAAATAAGGATCCGAACCTGAATTCAGTATATATTTTTTAAATGTTAGTTAATTAGAGATCATATAGGCTAATAGTAAAATATTGTGTCCCATCCATGTGAAAGATAAGGTTTTTAATGTTCATGAAGGATGATCATACTCTGTTTAGGTGTTTAAAGTGTAAGAAAAAGTTAGGTATGTCCTAATATACATAGATTTTTAAGCTATTAATTAAGTCCTAACCATATGTCATTGCCTTAACAGTCCCTACACTAATTAACTCATGCTCCTAGGATCCTTGAATTTCTTGCTTTTTTACTTCTTCTGTAATCAGAAAATAAATTAACATTTTACAAATCAGTTCTTTTGTGATGTCTAATTACTTTGACGTTCCTTAAGAGTTAACTAATAAACACGTACACTCTTTATTTTAAAATTTTAATTATGATTTTCTAATAAAAAAAAGTAGAATGATGAACTTACTTTAAACAAGAACCAACATATATGCTTTAGAAGAATTAGAACCAACACACAAATAAAACTTTATGATACAGTTGTTAATCATGATCACGTTTTTGTGGACTGAAGAAATTAGGAAGTTTAAAAGAGGGATAGAGACGCAGTTTTGATAGAGACAGTTTTTAAATAAAACAAAGATAAAACAAAATAAAAAGTCGTATCCCCAAAAAATATGCGCACTTTTTTTTTTTTTTTTTATGTCAACAACATACATACGCACTAAATTTAAATTTTATTATTGGAGAAATAATAATAAGTTTGATTGTGATACCCACTTCTATATCATTTTCCGGCAAATACTTAATACTTAATTAAGAAGAACAAAGTAAGCTTAGTATTCATATCAAAAAAATAATTATGTAAAATGAAAAATAAAGACCTCCAAATTAAATACGTGTTTAGAGATTAGGAAGTTTGGTGGCTATTATTTTCAGTGACCAGTCTTAGCCATCTGTACATTACCTCATTAGTTAGTTTTATTTCAGCAAGAATCAGTAATTATAACTCAGACCACAAATTTATTAGAATTCGGTTGGGTTATTTTATTTCTCTGGTATTGTTGGAATTAGTGGAATATGTCAAGATTAGTAGTGTTTTTGTTTTTTTGTAAAGGTATGTCTTTGACAACAAAAAAACTACGTTGTAACTTGCAAGTTCCAATGCAAATAAACAACCCTCCACATCACATATTATTATGCATGTCCACTCGTTACCTTTGTTGCAAAATACGGTGTGGGTGAGTATTCCTCCACTACCACTGACTTGTTTTTCTATGATTCGTAAATTTATTGGCCTTATTTATATTTGGTCAATATTATGATCAGGATACTGAAAATATACCGACAAGAAGAGCGTTTGTAAAGCTCTTATTGGTGGGTAACAGATGTAAACGTCAACGCACCAGATATACATATTGGTTACTGGCCAAGAGAACTGTTTGATCTTATAGATGTTCATGTGGATATGGTCGGAGTTGGAGGAGTAGTCCAAGCTTCCCCGTCCGGCAAAAGTCCACCGATGGGTAATGGTCATCTACCATCTGGAGATGAAAATGAGTCGGCACGCGTTAAACTCCTTGAAATCGTAGACTCTAAATTTAAAGTTAAGGGAAGTGACAAATATAAGTTGGAAAAACTATTAGACAACAACAAATGTTATGGTTTAAAAGATGGCAAAAAACGTGGTTGGTTCAAAGATCCCATTTTGTTCACATATCGGGGACCTGGAGGAGATTCTTGTGGAATCTAGTATTTACAATATGGAAGTTATTAGAACAAAACATTCGGACTTTTATGTTTTATGTTCAGTTATTTGAATCTTGTATGATTGTATGACGTTGTTCCTAAGCCAACACGCATCGAGATATACACTTCAACAAGATATGGCTGCTTTTTATTATTCTCTTTGTTTTGCTTTCAGATCATAACTATTTGTGTTTCGGGTCACTGCAATCACCAAGATGTCCACCGTGGAGAGTATCGTTAGACTTGTTTTAACCCCTGAGTCATTGTGAAACTAGAACGCTCTGCTAGAATGTTAGAAGAAGACTATATATGCTCAAGAAGTACACATTACAACAAAGTTTTCAAAACAAGTCTAAGACGACAAAAACCTCATCCAAAAGATTGAGAATCCAAAAGAGGGCAAAAGAGAATCTTGGCTGTGCATTTGTCTTCAACAAATCATCATATCTTATCAGAAATCTCTTTGTCTTGGCTTTAGTTTTGTACTTTTAAATAGACTGAAACTAGAGTTTAAGAGCAATGCTAAAGCTTTTCTCTAGACCCATCTTCACAGGACCTCCTGTGATGCTTCCTTTTTGCATCATAGCCACAAACTCGTTGTAGTCTATTCGCCCGTCCTGCAAACAACAATACAGTTGTTGAAGAATTTCTCATAGGTTCCAAAATATCAATCCAAAACCGAGTTTCAACATTTGGTTTACTTCCTTGTTTCTCAGGAACGAGAGATTCTACTATTCCTCTACGTTTAACAAGAATCATACTCAATCAGCCGAGTCATTCAGAGAGAAGATAAATGATAAATTTGAAAGGAAAGTGTAATTCTCACTAATTTTAACAATGCAAGGATTTAAAAGGATCATATACGGGAGATTCCTATGAACGAAGTAGTATACAATTCATTCAAATCTGATCACTATTGAGAAGTATTTAAGTCATATGAGAATTGGGATGAGCTGATAAAGGTGTAAAGGAGCTTACATTGTCTTGATCAACGTCGCGCATCAGTTCTTCAATGCGGACATCCTCAACGCCAAACTCCTCACAAGCTTGTTGAAGCTCGTCTGGGGTGATATAGCCGCTCCCATCTTTGTCAAAGTATGTAAAGGCTGCAAACAAATGGTCCTCTCTCTCTATTTTGTTTAGATGCAATGTTGCAGCTATGAACTCTTTGTAGTCTATTGTTCCACTGTTGTCCACATCAGCCTGAATTATATACACATGAAAGAGATACCATATTAATTGGAAATCCTAGCAAAAACACAGGAGTATATAACCAGAACCAGCAGAGTAATTTTTGGATTATAACAAGCCCATTTCATAATGATAGTTAGTGAAGACACTGGATTAAAAAGATTTGCAAGTATATGAGGACCTTCATTCTCGAATTACAAACTAGCAAGGGGGCTAAAACTTACAGCTTGCATCAAGTCGAGAATTTCAGACTCTTTAAGATTCGCCCCTACTCGTTTTAGTCCTGCTTTCAGTTCTTCAAAAGTTATCTGACCACTCTTGTCCGCATCTATCATATTAAACATTTCTTTCAACCCAGCTATTTCTTCTTCGGATAAGCTCTCAGCAATGACCTGCAAGAAAGAAGAAAAAGAGAAACTTAATCTGCATCGTCTCTTTCTTTCCACAAAAAAAAAGAAGACAAAGCAACTATCTTATGTTTATCACAGTAACTTGTTCTCATACGGATTTATTTATGTTCAGCATTGAAAAGCCGCTTACTCTAAGAGCCATTTTCTTGAACTTGTTCATTGCAGAAAATTGCTTCATACGGCTCAGAACAGCAGAATCCAGAGGTTTGTCTGGAGCCACACCATCGACTTGTACCCATGGATGACCTGGGAGGGCGCACAACTTCATAAGAAATGAGACAGTGGCACAAATGAACTGTACATGATTTGTACCCATGTTTTTGGAAACTCCATTACTAATTTATGTACGACCAGTGAAATCTATGCTCAAAGGAATTAGTAGAAAGAGAACCGCAACACTCTACTGGAAGAGGAAGGTTTCAGATCAAAATAACTTACATAATACTTGGTGGGCAGTTAACCTTCTCTTGGGATCCCTAACAAGCATTTTCCTCACTAAGTCTTTTGCACTTTCAGATATGCTCGGCCAAGGATCTGATGAAAAGTCAAGATCACCGTGGAGGACCTGTTCGAAGATACCTTGTTCGGTTTCTGAATGCTCAAAAAAAAAAAAGAACAAAGATTTTGTTCAGAGCCTAATAAGGACAGATGACAAGTCTCTTATCTATATATAATAAACAAAATTCTTACCAGCCCAGAATGGAGGAACTCCACTTAACAGAATGTACACAATCACTCCAGCACTCCAGACATCAGCTTCAGGACCATAACGCTTTCGAAGAACTTCCGGAGCAACATAATATGGGCTACCAACAACATCTGTAAAAATATCGTCTGCAAAGAGGAAGGAATTGATTTCAAAAATCATTGAACGACAAGAATCATGCCATACAATTTAAAAGACCAAATCTCGAAACTGAATGGTTTAAGATGAGTAACATTGAATGCAAACCTGGCTTAAAGAACATTGAGAGTCCAAAATCAATTGTCTTCAAGAGGGAATCTTCGTGTTTACTGACAAACAGAAAATTCTCAGGCTTTAGGTCTCGATGCATAACACCAAGAGAATGGCAAGCCTCAACAACCCCAACTATGGTTCTAGTGAGCTCAGCCGCTTTCCTCTCTGTGTAGTGACCACGTTGAATGATCCTGTCAAAAAGCTCGCCACCTGCACAACACTCCATTACAAGGTGCACCGCCACAATGTCCTCATAAGCTCCTTTAATGGATATGACGTTTGGGTGACCAGCCAAGTGATGCATTATCTGAATTTCCCTTCTCACATCCTCAACGTCCTCATCAGTCAAGAGCTTCCTCTTAGCAATTGACTTGCACGCAAACTCCTTCCCTGTAGTCTTCTCCACACATAAAAAAGTCGTCCCAAACTGCCCTTGTCCGAGTTTCCTTCCCAACGAATAGAATTCCTTGAAGTTTTCAGTCTTCCTTTGCAACACTGACTCAGTCCTAAGCCCTGCACTTGACACTCTTTTCATGTGTTTAGGCTTCTTAGGTTTAGCTGGGTGATCAGCTTTTGCCTCCTGCTTAGTCTCTGACTTGGTCTCCGGCTTGGTCTCTGGTTTGGTCTCTGGTTTGGGCTCAGGTTTGGGCTCAGGTATTGTCTCCTCTTGCACTTCAGGCTTGCTTTCAGGTCGAATCTCTCTGTCCTTGGTCTCGATATTAGTTCCTGACTTTGGCATTGTGACCTGTTCAGGAGGTTTATTCTGGACATCATCAGAGAATGGAGATCGAAGCTCTCCTGAAACAGGTTCACTTGCAATATCTCCATTGCTCATGGAAGCCGAATCATCTCCATCTCTTGGCCGCCACATTGCAGCCGAAACAGATTGCAAGAAGCCATTTCTGCTAGGTCCAACACAAGTATTACCCATCCAAATACAACTCCAAAGCTTCTCTTAATCTCTTTCACCAAAAAATAGCATCAAGATCTGATCACAGCACCCTAAAAACAATCTAATCTCATTCCTAAAGTCAAATCCTTCATATCCTAAGACTTTTAGTCATTGAACACCATCAGACATCAGACAAAAGCTGGACTGGTGAACCTTACTTTGGGTCGAGACGACCAAGTAAACAGCACAGAACTTATAACGAGGTGAAATATAGCAAGAAAGATGAAAAGGGTATCGGAAAAATCGTGACTTGAAACGAACCCAGAAAAGAGAAGGATGCAATGAAGCGAAGCAACCCAAGCACACAGAGAGTAGAGAAAACACGCCTAGACAAGAAAAAAGACAGAGAGAGGGAGATCTGAAGAAGAGTAGAGAGAAAGAATGAGAAAATAAATTGGGTTGGGTGGGAAAATAAAGGGATAGTTTAATAGCACTACACTTGCATAAACCGTAGGGACATTTGATAATTTAATGAGAGAGTTAAGGCTCTATAGAAGAAGACGATGAAGATGAAGAAGAAGAAGATTGAACCAGTTTGAGAAACGCGTTTCTTCTCTCCTCTTCCTCTTTTGTTTTGATTATCTATCGCCGCCGAGTTTTGCGCTGCGATTTGTCTTAACTCTCTTTTTAATTAGTCTTGTCTTTTTGTTTTGTTTTGTTTTTGCAAGTCCACCCTTTTCAATCTTGGCAACGCAGTCGTCGAATCATTTTTTTCAAGGAATGGTTTTTAATTACAGTTAAATATTTAACTTCGGGATTTATTAAGAGTTGGATGACAAAAACTTGTCATCTTTCTCGAGTCCTTGTTAGTTTTTAAATGGATCCATTATTTATTGTTTATGAAAGATAAAACCCGCAAGTAAAATAGTATGCAACAAAACCCATACTATAAAGAGCAGACAATTAATTAAATAAAACATCCATATTTTGGTTTATCCGAGAATTGAGGCTTTGTGTTGGGATTACAAATGAGATGGCTTGTTGGTAATTGTGCAGGTGACTGGAATGATTCCTCTGAGAGGTGGTGGTGGTGCGACTCCAAGGTTTGTGCAGAGGACGCAGCTGATTGCTCAGAATTACCAAGTCGTATGAGAAGCTCTTTTGAGTTTCTTGTTTTGGAGCCTTTGTCTGGTCTTTTGGGTTATTTGTTTGTATGCCAAAAATTGAATCCTAATATTCTGGGTTGTTTTTTTGTTTTTTTTTTACCAAAATTCTGGGTTGTTTCTTTTTTTTTTGGTATGAAAAATTCTGGGTTGTTTCTGTATCAACTTTGGCAAATTTGGTTAACTTTTGGTAAATATTTAATTAGGCATTAAAGAAAGGAAAAATAACAAACAAGGAATGCAAAAGATTACTAAGTCAGGCATATACTAAAATTCTGGTGAATGTATAGGAATACAAAAAAAAAAAAATTTAAGTCAGGCATAAGTCAATTAAGGTTCTTTTTTTTTTTTGTTCTAATAAGATTTTGATATCTTCTTTTTCTTTTTGTCCGCCGCTCCTGCATCTTCTTCATCTTCCGTCTCCTCCTCTTCCCCTTCCTCATAAAGATCTTCCGTCTCCTCCTCTTCCTCTTCCTCATAAAGAACTAAAGAAATTTAAATAGATTGATTAGTCTTAGAATTGTCTTCTAAGTTGCTGTGAATATCACAAAAGTATTACCTTCAAATTTGTTGCGAACTGTCACAGGCTTCTCTCCTCCTCTCGCACCCCGTTGTCCTCTTCCTCCTCTCGCACCCCGTTGTCCTCTTCCTCCTCTCGCACCCCGTCGTCCTCCTCCTCTTCCGCTTGAGGTTCCTCCCCTTGTAGACTTCTTATAGACCACCTTCTCCCAAAAACCCGACGTTTGAGTCTTCCCCTCAGTAAAAATTGAGGGCCACATCATTTCTTTGTTGGCCAAGTTGTCTAACTTCTTCGACATCTGAAGGTAAATAAGCATTACAAACATTCCCTCATCTTGTACCTCAACAAGTGCCTCTCTGAACCCGCCGTCTCCTGTGATGGTGATGATGTTTGTGGGAGTACGATTACCCTCCTTTAGCCAAGAGTCTAGCCAAGCGGACATTTTTTCTTGTAAGTAATCATCGCTTGCATCTTTTACCCCTTCCTCTGGAAAAAGAAAAAGAGAAAACAAACAAATCTTTTATCATTGAACCCAAATTAAATTATAACAACATAGAAAATGAACTTAATGTAAATCAAAGAAAGACTTACGGTCTGGAATGCGATAGTAGTTGATCCCTTCAAGGGCTTTTTCATCTAGAACAACTCCACCTTCAGTTATGGCGAATACTTCAATATCCTAATAGCTTGCTAGCACGTCTTCTTAAAGGGAGATATTATGAGGAGTCTTATATCCTTCTTGCTGGTCAAGGAAGGAAAGCCTCTTTTGCTTGGAAATCGATTCTTGAGGGTAGAGATCTTCTAAAAAAGGGTCTCAGATTGTTAATTGGAGATGGATCAACTATAGATATTTGGAATGACCCGTGGATTCCTTCACACCCTCTTCGTCCTGCATCACGCTTAGAAGGTACTGATGATAATCTCCTTCTTGTTAAAGACTTTTCAATCCTCTGCTGAGATCGTGGAATATTAATACTTTTGAGGAGAATATTTTGGCTGAAGATGTGGAAGTGATTAAGCAAATTTGGTTAAGTGCTTCTTTTGAACCTGATATGCTTGATATGCCAGGATGACATTACAATTCTTCTGGTATTTATACTGTGAAATATTGTTGTTCATAGAGTTGAACCAGCTGTGGCAATTAGAACACTTGATGGATCTTTGGAACTTAATCAAGCAATATGGCGTATTAATATAGCTCCTACGATTCATCATTTCTTATGGAGACTTCTATCTAATACCTTGGTTATTGGATCGATACTACAACACCAGAGATTAGCGTAAAAGATGTTGTGGTGCTGATGAATCGACAGATCATCTATTTTTCACATGTCCTCATGCACAAAAGGTTTGGAGAGGTTCCCAACTTAATGGTCATCATTTGATCGACATTAGGATATCTTTGGAAGATAAGATTAATTTTTTTTTAATCATTCTCTCACATTAAAGACTAGACAACTACCATTTTGGATTCTTTGGAGATATTGGAAAAGTCGAATCTTCTTGTTTTTCACCAAATAGATAGTCATTGGAGACGGGATTCTCAGCTCGCTAGTATAGATGCTGGAGAATGGGATACAATTTAATCAAAGGAAGCAAATCTATCAAATTCATCTTCTCCTATTCATGTTATTCAGAGATGGGTTTTTCTACCACAAAGCTTTGTGAAGTGTAATTATTATTGTAATCTACAACAGCAAAGAGATATTACTAAAGCAACTTGGATTTTGAGAGATAGTTATGGAGTCTATTTAGGAGCATGTCAAAGCCAACTATCAAGACGTCTAAGTCCTTTAGGAGCATAATTACAATCATTTTTAATGTCGATTCAGCATGCCTGGAGTCGAGGATATCGAAAAGTAATTTTTGAAGGTAATAACCAAACTGTTCATAAACTTCTAATGGGAGAGCAACTTAATTTTCAACTCAATAAGTTCTCAGATGCTACAACCCATTGGATTCCACGTATTGGTAATCATGCAGCAGATCGATTGGTGAAGGAAAATTTTCCAAATAATTGTAATTTTAAATTTCATTTTTATGTTCCAGCATATTTATTGCAATCTGACCATATTCATAATTAATGAAATTAAATGTGTTAAAAATAAAAAAAAAAAGTAGTAAAAAAAAAAAAAAAAAAAACTGATTTCGTTAGCCCACACCTTTATAGGGCCATTAGACAGGCCCATAAGTTTCGTGTGGGGTATATATGTTGAAGTAGAAGGAAACCCTAGGGATCGAGAACTCGCGTTTGTTGATGATGATGATGCACCACCCTAACAATGCGGCGAATCCAGAGCACGTGAAAGCTAAAACGGGGGTGTGGTGGGACATCAATACCTGTCCGATTCCAGATGGTTATGATGCTCGTCGGGTCCGTCCGAGTATAGAATCGGCGTTGAAGAATTTAGGATACTCTGGTCCTGTCGATTTCACTGTCATTGGGTGCCTAGAAGACATCTCTGAAAACGTCCTGCGAGGGCTCTCTTCCACTGGGATCTCTGTTAAACACGGTTAGGCCTTGTCTTTTCTTATAATCATTTATATTAGGGGTTTCAATTTTATATTTAACTTATTAGGGGATTAGATTATCGAGCTGTGCTAGTGACAAACAGGTCGCGCAACCGGACTCATCGGTGGCTTGTTGAGGTCATGGCAAAAGCGTAATTCGGCTCCAGCTTCGATGATGCTTATAACCGATAAACTGGAGGATGTGTCTCTGGCTCTTGTCCATCGACAACAAAGACTGCCTGGATACAACCTTCTTCGGGCATATACACGTAAACCTAAATATGTTTCAGTCTTGTACACTACTGCAGAGTGGCTCTGGGAAACCATACTGGCGACAGGTGTTTGTTTCTCCTCTCTCTCTTACAGATCAGTTAGTTTATAACCAGGAATTTTAAAGTGTTTCTGAACTAGTTTGTTCTTTTTCTTTTTTTTCTTCAACAGATGAAATGGATATGGATAATAATCAGGAGACACGAATTCAGTCGTCCGTTCTTCGCAAGTGCTCTACCTCTACCTTATTTTTATTGCCCCAAGAGCATCCGTTTTATTGCTCATCATGCGATTTTGCTACCCAAAGCCTTGAAACTTTCACTACGCATCTCTCGGGTGGAGAACATAAAGAGATGGTAAGCATCCTTCCTCCTCTTCTCTGCTTGTATCATTTTTCCTTTGAGTCAACATTTCGACCGCTCAGTCTTTGTTTCCACCCATGTTGTCAATCAGGAGATAGACAACGCCAGGTGTAGGGTGCCAAACCAGGAGGGGTACACGTATATCGACAAACAATTACAGGCAAGTTTTAATATCTCCAATGTCCTTCTTAATGAGAAATCCTTAAAGATTCTAACAAAAATTGAAAGCATGAAAATCGACTTGATGATTGTTTGAAGTCGTTGTTTCAGAATGCTTTTACATTCAGTCTCTCTTATACGATTACATGCTTTGTTCATATCTCAAATACTCGTGTTTCATATACATCTTTTGCAGGTAAAAGAAAATCCTCCCACGAGCCAACCTTCGAAGAAGCGAGATCGGCCTGCTCGTGCTCGCCGTGCCGCATGAGAGCAGAATTTCTGCTTAAAAGTACTTATCTGCGCAAGTCATCAGTCCTGCAAATCTCTCATTTTGCTACTTTAAGTTATCGTTACTGGCTTTTCTGCCCTTTGTTTTATGAAGAGATTGCTAAAGACGTTGTGTTTCTTGAGTGAAGAAGAACGAAGAATGAAATGCTTAAAAGATGTTTCTCTTTATGTATGGGGTCGTATCTAAGTTTAATTACTAAAGACTATTTTGAAGAAACCAATCCTTATGTTAAGATTCCCTCTCAAATGGGTCAAAGGAGAGGTTAGACATCTTGCCAATGAGAGCATGAAACTAAGAAAGGAATTCATGTGAATGAAAGCATGAAACTAAGAAAGGAATTCATGTGAATGAAACTTCCTTTTCAAAATCACCATCAAAGAAGGCATATTAATTAACTCAAACTCCACTTCTTATGGCTAAAAGTGTCTAAAGATCAATGCTTCGTGTTGTCCTATATGTGTGTATCCCATTGTTTTATGTTGTACTTCTCTAACAACTTAGAATCTGATCAAAGATTTTCTATCTTAGATAATATTTTAATTCCATAAAACTACTAGGGCGGGATGTTTTTTTTTTTCGTAACAATTAATATCTAAAATATAATCCGTTCTATTGTAGTTTTGTTGGATTCCTCTATTTTTAATCGTTTGAATATTCTTTGTTTTAAGACGCCCATATAACCAATATGTATATAGAAGAATACGAACCGTAGTCTCCCGATCCAATAATTAGAGGTGTCAAAAACAGGTCGTCACCGTTCATTTGGGCCTGCCCGCGACGGACATTACTTTTCTTTCGACCGCGACAGGCCAGCCCGCTAAGACCGCAGACAAAAAAACACATGTCCAAGCCCGCCCCGCTAAGCCCATGTAATCATATCTTAACCAAGAAGATGGATTTGTCCAAGTCCAGGAACTCCACTGTTCTTTCTTAAATATTTCCAAGAGATTACAGTTTTCTTGAATACATAATTACTTTCTGTATTTTTCAATATGAGAAACAATAATTCATATACTTGACTCTCAATATACTGCTAACTGAAGAATCTTTATGCCACCACTAATTCCTTCATTGACATTCCTGTTGAGAAAATCAGCCTTTATATAAACCAGTTCAAGCTTTGACAGCATAGAACTGCATGATTACAATTCGAATCATCAGATACACCACAACACATTTTGGCAAGAGCGCCTGATAGATTGTGCACCAAGTGAAACATAAACGGATACACAATCACAACTCACAAGTATGAAACAGTCTACATGTCTAATTGACTAATGCGATAAGACACCTCGATCGGCAACTGGAGTTTGGAAACTCAAGAAGAGAACCCCAAGAGACCTTTCCCCTGGTTCCATATCAAGCAGATTCTTCTAGCCTTTAAACACAATATTAGAGTCGGAGGGCGGAGTTATCTAACCGGTTTAGCGTGACATTAGAGTCGAGGAATCTGATTCTCTCCCGCCTAGTGACACGTGTCCAAGGTCGGTTAAAAAGCAAGTACATTACGATATTTTCTACTTTTTTAAAAAGGAAATATATATCTATCTGAAAGAAGGAAAAAAAGAAAGAAACTTTAGAAAAAGGGAAAAACGACGCCGGTTTGGTCGTCGTTATGATGCAGAGAGAGTGTCGTGTACTGTGGGTGCAAGAGATGTTTTGTGGAAAAACGTGAGCCAACCCCACGTTCCAAGAAATAAAACAGCATCAACGTCTTTTACACTCTCGCTCTCTCTCTCTCTCTCTTTCATTCAATCTGCTTAAAAGCGTTTATTAACTACTCTCTCTTTTATTATTCTCTAATTGTTTCTAATAAAACCTCAGCGAGAGCGAAGAAGAAGAAGAAGAAGAAGCAGATATTTTCTAGTGTTGCTGCTGCTCTGCTCTGCCTAACTCAGCTGTAAGTTCTTTCTTTTCTTCCTTCCTCCATTCTCTACTGTGGGATCTTGCGTTTTCCTCCTTCAATGTACACTCTTTCTATATCCCATGAGAAAAGATTCGATAACGAATCGTGGGGTTTGTTCATCTTTGTTGAAACTTATACAGTAAATCTCAACAAAGTTTTGTTTTTTCTTTTTGCCTTTTCTTCTCTTTTTTTTTACTGATGAAAAAAGGTTGCTTTTTTTTTTTCTGTTTGGATGGTGAGATACACAAAGTATCAGAATTTGGGGGGTTTTAGTTTGTTTTAAATGATATTTCTAATCTGACTAGTGAGAGAACTCTTTCTTATCTTCAGTTTGTGTCTTTTGTATTTCCAGAATTGCCCCCTGTGTTAACGAAGATGAGCAGAGTTTCCGGAAGAATCATCGTAGGGAGCCTTCTATGGATGTGTGTGTGGGTGTGTTGTAATGGGGATGGGGAGTATGTGTTGTACAAGGACCCCAAACAGACCGTGTCAGATCGAGTTGCGGATTTGTTTGGTAGAATGACTTTGGAAGAGAAGATTGGTCAGATGGTGCAGATTGATAGAAGTGTTGCCACTGTTAACATAATGAGAGATTACTTCATCGGTATGCAAACAACAATCTTACTTTGATTTTTTTATTACTTGGCTGGCTAATTTGGTTGCTTCTCCAATTTCTCTCATTTTGGGCATACTGAATTGTTTCTTTGGTAAATCAGGCGGTTTAAATGTTATTGTTAGTTAAATTGAGGGGTGTTCATTCAAATTTAGCCTTCATTTTACTTCAGTCTTTCATCATCTTGTTATTATTAGACCTAGATAAGCTGAGTAGTACTTGGTATTGAGTGTTCAGATTTGTGAAACTTGAAGAATATGTCTCTTTGTTTTGTACAGGCAGTGTATTGAGTGGTGGTGGGAGTGCTCCACTTCCTGAGGCAACCGCTCAGAATTGGGTTGATATGATAAATGAGTATCAGAAGGGAGCTTTAGTGAGCCGTTTGGGGATCCCTATGATATATGGCATTGATGCCGTTCACGGGCATAACAATGTCTATAACGCTACTATTTTCCCTCACAATGTTGGTCTTGGAGCCACCAGGCAAGTATTAGCTAAAACGTTTATCTGATTTTGCATGTTTCCCGTCTCTGTTTTTGTGAGCGCTATCAATATTTCTTCTGCTGATAGTTTGAGTTTCACAGGGATCCTGATCTGGTTAAGAGGATTGGAGCTGCTACTGCACTCGAAGTCAGAGCCACTGGAATTCCATACACCTTTGCGCCTTGCATTGCAGTAAGTTTCTGTATTCTTGATCTTATAAGTTTTCACCTTCTGTCAGAGTCTTATTAATCTGGCACCTTCATATCTTTGGTAGTTTGGACATTTGTTGAAGTTGTTTCTCACTCGTTTTTGTAGGTTTGTAGAGATCCCAGATGGGGTAGGTGTTATGAGAGCTACAGCGAGGATCACAAAGTTGTGGAAGACATGACAGATGTCATACTTGGTTTACAAGGAGAGCCTCCTTCCAACTATAAGCATGGCGTTCCTTTCGTTGGTGGCAGGTAAGGTTTTTACTAATTTGGTTGTGCTATATGAGCCTTACATAAGTATGTTCTTCCTTTCATGCATGTTATTTTGTCAGGGATAAAGTTGCAGCATGTGCCAAGCATTACGTGGGAGATGGTGGGACAACCCGAGGAATTAATGAGAACAACACGGTGACTGATTTACATGGTCTTCTTAGCGTTCACATGCCTGCTTACGCTGATGCAATTTACAAAGGTGTTTCCACAGTGATGGTTTCATATTCAAGCTGGAATGGTGAGAAGATGCATGCAAATACTGAGCTGATCACAGGGTATCTTAAGGGTACCCTTAAGTTTAAGGTCTGCCTACTTTTTTTCCTCGTCAGATGTCAACCACAACTTCAGTGCACATGCTCTGTGTTCTGGCAGTAGTCTTTCTGAGTGAATATTGCTCTTGTCGATGTATTTTGTACAGTATTGAATAGAACCTTTATTAGAGCATGTGTGAATTCTTAGATCAAGGAGTTGATTTTTTAGTTCTAATTCCAACTTATCATCTCTATGATATGTGCAGGGTTTTGTTATTTCGGATTGGCAAGGAGTTGATAAGATTTCCTCACCACCACATACAAACTACACAGCTTCCGTCCGAGCTGCAATTCAAGCTGGAATTGATATGGTTTGTATTTCAAACTTCACAGACATTCCTGGACTGAGATCGGAAAATGTTACTCATATCTGTGTTTGCTAATGAAATAATATGCAGGTCATGGTGCCCTTCAATTTTACAGAGTTTGTCAATGATCTTATGTCCTTGGTAAAAACCAAAGTAATTCCTGTCACCCGGATTGATGATGCTGTCACGAGAATCCTGCTTGTCAAGTTCACCATGGGTCTTTTTGAGAACCCTTTGGCTGATTACAGCTTTTCCAATGAACTAGGAAGCCAGGTTAGTTGCCTAATAATCCAGAGCTAGAATCTGTTGCAAGTACTACAAAATCTTGATGGAATGTTTTCAATATCTATTAGGCACACAGAGACTTGGCAAGGGAGGCTGTTAGGAAATCCCTTGTGCTTCTGAAAAACGGGAACAAAACCAATCCTATGCTCCCACTTCCCAGAAAGACTTCAAAAATCCTGGTCGCTGGCACTCACGCTGATAATTTGGGCTATCAGTGTGGTGGTTGGACCATAAACTGGCAAGGATTTACCGGTAACAAGAACACGAGGGGTATGTTGTGCAACTCTTGCTATCATCTTGAGGCATAGTGAAACAAATATCTTAAGCAATGATGAAAGACATAGTTAGTTGATGAACATTTCAGCAATTAATATACATTTTTTATGATTCAGGGACTACACTTCTTGGGGCGGTAAAATCAGCTGTTGATCGAAGCACTGAAGTTATCTTCCGCGAAAATCCAGATGTTGAATTCATCAAATCGAACAACTTTGCTTATGCAATCATTGCTGTTGGTGAACCTCCATACGCAGAGACAGCTGGAGATAGCGACAAGCTAACTATGCTGGACCCTGGTCCAGCAATTATTAGCTCCACTTGTCAGGCTGTCAAGTGTGTGGTTGTGGTCATTTCAGGCAGACCGCTTGTGATGGAACCTTATGTTGCCTCGATTGAGGCATTGGTTGCAGCGTGGCTACCAGGAACAGAAGGACAAGGTATCACTGATGCTCTTTTTGGGGATCATGGCTTTAGTGGAAAACTTCCTGTTACGTGGTTCAGAAACACAGAGCAGTTGCCTATGAGCTATGGAGATTCACATTATGACCCACTCTTTGCTTACGGGTCTGGTCTTGAAACCGAATCTGTTGCAAGCATTGTTGCAAGGTAAAATGCTTCACACAGCTTCTTGTTCCATCGTTTCAGTATGCTCTGACACAAGATTAAGATTCTTAACCCCTTATTTTGGTTGCAAACAGGTCAACCTCAGCTTCTGCTACTAGCACAAAGCCTTGCTTGATCACTGTCCTTGTGTCTGCGACAATTAGTCTATTTTTCTTCCCAAGGTATCATCACCAGTTTCAACTGCCGTTTTGATTTCTCTTCTAAATTGGTAAGGATCTGACATTTCTGAGGTTACTATTTTTTTGTAGCTTAAGCCGAGTTCTGAGAAGATGAAAGCTACAAAAGCTTGGAGTAGATAATTCTTTCGGTTATCTGATCCTGGGAGTTTTTTTTTTCGTAACGTAGTTTTGTTCTTCTAGCCTAGCAAAAGAGATCCTGAACCTGTGTCATGTTATGTTCAGAGTTATTGCAACCTGAAACATCTTGAATATTTGAACTGGAACGTTCTTCTATTTAGGTTCTTTACATTCTCTACTGACTGTTTGTTCTCTTCTTTCAAACCATCATTCTTGAATTTACGTTGTGGGCAATAATGGTAAGAGAGAATATATTATCTATCTCAACTGATAAAAATTCAAAAGTGACGTCACGGGGATACAAGACATAAGCAAACTTGTGAAGAAAGCAAGAGAACAATATGCTTTCTTTGTAAGAGAAGAAACATATGATGACCTGAGACTAAAGAAGAGATTTTGATGAACAGAAGACATAGCGGCAAAACTAGGAATATCCATTGCATAGCAGAAGAGAAAATGGCCAAGTATTGCAGAAATTTAAAGACTTATATATATGCAGAGCAATAAACCTTAACATTATTATCAAAGCTCAAATTAGCCAATTCAGAAGAGATCATCATCGTCAAAGAAGTAATTAATATGGCAGCCAGACAGCAACAGAAACGAACAGGCTTTGGGATTCAGTACGAGGATCTTGTCCCCAAATCCGAATGGAAGGATCAACCAGACGCCACAATTCTCACAATTGATCTTCCAGGTTGGTATACAAAAATATATTGGACTAATGGTGGTGGTTTAATTCTGACGTGAATTGGTTTTAAAAGGTTTTGCAAAGGAGCAAGTAAAGGTGACGTATGTGCACACCACAAAGATGATAAGAGTCACTGGAGAACGTCCTTTGGCTGATCGGATATGGAGCCGTTTCAACGAGGTTTTCACTGTTCCACAGAACTGTCTAGTAGATAAGATCCATGGGAGTTTCAAGAACTATGTCCTCACCATCACCATGCCAAAGGAGACGATCACGAAGGTGGCTAATCTTCCAGAATCCTCTAAAACTGAGGCTGCTGCTCTGGATAAGGTGGCGAAGCTAGAGGAGAAGAGGTTGTTGGAAGAATCTAGAAGGAAAGAGAAGGAAGAGGAAGAAGCCAAGCAGAAGAAGAAGCAGCTTCTGGAAGAGAAAGAGGGGCTAATTAGGAAGCTGCAAGAAGAAGCTAAAGCAGACAAGGAGGCTGCAATAAGGAGGTTACAAGAAACAAAAGAGAAGGCCGATGCTTTGAAGCTTCAAGAATTAATTGAGAAACTCGAGGAAAAAAGGCTTGAGGAGAGGAAGCTTGAGGAAATGGTGCTTGTAGAAGAAGCTCAACTAAAGAGAATCCAGGAGAGAAAGCCTGTTGATGAATCAGCTGGAGGAAGAGAGAAGATACTAAAGCCAGAAGAGAGAAAGCTTCCAGAAGTGGTCTATACAAAACCCGGTCCCGTGTCTGGTCCCAAATCCGAGTCCGGGTCTGGTCCCAAGCCCGGGTTAGGAGTGGTAGGCGAGGTGGTGAAATCAGCGGAAGAAAAAGTAGGATACTTGGTGGAGAAGGAGAAAAAAATGGGGAAAGGGATAATGGACAAAATAAGGAGAAAAGAGATAACAAATGAAGAGAAGAAGTTGATGATGAATGTAGGAGTGGCTGCGCTTGTTATCTTTGCTCTTGGAGCTTACGTCTCTTATACCTTTTGCTCTTCATCTTCATCCCCTTCATCTTCTTCGTCTCCTTCTTCTTCATCATCTTCTACCAAACCAGAATGAGATCTCTTATAAGAAGAAGTTGTGTGAATTGAAGAATGTATATGTTATACTGTACTTTGTAACTGTGATATATTCTGAAATCTAATAAAGTTTGGTGATTTCATATATTTAAAACATGTATATCAGCAGAAACAGTTATGCTTGTAAAACTTTTCTCCAAGACCAAGATGATATGCCACATGCCAATAGTAAAAAGCCTTGTTCAATTATATAATTCACAACCATTAAGACAACTAACATTATCTTTCAGTTCTATTACGAGTTTGATTTTATTTTTGGGATTGTTTGTCCTAAAGACATACAGTACAATATTTCGAGTGTATGTATGCTTCCAAATTACTTTGAGACAAAAATAAATAAGCCTGAACATAACGAGGACCAAACATTAATTTTGTCAATTAAACAGATCATGAAATCCATAAACCCTAAACCCTTGAGAATTGAAGACAGAGAGAGCTGAAAGCTATAGTAGTCCTATGCTATCGATCTTCTCCGACCAAATAAACAGTGTCTGGGAGAGAACCCAGTTGAATTGGGCACTGAGAGAAGCAGAAAGTAATTAACCTCATTTGCCGGAGAACGGTAAGTAGACAAGAAAGACGACTGAGGTTAAGAACCATGCCTCATCGTCCATTTCGTTTTCTAGAATGCGTTTCACAAAACGAATAAGCCTCTTCTTGGGGCAGACGACCAAGATTCATAGCCGTTCTCTGTTGGGATATCCGTCTTTCCACAGAATTTTTACAGTTGTTCCGGTCTCTAATTCGCCGGCGTTTCTGATTTCGAGCCGCAGTGGTGATGGTGTCACGGGATCGTTCTACCCAATACATCGGCGTTTCATTGGTCACACTGCGGAACAGTTCTCCGATGATGAATACGAGTGTGAATTCGAGGAACATAAGGTTCGTGTTTTGGTAAATTGTTTAGATAAATGGAATCAGTCATCAGCTTCGTGTGTTTTGGAAAAGTTCCAGCTCTTGAAACATTTGAGTTCAGACAATTAAGATTACTCGGTTTCGATCTCCAGAGTCTAAAGTTTCTCTAAAAATGGAAACTTTAGGTGTTTGGGAGGATGAAACGCTAGATAGATAGATAACTGTCGATCAATTGTTTAGTGGAATGACTATATGTAAATGAGAGTTTCTTTAAACACTTTCTGTTTGATCCTTTTACTTGGGAAATGAATTGATACATGGCGTGAACTGGTTTATAGGCTTCATCTTCTGTGGCCAATGTTGATGAGTGGAAGTGGAAGTTAGGCATTCTGTTGGCCAATGATAGCGAACAAGAAGTTGTTTCCAGAGACAAAAGGGATCGTAGGGATTATGAGCAGATTTCAAATCTTGCCAAGAGAATGGGACTGTACAGGTATATAACTAGACCTTTATTTCGTCAATAACCTGTTTCTTATCATACACTATGGTCTAACCTGATTCTTGTTTCTTTGGATTTTTGGTTCCTATTTAACAGTGAAATTTACGGAAAAGTGGTGGTTGCAAGCAAGGTTCCTCTTCCCAACTACCGGCCAGATTTGGATGATAAGCGACCACAACGAGAGGTAACAGTCCCTCCCTTGATTTACCAAAATGATAAGGCACAATTTATTTTTGCTGAACCTGTAATGCATTTCCTCGTGCAGGTGGTACTTCCTTTGAGTTTGCAAAGAAGGGTAGAGGGACTTCTCCAGGAACACCTTGATAGACAGCAGCTACTCTCAGGGAAGGCTAATGAAGGCGTAGCTGATTCTCAACCTTCTAAACAGACTGAAGAACTTCCCGATGAAACTTCTGATTCGTTTCTCGATGGTTCTGTTATGGAGAAGGTACTTCAGAGAAGGAGTATGCGGATGCGCAATATGCAGAGAGCCTGGCAGGTATTACTCAATTATCTTTACCTTGTTCCGCTTATCTTTTCATCAAAGAGTTTTTACCAAAGCAATAGTTGTTTGGTTGAATTATAGGAATCCCCTGAGGGAAGGACGATGCTGGAATTCCGTAAATCTTTGCCTTCATTTAAGGACAAAGAAAGACTTCTTCAAGCTATTGCTCGGAACCAGGTAAAAATTTAGAGATGGTAATCTTTTCATTGCTACTGTGATTGGATATTCACTTTATTGTACGTATTTGACTGTCAAAATTCTCAGGTAATAGTTGTATCTGGGGAGACTGGATGTGGTAAGACAACTCAACTACCGCAATACATTTTGGAATCAGAGATAGAGTCTGGTCGAGGAGCATTCTGCAACATCATTTGTACACAACCTAGGAGAATATCTGCCATGGCAGTTTCAGAAAGAGTGTCAGCTGAGAGAGGAGAACCTCTTGGTGAAACGGTTAGAAAGATGCTTAAGCTTCATTTGAGCACCAATTCGAATGTCGTCTGATTACTCCAATGAACACTAAAAATTTGTTTAAAGATGCTTGCTTGTTAATAATTTTGTACCTAAGAGAGATTTTTTTGATAGGTTGGGTTTAAAGTTCGGCTAGAAGGAATGAGAGGAAAGAATACCCATCTTTTATTTTGTACAAGTGGTATCCTACTTAGACGCCTGCTTAGTGATCGCAATTTGAATGGTGTAACACATGTATTTGTTGATGAGATCCATGAAAGGGGAATGAATGAAGGTACAAAATTTATATATCTAATGTATGTTTAGGTTTCTGCAAATCGAGTCTCATAATTGTTTATCCCGCTCGCTTCGTGGTTGCAGATTTCTTAATTATAGTGTTAAAGGAGCTTCTTCCACGGCGTCCAGATCTGAGATTGATTCTCATGAGTGCCACTCTAAATGCTGAACTCTTTTCTAATTATTATGGAGGGGCACCAACCATTCACATTCCTGTAAGACAATGTTTGTCCCCAATGAGTCTTGACACACTGGACATTAAGTACGCTTTCCTTGTTTCAAAGTAATTCTATGTCAAGCCTTGAATGTATATATAATTTCAGGGATTTACACATCCAGTGAAGGCACATTTTTTGGAGGATGTACTGGAAATAACGGGATATAAGTTGACCTCTTTTAACCAAGTTGATGACTATGGTCAAGAAAAGACATGGAAAACGCAAAAACAGTTAATGCCTCGCAAAAGAAAAAACCAGATCACTACTCTTGTTGAGGTACTTAGCTAATTTTTGTACATAAATGGAAATTCCTTAGAATTAAAGTTTCAAGCTTCATATGACGGGTTAAGGGTAATCTGCTAATTTGCAAGTCTTACCAATCTATGTTTCTAGTAATGAAGTACGTTTGCTGAGCAAACCAAATTTTCGAATAACTTTATTCAACAATCTTTCTTTAAAACTGCAGGATGCTCTCACCAAGTCAAATTTTGAAAACTATAACTCTAGGACACGTGATTCACTTTCGTCTTGGATGCCTGACTGCATAGGATTTAATCTCATTGAGGCTGTTCTCTGTCACATCTGCCGAAAAGAACGTCCAGGTGCTGTATTAGTATTTTTGACAGGATGGGATGACATCAGATCCCTAAGCGACCAAATCAAAGCCCATCCTCTCTTGGGGGATCCCAATAGGGTCTTACTATTGATGTGCCACGGCTCAATGGCAACTGCTGAACAGGTAGATTTATATCTTCTTGTGTACCTTGTTTCCTTTCAATTTGAGTTGTTACTCAGGAGAAGCACTAGTTATAACTTATTTAACATGTGTCCCTCCGTTTCTTGATTTCTCTCTAACTTATTTCTTTGATATTTCTGCAGAGACTCATTTTTGAAAGAGCACCTCCTAATATTCGAAAAATTGTTCTTGCTACAAACATGGCAGAAGCTAGTATTACTATAAACGATGTAGTTTTTGTGGTCGACTGTGGAAAAGCAAAAGAAACCACCTATGATGCTTTGAACAATACACCTTGTTTGCTACCCTCCTGGATATCCCAAGCTTCTGCTCGACAGGTACAATCTTTCTTGTAATTCCTTTCACAACATTGACTCCTTCAAATGATTTGATTGCATGATTACCTTTGATTCAGTTTCAAAAACATATATTTTGCTTTGTCTGGTGCATCTTTTGATAGCTATAAAACTTTCTCATTTGATTTTTCCAACATTTCCCTCTATTTGGCCTTCAGAGAAGAGGAAGAGCTGGGCGTCTGCTTCCGGGAGAATGCTATCACTTGTACCCCAAATGCGTCTATGACGCTTTTGCGGAGTATCAACTACCTGAACTTCTGAGAACTCCTTTAAACTCTCTCTGCCTGCAAATCAAAAGTCTTCAGGTTGATAGCATTGCAGAATTCTTGTCAGCTGCACTTCAGGCTCCAGAGTCTTTAGCTGTAAGTGACAGATAAATGCCTTCATGGGGATTTTGCCAATTTTTATTTTACTAGTAACATGGTTGATTGATTATCAGAATCTTTCTATTTGGATATTTGATTCTAAATTCTTGAGAGTAGTCCAAATAACTGTAAATATCATGACAGGTTCAAAATGCTATTGGATTCCTGAAAATGATTGGAGCACTGGATGAGAAGGAAAATCTAACGAATCTTGGTTTGTGTTCAAAGTGCTGGAAAATTGTGTCCAACTTTTTCTTTTACCTTCATGTATCACAACTGACTTTCCTGCTTGCTTTCTTTTTGACCCGTTGTAACTAGGAAAACTCTTATCGATTCTCCCCGTTGATCCCAAGCTGGGGAAAATGCTGATAATGGGTGCCATCTTCCGCTGCTTTGACCCGATCCTGACAATTGTATCAGGGCTCAGTGTCAGAGATCCTTTCCTTCTACCTCAAGACAAAAAGGACGTAAGTAGAAGGACTAAGTGTAACATTTGTCATGATGTATAGTGATTGGTTGATTAATTGACAAATAATTGTTCTTAAAACATAAATCAAAGAACATCTGATGATGATACCTCGTTTTATTTTAGTTAGCTTTATCAGCCAAGTTGAGATTCTCAGCCAAAGACTACAGTGACCATATGGCACTTGTTCGTGCGTTTGAGGGGTGGAAAGATGCTGAAAGAGAAGGATCGGCTTATGAGTTCTGTTGGAGAAATTTCCTGTCAGCTCAGACGCTTCAGGCGATACATTCTCTGAGGAAGCAGTTCAATTATATTCTGAAAGAAGCTGGATTAGTACATGATGATTCAGCTCTGAACAACAAACTAAGTCATAACCAGTCTCTGGTTCGTGCTGTCATTTGCTCTGGCCTATTCCCCGGAATAGCATCTGTTGTGGTAAGTCTAATAATTACCCATGTCTCTGGCTAAGTCTCTTTTCTTCTGTCAGAAGGTTCGGTTACATAACATATTACCATTTTTCTTGCACAGCATAGAGAGACTTCCATGTCATTTAAAACAATGGATGATGGCCAAGTGTCACTATACGCGGTGGGACTCTTCAATCATATTTCTCAACACAATTGGTTAAATCTCTCAATACAGCCTTTGTTTATATAAATGATTTTATTTTTTTACGATTTCCATGTTCAGAATTCTGTCAATTCGCGGTTCCCAACCATTCCATACCCTTGGCTAGTCTTTGGAGAGAAAGTAAAGGTCAATGCTGTGCTCATACGGGACTCCACTGGTGTCCCTGATTCCAGTTTGATCCTTTTTGGTGGTGCACTGAGCTCTGGAGTACAGGTGATTTATCTCATTTTCCTCTTTTTAACCCTTGCACGATTCAGAATATGGAATATTCTGGGATTGAATGGGTTAAATCTTGTGTTGTTTCCAGGTGGGACATCTTAAAATGCTAGACGGGTACATTGATTTCTTCATGGATCCAAATTTGGCTGATTCCTACGTAAAGCTAAAGGAAGAGCTTGATAAGCTTCTTCAAAAAAAGGCAAGTTTTTTTTTTCCTTTTCAACTTCAACAGTAGAAAAACAGTTTGTAATGCAGCTCTTTAACACCATTAGTATCTTTGCGATTTGCAGCTCGAAAATCCAAACATGGACATCCACAAAGAAGGCAAGTACCTCATGCTTGCAGTTCAAGAACTTGTTGCTGGAGACCAATGTGAAGGGAGATTTGTCTTTGGTCGTGACACAAAGAGGCCAAGCCAACTGCAAATAGGAGAAAACAAACACTCCAAAGACGGGACAAACCCAAAGAGTCTCCTTCAGACACTTTTGATGAGAGCTGGACACTCACCTCCAAAGTACAAGACAAAACATCTCAAGACAAACGAATTTAGAGCACTTGTGGAGTTTAAAGGGATGCAGTTCGTTGGTAAACCTCAGAGGAATAAAACGCTGGCAGAGAAAGATGCAGCTGTTGAGGCCTTAGCTTGGTTGACTCATACTTCTGATAATAGTAATGGCCAGCACAATGAGGATGCAGATTCTCCACCTGATGTAACCGATAACATGCTTAAACTCCTCGGAGGACGGCGCAGGCGGTCCAAGGGAAAGTAATTGAAACTCTCTGTAGGTTTGTTTCGCAGGCGGAATTGGTTTTGTGTATTTGCTTTGGACGATCCTACAGCAGATGTACTACTATATTTATACTTAACTATATAGTGTCATTTAGGAGACAAAACAATAGTATATACCGTTATTTAATGAAACTTTTTTTTGGGGGTATACTTACTTTTAATTGTGACGTTTAATATTGTTTGCGTTTAAAATTGTATATTTTCTTCCAAAATATATATACAGTAAATTAAATTATATATTTTTTTAAAAAATGCTAGTTTTCACAAGTTAATATGAATATGGCATCCAGTAAATAAACCGTAAATATACCATAATCATAGTAAAAGTTTTAAAAGGAGCTGTCAGAAGAAAAATAAAAAATAAAAGGCAAATTTCCATATTTGGTGAAGCGCGTAGATTTAAGAAAAAAGGAAAAAACGTTTTTGGTTTTTCCTTTTTTCAGATATTTCCAAATTTAATAAAATATATACATTAAATTATATTTGAAAAAATGATAACTAGTTTTCACAGGTGAATATATTTCATCTAATGGCTAAAATAGAAAGCTGACAATTGTTTAACCGTGGGTTCTCTCCTCTATATAAAGATGAGGTCTCCACTTCGCTGACACAAAAAACATAGAAGAGACTCTTCACTCTTCTCACCTGAAAAGTTCAGAGAGTAAAGAAAAAATTTAGTAAGAGAGAGGGTTCATAACGGCGACGAGAGTAAACATATATGAACAAATCAGAGGTATGTTCTTTTTGTTGCCTTCTTCTAAATCTATGAATCTATTTGATTTTTTTAACTGAGTTGTTGTTTGATTTGAAACGATTTGAGTTAAAAAGTTTGTCTTTTTGATTTGTGTCTTTTGGATTCTGTTGAAATATGTTTACTATTCCCACGAAGCTTCATCATTGGTCATTGATTCTACTTATGGATGGTTTTTCACAGTCTCGACTCAGCACGAACCCTTACCTTGTCTTTTGTCCGCTTCACTTCAAGTTCCGTTTCACCGAGTGAGTTTGATTGAATCTGCTTAAAGTTTGATTTTTTTTATTTTCTTTTCAATGTTACTTCTCCTCTAGGGTGGAGAAGTTGCTTTCTTCATAGAATCGGGGATGATGCACTATATGACGCAGCAACAACTACGATGGAATGTAAATTTGATATCCTTTTTCTTGATCTCTGTAACTGACTAAAAATCCCTTTTTTGTTTTAACCTGTTTAACGTTAATCCTTTATTCAGATGTGGAGTTATTGACAACCAAGCTTGCTTTGTGTAAAGTTATCATATAACTGTGGACAACACTTTATCCCCTGTAAGTAATTCCCGATACTTGAGTTGCATCTTCTTTCACTACTCGTTTGTTTTTTCAACGTCTTGTTACATATTGTTTTGCCATGTGTCTTTCAGGCCCATGTGGGTATCATCATCCCAAAACCAGTTGGAGATGCTACATGTCCTCCAAAAGTTGAAACCTTTTGTCTGTAATCTCCATCTGAAACTAATGAACCTGCACTCTTTTCTTTTCTCTTCTTTGGGAATTCCTTACTTTGATATATCTGTTCATTCTCAAGTTACAATTATCATTAATTATCTGAATTGCTGCAGTATGACAAAATTGGAGCGTACAATTGAAAAGACTATCCTTTTCTCAGTTCCAGAATTTATATACATCACGTTTCAGCTCATTTGGTTCCTACTATCGCTTTCCAGGTCTCCGTGGGTGGTGGTTTACTCGCTGCTTGGTTATATTTGAGTAAGCACTTACCTACTTGTCATTTTCTATCTTCAAGCCCACTCACTAGTATATAAATTTTTTTTAGTGTTTTGCTATCTGCAGATTGTCTTGTTACAGGAGGTTTCCTTCAACATTGGCGAATCTGTAAAGAATAGAGATACTGATTCAGGATGCTAACGAGAAGGCAGTAACAAATATCAGACTTCTAAGTTTGGTAACAGACTAAAACTCTTATCAAAATTTGTCTATGTCTTTACATGGAACCACAGAAGCAGCAGGATAGGAAGTAAAAGCATCTAATTGCGCCTCCTTCCAACTACAAGCATGGCGTTCCTTTCGTTGGTGGCAGGTAAGTCTTTTGCTAATTTGGCTGTGTTATATGAGCCTTACATAAATTTGTTCTTCCTTTCATGCGTGTTCTTTTTTCAGGGATAAAACAATAGTATAGGGTTATTAACATCAACACCCCAAAACTTGAGGGGCTTTGATGTAGTTTTGACAATAATTGGAGCATTTATCATCTTATATTTCGCCACGTGGCATTTTGCTCTCAAGGACTTGCTTGCTTACGCAACATCTCTCTGTCTCTCTCTCTCTCTCTGAGCTTCTCTGTAATGGCTACTTGGAGTGGTTTCAATGTCTCTTCTTCTCCGTTGGTTAGGCTTCGTTCTTACTCCGTCGCAAATTCCTCCCAACTTCCGTTTCTCTCTCCTCTTTGCCGCCGTCGGTTACTGGCAGAACGCTTCGGTCTCGCAACTATAGTTGTTTCGCGCCAAGACCTCCCAGTTTCTCCGCCGCATGCGGCGGCAATGGAAGCTCGCGTCTCAGGAAAGAGAGAACCCATGGTGCCTCCGTATAACGTATTAATCACTGGCTCAACAAAAGGTTTCATTCATTCTCTGTCCTTGTCAATTTACTCTTGGCTGTGTTAATCTTCACGAATTCGTTTATTTCAGAAAGAGGAAAAAACATAACACATAATCATCTCATTGTGAGTGGTGTTTGGTTTTAATGTTGTTCAGGTATAGGATATGCATTAGCTAGAGAGTTTTTGAAAGCAGGCGACAATGTTGTGATTTGCTCTAGATCATGTGAGAATCTAAGAACCAGTCCCCATTGTTGTTTTGAAGACCTTTTCTTAGAATTCGTGAGTCAGTTAGAAACGATCTAACAAGTATTTTTGCTGATATGACTGTTCCTATCCTGCAGCTGAACGAGTTGAGTCTGCTCTTCAGAGTCTTAAGGACGAATTTGGGGAGCATGTGTGGGTACCGCCTTCTTTTACTCTTCCTGTTCCATTTGCCTCTTCTTCTAAAACTTTTTTTGCTTAATGATAATACCATGAAGTTTAATGCTTAGATTATTTCTCTTAGTAGGGAACTAAGTGTGATGTTAGGGAAGGGAAAGATGTGAAGGAACTCGTTGCTTATAGTCAGCAGAATCTGAAATACATTGACATTTGGGTAATACTTCCTTTTTTTCTCGATTTACACTTCCAACCATGATGAACATCCCATTATTCAGAAGTAGTCATACAACATTTTCATTAAGAGTGTAGTACACATAGATGTATGTGTCATTGTCTTATTTACTGTCTTGAGATGATGCAGATAAATAATGCGGGATCTAATGCCTACAGCTTTAAACCTTTGGCAGAGGCTTCGGATGAGGATCTTATGTAATCCTTCGTTATAAGCCTGATCCCTGTCTTCTGTTAGTTTCTCAGTATCTCTATATTTGTTTTCTCATTAACTATTCTAAATTCTTTATGCAGCGAAGTTGTGAAAACCAATACCCTTGGTCTGATGTTATGTTGCCGAGAGGTAGTGTATCGACTTTAAAGATATATATTCAGCGCCTGTTACACTATTATTTGTGGATTGACTGACATGTTTTCATGATCAACAGGCAATGAATATGATGTTGACACAATCTCGAGGTGGTCATATCTTCAATATTGATGGAGCTGGTTCAGATGGGAAACCAACACCCAGGTTTCCCAGATTCATCCACCATACTTTGAAATTCATTGAAATATCTTGAATTGGCAGATCTGTCTTAGGCTCTCTTGTAGGTAATATCTAATATGTCTTTGTTTTATACTAATACGTTTGACAGGTTTGCTGCTTATGGTGCAACTAAACGAAGCGTTGTTCACTTGACAAAGTCATTACAGGTATGCCAAAGTAATCATTTGTTGAATTCCTCTTTATTTTCGCTTCTCCTTGTATGATTTCTCTACTTGTCTCCGTCTTTCATAGGCTGAGTTGCAGATGCAAGATGTTAAAAATGTTGTGGTGCACAACCTTTCGGTATGTATTCAAGATATATGTGGTCATGTTTTTTGGGGGTTTTTTCCTTTCCCATTAAGTTCTTGGTGTTAGTATCCTCCTGGATACATTTCTGAGCCTTCTTTCATAAAGAACAAAGCTTATGGAACAAACACATGCGCATAGAGATCAATATAATTGTCTCTATTACTGTCATTTGAATAATTAGAAAAATTCAAAGAGCTAACCATGTGGTTCTAATGTGTTTTATGGGTTATTCTTACAGCCTGGAATGGTCACAACTGATCTACTCATGTCTGGAGCAACAACAAAACAAGTTAGATGACTTTACACAAAAACAATATTAGATTAATTTCCAAGATATTTTTCTAATTTTCTCCGTTGCAGGCCAAGTTCTTCATTAATGTATTGGCAGAGCCAGCCGAAGTGGTAAGAAACCAAAATCTCTATTATTTTTTAGAACATGATCTCAATAATCTCTAGTGCGCATGATTCGTTATTTGTGATTACACATGCTTTTGCAGGTGGCTGAGTACCTAGTCCCGAACATAAGGGCGATACTGGCTAGCGGATCGATGAAGCCGACTTACATTCGTTTCCTAACCGGAATCAAAGCCTACACCAAAATATTCTCAGTTAAGACAATAAATAGTCGCATAAAAGTAGATCAAAGGATGAGATTCATGTCTGCAAATACTAAACCATTTTGTTATCTCCTTGTCAATTTTGGGGTTTTGTTTCAGAGAGTTGCATTGGGAGCAAGGAAGAACAGGTATGTGACTGAAGACTAGGAATCAAAACTAAAGGATTAGAATTGTATTGGTTTTCCTGTTTGTTGAATGGTAAATAAAAATCTCTACAAACTGTTGTGTAAGTTGTTTCACTTCTTATAAAAAAAAAGTTGTTTAACTTCATCTGCGAAGAAGCTACAGACTTCAAAATAAATGATGTAGTGATGATTAACAATTGATAACCGGGTGCTCGCTGACCCAAAAATGCAACATTCAAACCCGGGAAACCAAGTAAAACCCATTTACAATATACCGCCTCAACCCGATTTCCATAAAGCGTTCAAAATCAATTTACGGTTCAACTTAGTGAAATAAGTTAAACCGAGTAGTTCGCAACTTCTCTTGCTTCTTCTTCTCCTCCCTCTCGTGTTTGATAAGACGAAAGAGTCGGAAAAAGAGAAAGATCGGAGGATGAGTGCCGAAGATTTCCAGAAGAAGGTTTCCATCGGAGATTCCCCCGCCGGAGAAATCGAAACCGAATGTGGCGTTTCCGTAGGCGAGTCCAGCGTGGCCTCTCGAACCCTGGTTCTGCTTCGGAGTCTGCTGGAGATTCAGCAGCGTCGAGCTCAGGCGTACGCTAAGCTCAAAAGGTTCGATTGGTTATTCCAAATCTCTCAGAGTGTTATGCTATCAGTGATTTTTTTCTGTAGTGGTATTGGTTGAAGTTCCATCTCTTTTGATCCCTTGTCTTGGGTTTAACAAATTTGTTGAATGTTCTTGCTAGATATTAAATTTAATCCAACAATGTTAGGAATAAGAAAAGAAGATGTTTTTTTTTCATATTTCCTTCATGCGTAACACTGATCCCTTCATCAATGCCTCTGTATGCTATTCGTGTATCAGTGGATTCTCAGAGTATGTGGAGTCTGGTGCTGAACCACTTTATCAGAAGCTGTGCAGCGAGATTACAGCAGAGTTCAGTGAATGTTCGAAACAAGTATGGATATTGTCTCAGTGTTTGTTTTATTGAGTACCTTCATAAGGGTTGTTGAACACATCCTATGTTAAAGATTGAGCCTTTTGATGACAATGCAATGCAGGTGCGCGAAATGGAATCTCTGTTCCTGAATCCGGAAGTTGGAAGAGCTGATCTTGCTCAACTGCTCAGCGACATTCAAACTCAAGAGAAGCAGAAATTGCATCTGGTATCATCTCATTTACTCAAATCTAGATATCTCATATGGTTGAACAAAGTTTTATTAACTTTTTCCGCAGACTGTTACAAAACAGGTACTGAAGAAGGCAGGGAGACCGTCCGAACGAATGTTAACACATGAGAACTGCAAGTTTAAGAAACCGATGCAGCACGAGTGTGTGCATCTTCATGAGATTACAGAAGCTGCAGGAACAGAGGAAGCAGAAGCAGATGCAGAGTATGATAACGCTTTAAAGGAAGCCATTAGAGGAGTGCAAGACGCTGTGACTAGCATCAATGAGTATCTAGAAGACATTCGGTACGAGATTGAGGCCCTCGAAGCTGATTAATTCCTATCACTTCTTTAACTTTCTACAGAAAACTTTCAGTGTTTTAAAAGCTTGGTTTGTTTATATTTTTTGGTAATTTGTTAAAGCTTGGTTTATTAGCTTCTAAAAATACAGTATTTACAAAATGTGAAAAATGTTAAATGTGAATGGAATTTGCTTTATGTTTTCGTAACTATGCATTACGTTGGCTCTTGTCCATACTAATCTGATCGCACTCTGTTTCCGAGTTGATTATCTTTTCAGTTAGAATAGCAAATCCCAAAACTGCATCAAACCAAATTTTTCTCAATTTTCTTTTACACATTTTGTTACAAAATCAAACCGAACTATTTTCAGTTCTGGTTTACACACACCATAGCCCACAAAAAAATAAATGAGTTATTGGCATTTTGGGGTCAAAATGCTTATATTTATACTTTTGTATGTGTTCTTACAAATAGTCTACAGCAAAACTTGTCATACGGACAACATACTGGTCGCCTTGACCCATACACCGTACGTCCCAAAGTCTTTAACTCTGACAAAGACAAGAACGCAAATACAAAGGTTAATTAGTTACTCAAAGAACAACACAACAGAAAATAGATCATGGGTGTTAATTAACTTACATATGTAGATTGGTGGGATCGATCTCAGGAAACAGGTTGAAATAGAATCGAAGCCCGTCTGGGCTCATGTCTCTACACAGCAAACCTGTTCAGAAAAATGGAACGTAAGCATCGTATAAGTCTGATAGATACATGTTTCTCTAGGAGCAGACTTTGATCGGAGTTAGATTTGGTACCTTTGGTCTCTGCAGTTAGTAGATGTTCCTTAGCCATGGCTGGAGCGATCTTGAGCGTCAAAGCTGCATCACTAGCAGTGACTCCGGCTCTTAAAGTTTCAGTTTTGGTCACAAGCATTCTGATTCTACTCATCACCTAAATGGCCAGAAAAATTTGTCATCATGTGGATGGATGGATGAAAACAAATGTGAAAATTTAAGAATACCTCCTCATCACAAAAAATGAGAACTTTCTAAAGAGGAATCAAAGCAGTGATAGTGGGATAGAGAATTTTAAATATATGAGATTTAAGAATACCTCCTCATCGCTATGGGACTTGTTTTGGATGACCATCACACCGCTATCAAATTTCCGCAGCATTACTGGACTACCACAATCAAAAATACATGACAGATCAATATTTCTGCATGATGGCTTCTTATATGGTCAAAAGTACAAATCTGAACATGCAAAAGGAATCTAGGAAAAAATATCTGAAATATACATACACATCAAATTTCTCCCAGAGGGTACAAGCTTGCCACAAATCATCTGGAGAGATCAACTCTGTGCAAAGAAAAGTTTTTGATTTACAAACTGAAGTGAAGTAATATAATAAAGTACTCGGAATCAAATGTTATAGTCTATAAAGCTCCAACCTGTCCCACGAGCACGATTGAAGTGGTAATACATATCAGTAAGACTGATCATTCCTCCAGCTTGTTCTAATGGGATTCTGACAAAATCTGCCAACTGCAGGTATGTAAATAAAGATTTCAACCTCAACTTTATTTAGTTTGAAGGACTTGAAGAACATGAATTCCACAGATTCCAACACATTTTCTAGGGGCTAATATCACAATCTTAACAGTTGAAAGGTTCTCTACTAGAAAGTTATAGATTTTTCAGAAAAAATTAAACAAAAGTAATCATATTCCTAAGAAATACCCTTCATATAGATATCCTATCAAGCTGCCATTGAATGGAAAATCTCTGTTTCGAAGTTATCATGAAAAACTAATCTCTGTTACAAAATAAATTAAAGAGAACCTGGCGGGACAATTCTTGATGGTACAAGGCACCAGCAGATTCCTTTGTAACTGGAGAGATAATACCAACGCTCAACATCCACTGTTGCATTTCTTCTTTGGAACCCATTTCTTCATCATCAGTTAAACCATTCTGACTACTAGGAGCAGACAAGAGCTTTTGCCGCATTTTTTCTGCCAGGCTCACCATCTCTTTAGCCTTACTCTGTAAACCAAATAAATAAATTCAGACGCAATTTTTGACTTGAACATGAAACAAATAATCAAATAAGAACCATTTCCTTCTACAGACTGAGGTAATCCTAAAACAGTTGCAGATAGAGTCTTCAAGATCAAACCTCACAAAGAACAAGGTATAACATTTGAAAAGTAAATGTTCCAGACTTAATCATCTATCCATAAATTTCGTAACTTGGTATCAAAATCTCTACAAGGATGATGATAAAAGACTGAGGAGGAGGAAGGGCAAATACCATAAGAGCATTCAAATCCTGAAAAGCATCTTGCAAACTCTTGTCTGTGCTCTCCCACTGTTCTTGCTCTTTCCTCAATATCCCAGCCAATCCCACCATCCTCACAGTTCCATCGTTTCCGTATAAACCTTGCGCAACCGTTCCAGATCCTGACAGAGAAGTCTCACTTTCGGTCTTCTCCTCCTCTTCCCATGCTCTGCCTCTCCAACATTCCCAGAATTTCGTCAAAAATCCATCAAAATCCCCTTTCCCCCTAAAGACAATAGTCACCACAATCGAACCCGGATCCGCTTGAAATCGGATTCTCGGAGAATGGAACATAGACTTGATTGATTTCTTATGAGAAAAGATATGAGTAACGGCGGCGAGAGGAATCAAAGAAGGAACAGCTCCGTTTGATTGAGAAGGGATCCAAATGAGACGATGAGTGGTAAGAATAAGATTACCGGACTTCAAAGCGGTGAATCGCGGCGGATCATCTTCGGAATCGAAATCGACGGAGGAGAGGAGGAAACACTCGACCTCATTGCGTCGAAGCACTGGTCTACCACTGGTAGTCACCTCTGCGTTCTCAAACAAAACACCGACTCCGACGCTGCTTCCACTAGCCATGGTGACTCAATTCGGAAGCAGATCGATCATACAGCTTTTTAGCTGCGTTCCTCTCTAGTCCACCAATAGATCGGTTGACTTATCAAACTTGATTCGATTTCAACTACTACGATGATTCCCCCGGCGACGATCGATTGAGATGCCTGAGGTCAGAGAGATTCAACGGTGAACCGGAAGGAGATTGTTTTGAACACAATTTTCGAATGAGAACCTTGGTTTAGTGAAAATTATACTTTAGTCCTTAATAGTAAAACATATTTTTTAATTTTAGCTCATAGTTTTTAGTTTCACTTTAAAGTCCACATATATAAGTTTTGAAGTGAGGCGGTGTGTATATTAGCCACAATGGTGGATAGATACCAAATATAGAAATCAGCTGATATCTTTTTTGTTTTTTTTTTTTTTTTTTACCATAATTGATATTTTTTTTTTTTTTTTTTTTTTGGGTAAAAACCATAATTGATATTTATTTAAGCAAATATATACACCAACACCTCTAGTGATAGCACCTCTAGTGATAGCACCTCTAGTGATAGGTTTTGTTATTGATCCAGTCCGTAGGTTATATATATCAAGGTAACATCGTAAACACCTTTGAAATTCGATTTATTATACTATAAATGTTAATTTATCCATGATGATGCATAATGCATGTGACAATATCAATTTTACAACCATCGTTTATTTTTCTTTATAAATCTTGTTATTAAGTTATAACGTTCTGTGTAAAAAAAAAAGTATATATACATCAATCGCTAACATAGTGCAGATTAGTTGTGATATGTAACCTTTATAGAGATTGAACGTGCTTAATTAATTGATATTTTAAACAAACTTGTACGAAAGCGATGGCTTTAGGTGAATAATTAAATGTATAGAACATTGTTTAATCATTCATATACGTACATTGATACATATAACTCGGTTTCAATCATGTTAGTATGTCACGACGGACGATATGTGTACAGTATTAATGGAATATTAAAACCAATACTCGATAAGTGCTGACCAGTTTGCAATTCTTTAGAACTGTTTTATTTTTTTTTGGTTTTGTAAAACATTGAAAGGCTAAAAATAGCTTTCATGTGTGTTTAATTACTCTATGGATTATATTATTAAGAATTACTTAATAATCAAGGGCGTGGAAATCGTGTTTTCGAAATTATTTACACATTGGTGTGTGTGGTTGGCCATGTGATGTGTGAGTGAGCCACTTAAGTCTCTTGACTTGTTTGTCTCATTTGCTCTTTGTTTATTAGTAATAATTACAACTAATCTCTGAGTATGTCATAATATATGATCATACTCGTTCGGTAATGATAGTAACACAAGGTTTCTAGTTGAAACTTTAAACTAATTAACTAGCTATTTTAACGTTAAACTTTAGAAAAAAATATATATAGTATTTCGATTTATATCTTTTCGATTTATATCAGCGTGACCAATATCTATACATTCTTCTATATATTTTCAATGCGTTGATGTATATGTTCATGATGTAGTAGATTTAAGTTAGTTGTATCATTATTGTGTAATTTAATGCTAATACGTATTTTATTAGGTAGGTTTACCATTTCGATGACACAAAGTTTGCATACTTTTTAGTCTTTTAGACAAAAAACGTATAATCTTATATATGTAGACCATTTTATGTAATTCATGGTCTATGTATGAAAAGTATTTTAGCTACGCTAGAAGTGTTTCCTGATTTATCCGTTCATTTTGATAATTTTGTTTATATACTTTTATATATGATAAAATTTGTTTGGATTCATATACTTGTGAGAATACTTTTCGTTTTCATATTAATCCACATTTCTATTTAGAAAAATCAATTCAAAGCATCAACGTCAAACTTCAATACTAGATACTGAAATATATAGGTGACTGACGCGACATATAATCAAAATTCAAAAACTTAAATTAAAAAGGATCCAAAGAGTCAAACTTTATAATAAGAGATTAATTAACAAAATATGTTTAGGTGCTTAATACCACTGTACTATATACAGTATAGTGTTTAGATATTCAAAGTTGAAATCAGAAAAACAAAAAAGACAGATAACCACTATCACTAATCACTTTTTTATCCACTGTTAATTTTTTTTTACAAAGTAGGAATGTGTTGTTTTTCTTTTAAATTAGCATGCTTGTCCCGATTTAGGTAATTGCGGATACAAAAAAAAAAACAAAAAAAACAGTTAAGAAGAAAGAAAAAAATCACATCTTCTATGATAAAACATAATATTATAAAGAAATAAGATATATATATAT